CGTGAACATAGGTGCTGAAGACAAAGACAACCTTGACACGAATTTAAAATGTTGTGAACACAACGAAAACATTCACACGAAAAGGCATCTTCCAAATCTTCTTCGGCTCGACCATCATGTGTTTTGTTTTCAAATTTATAATCTTTGCTGCTTTTTTTGGATTTTTCGTTACGTTCCTCCATTGGACAGACAGAAGTTAGCGTGTCGTTTTTATCATCATTTTGTTTATTTTCTCGAGATTTTTGCCAATCTTGATCCTTCTCGGCAATAGCACCTTTGCGACGAAAACATCGCGAAAAGGACAAAATTAACTTTCTGCAAATGTTGCTACAACACCCATCATCAGGGTTCATGTGTAGAAATGTTTGCCAATCTTGTCCCATCTCAGCAAGAGATTTTGTCGAATTTGGCCTCGTTTCAAACGAGTTTCGTAAAGGGCTGCAGGCAGGGAGGAATTCCATTGCACCTTGGTTCATTTTACCTGTATGCTTGTTAAACATGAAACAGCCAACATTCACACGATTTCTACCCTCAATGTTAGCGATGAATAAGAGAAAGCGTCCACCACTGATGCTCTCCAAGTGTCTCCATATCGTAGACTTATCTCCAGAGCTTGGTACTGCCAAAGCAAGTCTATGGTGTGAATGCCATTCACCAATATTACAAATACCTTCTTTCTCAGTGAAATATTCTCCAGCACATTTTAAATATGCTATATCTTGATGGAAGGATGTTTTGTACGTCGACAGTCATTTCCAGGCCCCAACACAAATTGCACGACTGCAGTAGACTTGTTCATCCAAGCACCGAACAGATCACCTCCAGTTTCCTTATTGTCTTTCTGAAGTACCAACCATTTTAGATACTCAAGTTCTTCCGTGTACATAAATACAGTAAATGTTCCTTTTCTTCAACGTATTCTTCAGGGTTTTTAACAAGTCTTGAGTTTGTTGTGGAGAGATAAAATTTTTTCCAATCTCCACCCTTCTCGGCAAACGTACCATCGCGACCAAAACATTGCAAAAAGGGCCAAAGTAACATTCTGAAAAACTTGCTAAAACGCGCGTTATCTGTGAGATCTTCATCATCAGAGTGCATGTGTAGAAATGTTTGCCAATCTTGTCCCATCTCGGCAAGAGCTTTTGTCGAATTGGGCCGCGTTTCAAACGAGTATCGTAAGGGGTTACGGGCTGGGAGCATTTTCATTTTACCTTGAATCATTTTGCCAGCATGCTTGTTAAACATAAAACAGCCAACATTCACACGGTTTCTGCCCTCAATGTTAGCGATGAATAAGAGAAAGCGTCCACCACTGATGCTATCCAAGTGTCTCCATATCGTAGACTTATCTCCAGAGCTTGGAACTGCCAAAGCAAGTCTGTGGTGTGAATGCCATTCACCAATATTACAAATACCTTCTTCCTTAGTGAAATATTCTCCAGCACTTTCCAAATATGCTATATCTTGATGGAAGGATGTTGTTGTACGTCGACAGTCATTTCCAGGCCCCAACACAAATTGCACGACTGCAGTAGACTTGTTCGTCCAAGCACCGAACAGATCACCTCCCGTCTCGATATCGTCTTTCTGAAGTACCAACCATTTTAGATACTCAAGTTCTTCCGTGTACATAAATACGGTAAATGTTTCTCTTTCTTCAACGTATTCTTCAGGGTTTTTAACAAGTCTTGAGTTTGTTGTGGAGAGATAAAATTTTTTCCAATCTCCACCTTTCTCGGCAAACGTACCATCGCGACCAAAACATTGCAAAAAGGGCCAAAGTAACATTCTGCAAAACTTGTTAAAACGCGCGTTATCTGTGAGATCTTCATCATCAGAGTGCATGTGTAGAAATGTTTGCCAATCTTGTCCCATCTCGGCAAGAGCTTTTGTCGAATTGGGCCGCGTTTCAAACGAGTATCGTAAAGGGCTGCAGGCAGGGAGCATTTTCATTTTACCTTCAATCATTTTGCCAGCATGCTTGTTAAACATAAAACAGCCAACATTCACACGGTTTCTGCCCTCAATGTTAGCGATGAATAAGAGAAAGCGTCCACCACTGATGCTATCCAAGTGTCTCCATATTGTAGACTTATCTCCAGAGCTTGGAACTGCCAAAGCAAGTCTATGGTGTGAATGCCATTCACCAATATTACAAATACCTTCTTCCTTAGTGAAATATTCTCCAGCACTTTCCAAATATGCTACATCTTGATGGAAGGATGTCGGGGTACGTCGACAATCCTTTCCAGGCCCCAACACAAATTGCACGACTGCAGTAGACTTGTTATTTTCTACAGTCCAAGCACCGAACAGATCACCTCCAGTTTCCTTATTATCTTTCTGAAGTACCAACCATTTTAGATACTCAAGTTCTTCCGTGTACATAAATACGGTAAATGTTCCTTTTTCTTCAACGCATTCTTCAGGGTTTTTAACAAATCTTGTGTTTCTTGTGGAGAGATAAAATGTTTGCCAATCTTGACCGTTCTCGGCATTTGCACCTCTTGACTTTGCCCGCGTTTCAAATGAGTATCGTAAAGGGCTGCAGGTAGAGAGAGATTCCATAACACCTTGATTCATTTGACGTGTATGCTTGTTAAACATGAAACAACCAACATTCACACGATTTCTGCCCTCAATGTTAGCGATGAATAAGAGAAAGCGTCCACCACTGATGCTATCCAAGTGTCTCCATATTGTAGACTTATCTCCAGAGCTTGGTACTGCCAAAGCAAGTCTATGGTGTGAATGCCATTCACCAATATTACAAATACCTTCTTCCTTAGTGAAATATTCTCCAGCACTTTCCAAATATGCTATATCTTGATGGAAGGATGTTGTTGTACGTCGACAGTCATTTCCAGGCCCCAACACAAATTGCACGACTGCAGTAGACTTGTTAGTCCAAGCACCGAACAGATCACCTCCCGTCTCGATATTATCTTTCTGAAGTACCAACCATTTTAGATATTCAAGTTCTTCCGTGTACATAAATACGGTAAATCTTCCTTTCTCTTTCATTGTATTAACTCGCAATAAATAACTGGCAACTGAACTGGAGTAAATCTTCAAATCGTGTTTATGATTGATTTTTTAACTCATGTACAACACAGAAACAAAAAGCGGGCGAAGTTGTAACAGGATAAAACGTTTGCGTTTGGTTTCTTGGTAAACTCTTGTGATATTTATGGAAGCTGTTCTTGGTAATCGTTTAAAGAAATTAATGACTTTAATTGTGCAATTGCTAAATGGTATTTAGTTTCGATATCATACTCGATTCTTTCACTTTTATAAAGTGTTCAAGCAAATCTCCGGTATTTTGCTGCTTTCTATTTCCTAATTTATGCACACAGTATGATTTCGAATTAACTAAAGCCTGGTTTCCATAGAATTGTCCTAATCGTTTCAACGTTGTTGAAAGGACCCGGACTTTTTAATGGAAACACTTTTTGGGCGATTGAAACGATCCATCCGGTCTGCAAGCGCTCGTATCGTCAGCAATTCTATATCGAGACGATCGTAAAACTTCGCAGACAATCATATGAAATAATGGAAATATTTTCAGACGATGGAAACGATTACACGCGCGTCAAAATAGCGATATCAAACAGCAATGAGTTTAACTCGTTTTACTCTCTACTTTTTATATAAAATACAAAAAAAATTAACAAAGATTACAAAAACAAGTTTGCCCGCCTCAACTACTGGTGTAAAAATGGAGAACAGTTTCAACATTGATGCAACATTGCATGAAGCTGAGAAAAGACAACAAACTATCGACACATTGTATAGTACACATCTTCTTAAAAAATGTCAATTCCTTACGGTTCAGGAAGAAATGTTGTACCTGTTACTGCGGAATTGACAAATTTAGAGTGGTTGATAATAAATTCTCCTTCTCGTGCGATGCAGCGATTGCTTTAAAGGCGATTATATGGAAACGTTAAATTGTCCCAGTCGTCTGAAATTTCATAAAACGATTCGCACGATTTGGACGATTTTATGGAAACGTTAAATTGTCACAATCGTCTGAAATTTTATAAAACGATTCGCACGATTCGGACGATTTTATGGAAACGTTAAATTGTCACAATCGTCTGAAATTTCATAAAACGATTCGCACGATTTGGACGATTTTATGGAAACGTTAAATTGTCACAATCGTCTGAAATTTTATAAAACGATTCGCACGATTCGGACGATTTTATGGAAACGTTAAATTGTCACAATCGTCTGAAATTTTATAAAACGATTCGCACGACTTGGACGATTTTATGGAAACGTTAAATTGTCACAATCGTCTGAAATTTTATAAAACGATTCGCACTATTCGGACGATTATATGGAAACTAAATATTAATATTACAATTTATAAATATGGTTTACTTCTTATTGTTATAAAGTACAAATATAGATATTGTCTTATGACCTGGGTCAAAAATTAAACTTCAGATGCGCCAGACCTAAAGTAAATGAGTTTAAACGTGGACTTCGTTTCGGCTCAAGAGAAGATGACGTTTGATGTATGCTTGTCACCCACTGTGAGTGAACGTTTACTTTATGCAACCTGGTAAATTGGTCAAATAATAAGCGTGCAGCAACTGATCCGTGTGCGGTTGGTGTTATAGATTTTGTACAGCCTACCTTTGACATTCATTTATTCATTGTAAAAACGATAAAGTTTCTCTATGTTCAGACTTCATGTTTTTAGTGATGAATTTTAAGTTCGTAGTTGCACTTCCTGATATTAGCTAATACCATTCAAACCTAAAGGCTTTTTCTACAATCTTTAGACCAGGATACTAGTCTAGCAGTTTTTCACGCCTTTGTGGATTCCTGTCTCGTTATTGTAATTTATATGAAGATGAGTGTTGTCTTTGAGATGTCACGCGATTTTGCAAACATTTTTGATATTCAGAAATGATATCTTTTTTACTAAGATCCATTGCTGCTTTCCATAGGTTTGATTATAAACTAAATTTCAGACCATCGTTCTGCATTTCCAAAGTTTCTAATTCCACTAGAGCAAAATAAACTAATGTTTACATATAGTCATTCTTTATTAAGATCATATACTAAAGGGTAAATCGAGTTTCACTACGTTAAAAAACTTGTAGAATTTTGACAATCGTTATTTTAATCGATGTTAATTATTTCTAGAAGTTCAATGATTGAGGTGAAAGCGGATCATTTTTCGCTAAACATTTGCCAACTTCTTTGGCCTCTTGCAAGCATATCTTTGCCTGTTCGTGTAAACCCATCTGCTCGTATTTCTTTTTCAATTCCACCAAGACTACTGCTTCCATAATGCTCCTAGAGTTAGCGGCTTTTGAGATATCCCTCGCCTTTTCCAAATGCCGTAGGGAATCTTGTGCCTCACCCAAAGATTCGCAAGCGCGGCTGAGACCATACAGACTGGACACCAGTCCTGGACTCGGATTCTTAGTGGATGATAATTTACCATCAATGTCAACTGCTCTAGTGTAGAACTCTTTTGCTTTGTGGATGTCATCCAGCTCCTCATAGACGCAAGCTATGTTAGAGCAAACTGTTGCCATGGCATCACTTGCATAATCTTCGCCGTATATCTCGCAATTCATTGCATAGACTTTCTTATAACATTGAAGTGCATCCTTTGGCTGCTCGAGATCTTGATAGATGGTACCGAGATTGTTTAGAATGTCAGAAGTTGTATGATGCACGTGGTTTGTTCCTAGAATCGTGTTCATCATTTCTCTGGCTTCTTGAAAATATGGAAGCGATTCTTGGAATTTCTCGGCTTTTTTTAGCGCCACGCCAAGATTGTTGAGTGTCAAAGCAATGGTCTCGTGCGGCTTGTCACAGTATAGAGCGCGTGCCTGGTCTAAAGCTCTCTTCAAATATGGAATTGCACGCTCTGTTTGATATCTTCGTGAATAAAAGTTGCCAATATTGTTCAGGCAGGTTATCTTACCTAAAAGAAAGTTATTTATGAAAAGAAAACCAAGAAATATGCTCCACTTTATATACTCCACTTTGTGCATGACGTTCATTCAGCAAATGTTGCTTCCATGCAAATATCAAAGAAGAGTTAAGCACCTTACAGACGGACAAATTTTCTCTGACAAATACTCGCAAGCCCGTGTGTACGGGCAAAAAACTTTTTACGACAAATTTTAATGTGGCGAATTTTCTTTCATCGTCTGTACGTATCAACACATCACATTTGGTTGATTGTCATATTATCTTTGTAGACCTTACAGAAGAACAAAATCAGTCATGTGGCAAAATTTCTATGACAAATGCATTTGTTCAAAAGCTGACAGGCTAGCACTTAAACAAATGCATAAGTCAAAGAAGACTTAGCTAAAAAGTTCCATACGGACGGGCAAATAACATTTGCCACATAAAAATTTGTCAAAAAAAATTTGCTCGTCTGCAAGCGGCTTTATGTCAATTTCCTTAGAAAACAAATTTCATTTATTGCTATAAATGTATCAAAATTGTACCTGCGAAATGGGCATGCTTCTTATTCACTTAGAAACATATCGTAACTTTACCTGGGTGCGGTTGGTCACCGAAAATTTTACTCAGTATCTCAAGACTTCGATAGTAATTCGCTAGAGCTTCATCGTTCTTTCCACAGTGCTCGTAAATGCTTCCAGCATTGACGAAGTTCTCCGCCAGCTCAACACTGAGATCCGCCTCTCCGAACAATTTGTTGCTCCGTTTCAGAGCTTTGTTCACATATTCCATTGCTTCGCTGTGTTTGTCCAATTCACTGAGACAATCCGCCATTGCAAAGTTGCACGCCACGACATCGCTGTCTGGAATGGCAACGCTCTCCATTTTCATAATCTTGTGGTACGTTTTCACTTCTCTTAATGTCAACACAGCTGATTGCATGTTGCCAAGATTCTGTTGAATAATTGCGACATTAAGAAGCAAAAGACATCGGGTAATTGACGGGTTGTCCAAGCCGTGAATTTCATTGTACTTTGCAATAGCTTCGTCCATTTTCAGTTGGGAAGCTTTATATCGCCCCGCTCTGAGTAATGCCATTGCTAGATTTTGCAAACACGAGACCGCGTTCAAACGGGATATCCCTTCTTTCTGGGCATGCACTTGCAAAGCGCTTTCAAAGCATTCGACGCTTTTGCCGACATCTCCACATTTACTGTAGATAATACCTTGGCCGTTGAGCGCTACTGCATAAGATGGACTGTCTGTGGGTACAGATTTCATCCATTTTAACGCCTTCTCGAAACTCTGCATTCGATAGTACAGAGTACCAATCGTCGCACCTTCGTTTTTACTCGGTACTTCATGTTTCAACAAACTTACGTCGACTTTTTTTTCGTACTTGATCTTGAAGCTAAACGTTCGACAACAGCGGTGCAACTCGCTGCTTGCAGCAAGCAAACGGACAACAATCTCCTCGTTGAAATACCGAAACACAGGAGGAGACATGGATGGATCAGGGTGACCATACTGTGGAATTGTGGATAATAGCTCTTTCTGACCACGGTTAGCGTGGTACGTTTTCAAGCGTATTTCATTGGCAATGGATATGCATATTTTCAAATTGTTCATTTCTGATACTCCGATGATCCCACGTGTACACAACTCTTCCGCAATGTACCAAGGTGATGGACAACGTATGTCGAAAATCATCGCTAAATTTGAAACTAGCAACGTTGGAAGGCGATAAAACTGTTTCTTGGTATCAAACAGTGCCCCCACAGTGCAACGACTATGAAGATACGTCAGCGAAGGATCGAAAGCGTCTATATCCAGCATCAGTTGCTTTGAACCACGTTCAAAACCGACTGTCTTGACAAACTTATCGTTTTCGTTCAGCGAAGACCTCTCGTTAAGTTTCTGTGCTATTCTTTCATTGTACTCTTCCAGTAAAGCTTTGTTGCCATAGAGACAAGAACACCTCGACAAGATATCAGCTAAAAATTATCGAATGAATGTAATGTTATGGCCTTAAGAGGGAAATCAAACTAAAAATAGACAATCTATACAAACAACAGTGAATCACCTAGATGATATCCTTCCTTAATGGCAATCATCTCGTTTTGCAATTCGGCCATTTCTTTAGGTGTTTTTATCAACTCTAAAGCTGGTTTGCTCTCCGTTGCCAGTCGCCCCAAGGGCGTCTTTGAGGCCCACGGCATGGCGCCATCAAACGATATACCACGTGGAGTTGCTGAATCGTAGAACCAATTATCGCTCGGTTTTTTCGATTGAAAATTATTGAGCTCCTCGATTGCTAAAGATGGAAGAATGGTTTCTCCGAGGTTGATCACTTTCATTTGAAGAAGATAACACAGCACTCGGAAGTAATGGATATCTTCAAATGACCCAGCATGCAATATTGCAAACTCCAAGTCCGAATAAGGTGTTGCCTCGATGCGAGCGACCGAGCCCAAGGCCATAACGGTATAGTCACATGGTGGTCGACCAAGATGGTTTTCACATTCTAGCACCAACGCGGACATAAGTCGTACGTACATGTCTTGAATGTCTTCGAAAACTTGCTGCATTCTTTTAGCGTGTTGCTTTAATGATAAATGAAAGAAATTGTTAAAAATATTTACACACACTTTACATACATTTACACACACTTTAGATACATTTACATACACTTTAGATACATTTACACACACTTTACATACATTTACACACACTTTAGATATATTTACACACACTTTAGATACATTTACACACACTTTAGATACATTTACATACACTTTAGATACATTTACACACCCATTAGATACATTTACACACACTTTAGATACATTTACACACACTTTAGATACATTTACACACACTTTACATACATTTACACACACTTTAGATACATTTACACACACATTAGATACATTTACACACACTTTAGATACATTTACACACACTTTAGATACATTTACACACACTTTAGATACATTTACACACACTTTACATACATTTACACACACTTTAGATACATTTACATACACTTTAGATACACTTACATACACTTTGAGATACAATTTTACATAATTTGAGCTATACTTCCATATACTTTATGATTCACCAACATACACTTTGAGATACACTTGTACAGAAATATAGGAAGTAGCCATCATCGTTTCTCTTACTTTGTAGTTTTCCTGCGAGATTGCTGGATTTTCATGATTTCTCTCAAAGCAAGCATCGATCTCTTCAACATTCTTTTCAAACGCTTTCCTTTCGTCCGCAAGAAATTTCTTATGAGTATCGATTTCTCTACGTACTTCCTCACAACTCATCTCATTCTTACGACTGGCAAATGCCGCCATAAATTGACGATAAGCCTTTACAATCAATCGTAAAGACTTTTCCTCGCTTTCTGTATCATTGACTTTGATAGCACGAACTCGAGCTGCATTGAATAAGGCGTTTGCTTTCGTGAAATCAGTTCCATCGTCTGTACTCGCTCTTCTCAAGTAAACTTCGCCGATTTTTATCAAAAGAGGAATCTGCTGACGAATATCTGATTGAGCCGAACGAAGCTCCTTGACGGTTTGAAGCACATCTATTTCGCCATCGTTCTCCATTACACACGATGAAGTGCAGAACTGCGCACTATATTATCAGTATGGAAATGTGTAGATTTTGTTTTGTAACAAATATTGTAGGTTGTTCGGTGAAATATTGCTATTTTAATCGAAAGTGCTTTTGCATTTTCATTTATGAAACAATAACACAGAGACATTTCATGCATCATGAACAAAAACATATTCCCCCGCAAAGGCACCCTGTAGTTATACACGCATTCCATATGATGTCACACCGTATCCAAATAACTGCGCATGCGCCTACAGCTGGTCTATTTTACTTCATACTTCTTCGGACGTTGCACGAAAAGCTTTATTAAAACTTCAAATAGAATCGAATCGATAAATGACACCATGCTAACTGGCAGTTTTTATGAATCTTTTTTGAGGGGGCAAATTAAGGTGTCGAAAAAGCTTCTTAAGATGTAAATGCTTCTGTTGTTCGGCAAATACTTAAAAGTAGACTGTCCGTTTGAAAATCTTCTCGGAGTCTTGCAAAACTAGTTAAAATACTTTTCTGGGTCACCTCACTCAAACATATTAAAATCTACTCTAGCCATGAGACAATAAAAAAAATATACGTGCCATAATTATGCGTATTTTACAAACTGCAAACTTTACTTTTAAATGCCAATTAACAACTCCGTTTTTTATGACGTTTAGAACAAATAGTCCAAAAAAATAATCCAAAAAGATTACAAGAACTATACTGGATGGAATTGTGAAACATTATAACAAAAACAAATGTGAAGCCATGCCATGTTTAAACATGAAGACATGAACAGCAAGCATTCAAATTATATTCAAAAACCACTATTTCGACTTTCTTGTAGTTTTTTAATAGTTATGACGTTGTGAAACACTTTGTTTAAGTTTTAGCTCACAAGCTCCCTTTCTTTCTCAGCAACTTCGCCTCGCATAGTTGTACATTTGCGTCGCAAATTGCGAAATAATCGCTCTCAATTCTTTAATACCCGCATGAACAAAATTTGTTTGAATTCCAAGAATTAAATTCGGCAGAAATTGAACACGTAAACCGAGATCTTTTGCATATTCTGTTAAGTCCACAGAACACAAATGGTTTCTACTTTCATGAAGACACAATTCATAAGTTATCAATGTACAATTCTGGATAGTTCAACACGGACATGTTGAAAACACAACTCGTTGCTAAGCTAAATTTGATACTGGTTGAGCCTGGTTCAAAGCGATAAAGATACTTGTCCAAACATCTACTTATTTGGTCTTTGTATTTATAAAACTTACCACATATTTCAGCTAGTGAAGCATAAAAGAAGCACAACTTTCTTGATGAAGATTTTCACTTTTAAACCATCACGCACGAGCTTATTTTTATTTAGAAAAGCACATACCGCTGACTTGTATGTACTGCAGCATAAAAATGTGCTTAACTTGCACTATTTCTCAGAGGATCGTTCAGATAAGTTAACCCTTAAAACAGAAACTTCGATAATTTGGCAGCTTGTTGTAAGAAATTTCACCCACAAACAATACAACTGACGATTTAAACTTATGATGTATTTCCATAATAAAATATCTATGCTATTAATGTCAAACTTCGCTCGTCGCAAAAGAGAAAATGAAAGTGTAACGATATGTTTGTTTTTCGTAATTGGAAACTAAGATTACTTTTCACTGTGACTCCTTCTTTTCTATGATATTGTAAGTATAGTGTTCTTTACAGTTAGTGTTACGCAAGTTCTAATTAGATTAAAGTGTCTGGAGAATGTAATCATATCAAGGAGCGTATTTTACAATGGCGCCATGATAAATTCGTTTCGGAACTATAGCTTTAATATAATCAATCAACGCATTCACGTTTTCTTCGCTAACGGGAAAATTCGACTGTATTTTTAAAGGTGAACTGCTTCCAGGAGCTGAGCAAAGAATTTCCATGAAATTGCCTGGGAATTCGTTGGAAAATATAAATTCTATCTTGCATTGATTTATTACAAAAGATATATTTAAGAATCCACCTTTTAAGTTTATAAGTACTTCACTCGCTGGATCTTTTATTGCTTCCAATTTGGTGTTCAAAAATTGAAGCAGATAGGATGCCTTATCTTCATGGAACCAAGGACGTTCTTCATTTACTCCGGTTCGCTTTCCTGCCAACTTTTGTCCAGGGAGCAGTCGTCTTTCTTTGACGTTTTTTAAGTACTGCTCATCAGACTCAGCTCCCTGCGTTACTATCTCTTTGATCCGCTCATTTTTCATGAAAGGATTTTTTCCGCTTATATATTCCACGTCTATAAAATAAAACTACGGTAAGATACAAACACCGAACATCTTGCAGAACAGTAAATATTTCTTAAATCTAAAAAGAAAAACTTACCACGATCAATGATAGCATTCAAGTTTGAAAAAGCATTTGATGTTAAAGTTAATGCGATAAAGACGTCAATAGTTAAAGCTTAAAGTAAATGGTTTGAACCCGGGAGTATCGTTACATGTTTGTAAATGTAGATCGTCCAGGTTGGTATAGTCCTGAGAAGGACTGTTTCTGTTGTTGTTAACTGACGTTTTGACAACCTTAGTGGTAGTCATCTTCAGAGTAGGCTTATTGCAAATAACAGATAAAATATAGTGAACATACCAATCAGGGAATGTTCATGTTTTGATGCCGTGAAAATCCAAGGATTAAGAAGTACATCGTCGCTCCCTTCAATCGTCGCGATAATAAGCAGGAAAAAGTCGACTCCTTGTGGAAAATTATTCCAAACACTATTTAAATCCCCGTGGCTGGGTGCGTGTAGACGCAAGCGATGATGAGAATGCCATTCGCCTATGTGACACATCATAAAGTCTTGATTTAACGTCTTACCGACGCGTTTCAAGTACTTCATATCTTGATGAAACGAATGTGTGCCATGTTTACAATCTTTTCCAGGTCCAATGACGATATTAACGTAAGGTTCCCTATTCTCTTTCCATAAACCGAAAATTTGACCGCCAGTTTCGCTATCCTGATAGCGCAGAACCCATTTCTTCATTCGTTCGTAGTCATCTTGAAACAACAACACCTTCGTTGGCTTATGGCTGGCCATGTTGAACTTTAAGCGTGATGCTGAGCTGTGGAAAATATTTTGTGACAATCTTGATCGAGATACGGCTTCATACAAACTTTTTACTGAAATGTCCGAATTGCAGCTATGAACGAAAGTAAAAATCTTTCGTCAGAACTATGTTTTCTTGGAAACGAGTTATCACAATGGTTTGTTTTGATATTGGCTTCTTTAAAGGAAATGTTTGATCTCGTTACACTGTCCGGATGAAGTTTTGACAATCGTAAACAGTCTGGCAAAATGATGCTTCTTGTCTTGAGACCTTCTTCGTTTTGAAGATACGCCAGCGAAACTCTAGTTGTGACGTCATGTCGTGGATGCTATCATGCCGTGACGAAGACATCCTACATATTCGATCAAAACAAAATGCAACTTTGTAATTGTTCTAAAGTCTAATTAGAACCATTTTCAATTTTGAGCCGAAGAGAGAAGCCAAAATGTTGGCAATAGGAGCTGCCGCTACCGTCGGCGCGTTCGTTGCTTATAGAGGATTTTCGTATTTCCGAAGGCGACAAGAACATCTGATCAATTCTATAGTAAACGATATTGTAGGTCATAGTTCATTGTTTGTATTCCGCGAATCGGTTAAGCACGGTTGAAGTCTGTTGTGAAAACCAAAAGTGTTATATCAACATTCGTAAATAACAGAAAATATACATTCTTCAGTGTAATGATGCTAAGAAGTTATAAACTTACTTTGTCCTTCAACAGATGAATGAAATGGGGAAGGCTGGAACCGTTTTAATCCGTGATCAAGTTGGTGTGAGAGAAAAATTGAAGTCACTCATTGCTGGGGGGGCCAAAAATATGCAGGTATGGAAATTGAAATGTAATTATGCTAAATTTAATTTATAGCTGAATTGCATATATCTTTTACAGGGAATATTTGACTTTGATGGAACAATTACAAGAGGGGTGTACCAAGGAGAAAGGGCACAGACGAGCTTTGGTATAATGGCCATTCTCTTTCATATTCACATATTGCAACCTCCTGCAGACAACCTTTTTTTAGGCTGTGTTTTTCTTAAGGATTAGTCATTCTAACATCATATATTCCAAACAGAGTTGGTGTAATCACAATGACATACAAATTTTACAAAATCTGTCCTATTTTTCATGTCTCAAATTCAAAATACTGTTGCCCAGCAAGTTGCAAAAACCATTGCAACTTGTATTGTACAGTATTATTGGTCATAATATTAAGAAACAGGCTTCGTATAAAGAATTGAAAATACTTTCATTTTTTGAAATTATTTTTGCAGCATGATGGTGCAGGTGTCACTTATTGAACTATGATTAGAAGAAATGAATATTCCTAAAAAAATGAATAATTGTGTTATATTTATCTAGAAGTATTTCTTTGATTTTTCTCTATGTTTTTAGCTGTTGTTGGAACTTCTGATTTATTGCCAGACTATGTCCTGCAAAAGGTTAGTGGATTGCTTACTTAACTCAATCAGGTATCATGTAAAGATATATTGGAGAGATTGGATTTTGTAATTAAAGTGAATGGTTTAAACCTGAGTGTATCATTACAATCCATGTAGCTGTAGATAGTCCAAGTTAGTGGACTCCAAAGGACTAAACTTTGTTGTTGGTTTTGATTTCAACAGCACTAGTGGTACTCAATGTCAGTTAACACAAACACTTGCATTGCAACTATATTTTCTTTTATATTCATCTTATTAGGAGAAAGAATTACGTGAAAAGTATTATCCTGTTGAGAGATCTAAGTATGAAAAGTTGATTTACTCGCATGCAATCTAGTAATATGCCCAAAATTCAAATAGTAGAAGTATTATTCACAGACTGACTTTATTGCTCTTAAATGTGATGCAAGTTTAATTCATCAATATTTTTTCATTCTATTTAGTGAAACGAAACCAGAAGAAAAAAGCAAGGCAATGGAAATATGGTAAGTTGAAACAGCAATTGCTGATAATGGTAAGCTTACTGAAAAGAAAAAAGCACACACACTCCACAACAAGTAATGTTAGTTTTATGTTGTTGTTTTTGTAGGTGGAAAGAGATATTTGATGTTTTTAAAAATGCTGGATTGAAGAAACAAATGATTCCTGAAATGGTTAAAAATGGAACGTCTGTTTTAAGGTAAATCTATGTACATGCTAGAGACAGTTTAATCTGTCTTACTTACTGCAAACAAAAACATAATGAAAAAAATGATAGGTATTGTGCTGGGGCAAGACTAAGGGGCTGTTCACATGAGCCCAGGTAACCAGGATTCAGCGAGGAGTGAAATGATTTTGAGATATTGAAAGGAGTAAAAACTTAAAACGCAAAACTTACAACCTTTCTTATAAGTCATGAGTCATTTTAGTTGTATTTTTCAAATCTGGCCTAATTATTTGTTTTCATTTTAAAGGTTTTGTGAATTTGCAAATTCAGAACATAGGGAAATTGCTTAAACAACTTTTTTGTTGTGAAGGAACTAATCTTTTCCATTGGCTAAAATGATTAAACGCTTCGCTGAATCCCGGCTACCCGGGCTCATATGAACAGGCCCTAAGTATCCATTTCCACTTATGTGTAATAATGCAAAGTAATATTTGCATTATTACACATGCATTATTATACATAAGATCTTTGCTATGTCTTTATAAACACTAAAATAACTAAAGACACAAATTTCACACTCAAAATGTCTTCGCAATATGGCCACCCAATCTTACATGGTCTTACAAGATATTATCATGATCTTTCCAAGATCTTATCCTGGTCCCAGCAAGATCTTGCTAAGACCATGCAAAAACTGACCATATACGTAATGCATGATCTTACAAGATTGTAAGATCACGCAAGATTTCTGACAGTATGACTAAAGAAGTGTACAAAGTTAAAAATCTTTCTGGTAAGCACTACTGTGTTTTACATAACGCATTATGCAAGTTGCTTGCTCGTGCAAGTCTTGATCATCACTGAAAAGTTAAGTCATGACCTTAGTAAGATAAACTATGATGTTGGAAATGGCATTTGAAGATCGTAAGTACATTTTGTAAATGATGCAGATCATGACAAGATCATGCGTAAAATATTCCAAAGTTGACCATTATCTTGGCAATATCTTTGTGGAATCTTGGAAAGTTCGTATTAAGACCTTGCCACATCATGAAGAGATCTTGATTTCGAAGATCTTGCAAGGTATCAAAAAAGATTAAAGCAAGAAATCTTAGCTGCGTTTTGGCAAGTTCGTGCTAAAATTATGGCATCCACTTTTCATGATCTCGTCAAGAAAAGTTCTTGACAAGGATCAGGAAAGATCTTACAACATCGTAGAAGATCTTTGAAGATCTTACAAGATCCTTTCAAGATGCACAACCTGGGCATAGATGTCCAAACAATTAAATCTATGGAAGTGCAATAAAAGTATCTTAATAAGTATAGCAAATGTATGTCATAAATAATGTAAGATGTTATAATTTATTTCGCCTGAAAGTGAATCCACCACTGATTTACATTGACTGTCTTCGTACTAACTCATATTATTTATAACAAGCCTTGAAATAATCTTTCTAATTATATGTAGGGAAGGTGCAGTTTATTTTCTGAAGAGGTTACATGATGAAAAAATACCAGTTTTGTTTTTTTCTGCTGGCATTGGAGGTAATAATCAAGTTTTGGTCATTGGTCATGCTATGCACGTAAATATCTGGACATTAGCATTTTTTAATTACTTTTAAAATCTGTTGTTTTTGCTTCGAGTAAACACGGAAAAAATCGCATAGCAGGACTTGAAAAGTGGGTTGGCAACGCCAGCGATGAATAAATTGTTTAAACTAAACAATTAACTTGCAATAAAAAAACATTTTCTTCGGCTTCCCGCCGTAACCAACCCATTACGTTTCATCCCTTTAGAAGTTCTACACGAAGTGTTTCGACAACAAGCAGCTGATTCCAAAAATGGAAATTTCTTCGACAATGTGGCAATTATATCGAATGAGATAATATGGGATGACGAGGGAAATATGACGGGCGTCGATGAAATCATTCACTCCTGTAATAAAGGACTTTTTGCACAGTCTTTGCATTTCAAAAATTTAGTGAAGGTATAAATATACGTACTTCCTCGCGACGCCTTCGCGGAGGGGAAGGGGGAAGGTTAAATGACCTGGGGTGTTTTACGAATACTTGTTGCAAGCGTTGGAACAGTTTTGTTCAAAGTGATCAAGAACGGACAGAAAACAAAATCTCATTTCTTTATTTAGGGAAGACACAACGTTCTACTTATGGGTGACAACGTTGGAGACGCAGAAATCATTGACAGCGTTGACGATATCGAAACATGTTTAAAGATAGGTTTTCTCAACGATAATGTAAGCAACATTTTGTAATCTTCTCGTGGGTAGTACGTTCGGTTATTGCTGAAAAATATTTTTTTCTTCATTACAGGTAAATGAGTTGAGAAACGACTTCGAGCGACATTACGATATCGTGATCGCTGATACAGAATCAATGACGCTTGTTTTGGTGATATTGATGAAGATTTTAGATGGAAAATGAATCAGGGAAACAGTGGCTGATCCGGAGAAAGTCAATATAAATCACAACAGCTCAAACTTGGATATATTAACATTTGAAACTGGCAAAAACAGGGATAGATTCACTGGCGTGCAATATATTATTACACAAAGCAAATAAACAAAAGCAATTGCAAGAGATTTAACAAAAAAGGTCTGCATATCGAATGGCAACAACCACTACAAACCGCTAAAATTTGATCCGAACTAAAGCAGTCAAAATCTATCCTTGACGTCACATAAAGCATTTTCTATTGAGAAAAATTTAGTCTTCTTGAATTCATATCTGGTACTATTGCAATCAAAGCATTTCGAATAGAAAATTGAGCTGTTAGTGTTTATTCTGACGAATGCTGGATCAGCCCCTTTAAAAATATGTGTTACATTTTCTGTCATATTGAAATACTTTGCCATATATTTTTTCCAGTTGAAATTAAAGTTTGATGTGTGTTCATTAATCTTACCCTCGCTATTTCTAACCGTTACTCTGTAAGTTTCGGCTTTAATAATTTCAGTTTTTCCTATATTGTTTCATCTGGTAAAACTCTTATTCTTTTCTCACCACTTTCATTCACTTCAATTTCCACCATTTGAAGCTGCCATCTATGTGATTGAATGATGACATCAATTTTTCAAACATTATATCGTAGAGCCCTGCAATAGTGCCATTCATAATACCTGTCATCAATTTTTGTTGATTTCGAAAAGACATTTCCAGATCTTTTGCTACCTTTGACAGGAATAACAATCTGAAATATATCATAAACATTAAATGTTAATTCGGTTGGGATTCCACTTGTAATAAGTGGAAAGGGTATGTAATACCATAGCATTCTCCTCTGTGATTCTTATATCCCTTCGTCCGAGGTTCATATAGGTGAATCTTAATGGACCACCAAGGACATCATTGGATTTCATGTGACGTCTCACGGCATCGGTTGTCAGCTGGTAATACTCTCCAGATGCTAGCTTTGCTGTTACAAAGTAAAATGTCCAGCTCTGACTCGTACGATGAGCTAAAGTTGAAAAATGATGGGATAATTATGGATACCTTGGGTGTAGTGATGCAACACAAAGGCTCCAGTGATTGATGCAACTGCGCCATAAACGGCGATCTTTGTTAGTCGTGCAGTACTCATACTCGAGTCTATGAGTCTATTTTATATTTTATTCTTTTTATCAAATATTTAAAAAAACTTTCGGTAGTCAAATGACTCCATCGATCACGAAATACAATATTAAAAATATAACAGTAGTTACTGCAGCAATTACTGCAAACTGCAGTCAGTTCTAGCCACTAGTCAGCGGTATTTGTCTAAAATGGCGGAAAATTTTAAATTTAAAGAGAAAATAAGAGAAACACATTGAACAAAAGCACAAGAAAAGACATTGAGAAAATGGCATTGCTACCTTTCAAGGGTGGTGCTGTAGAATAAAGAAACGAAAGTTGTTGTTTATGGTAAATGCAAGCCTGTAATTTCTAACAAACTCTTTCTCGGGCATAATAATAAAGTTGCTGAGTACAATGTCATGTATGACTTTTTCCTCGTTTCTTAATTGAACAAAATACGCAAATCGAAAATCTTTCATTTTTTAGCGTACGCATTGGCTGCCGTGTGAGAAGAGATTTTTTTGCAGATTAGAACAAAGGTGCAAATTTAGACATGCCAGTTCCTTAAAAAGACTAGCAATTTACAATTTTCCAGGAATCCACGTCAAATGCATGTATTCCCTCCACTCCACTGACTCTGAAGATAATGTAAGTTTTCACAGGTATTTTGGCCCATCCAGCTGTCACCATTGGGGGATTAAAAGCTTCCTTGTAAATATTTTGCTGGGTGCAATTTGTGGGGAAAATTCTCAAAGGTTACAGTCCCTAGATGGTTTCCAAGAAAGGCTTTTTTACATGGTCATTTATGACAACTTTGAAAAATGCAACTCCTTGCAATTGCCTCATGATGTGTCCAAGAATTTGTCAGAATTTTGATCACACAAACTTATAATCCAAATTAACTAGACACATTTTTGACTATGGGCTGTTGTTCTCTTTGTGAATTTCAATATTTAGTTGTTTTTCTCCATCACTACATTTCTCTGAAGGCATACGGTGTGCATCGCGGTCTCGACAAATGTGCTGAACTGTTGATGAATATTCTTGAAATTCAATCTGAAGAAAAAGAAATGAAGAGAACGACTGTGAATAGCACAGTCAAACCCACAAAATTATCAAAAAACAGAAAGAAATCAACAAAGTCTTCATCTAAAAATACGGCACCAAAAAAAATCATAAATGTTCCAACTGAAAGAGATCCAGGTAAAAGCTGAAGTTGCTTCGTATAACCATCAAAGTACTCTTTATCTGACTCTTTTGGCTTCTCCTCAAAGAGGTTGCCATAGCAAATCATCTGTCTCCATGTATTTCTGTCTATGGCATCCTCTTATCTCAAACTAACTAGTTTCAGGTTTTCTTTCAGTGTATCCGTGTGTATACCTTCTCTTTGTTCCTCCTTTAGACCTCTTACCTGACAGTTGTGAACTCAGAATTCTTCTACCTATACACTTATTGTCCTTTCATTGACATTATATGTCTAACACACAAATACTTCATGTATTAAGAATCAGCTAAGCCAGCCCTCTTTGATCTCTCTAAAACATTCGACTTGTGCTGTACCTCTAATGAACAGCATAACCATTAAAGTACAATATTTGTTTGTAAATGTAGATCGTCCAGGCTGGTATAGTCCTGAGAAGGACTGTTTTTGTTGTTGACTCATTTTGACTTTGAAGATGACTACCGCTCAGGTTGTTGAAACGTCAGTCAACAACAACAAAAACAGTCCTTCTCAGGACTATACCAACCTGTACGATCTACATTTACAAACATGTAACGATACTCCCGGGTTCAAACCATTTACTTTAAAGTACAATATGTTGATTATGTTCTTGGTGATAACATTGATGAATTGCTACATTTTTACTCTTTTCTTGTTGAAGATTAAGAACATAAAATTACGTATTGGATTATTTTTTAACCATTTCCTTATTACCATCCTAGAGAAGATTTGCCCCTGGTTATTTAAATACACGGCTGGTTTTTTGATTAACCTTCTAACGCTGACAAGATTGTCGATTTATAAAGCTAAAAGATGTTTTCTCTTCTTTAATATGATGAACATCTCAATTTTCAGCAAGAACCTTCGAGGGAAAAACGGCATTTAACGAAAGGTTGGTTGCGTCCACGCCACTCCTCTCCGCTGACCAGCGGAAACAGCTTGAAGACCTTCAGAGGCGAGAGAAGGATCTAAAGGAACAAATACAGATCATACAGGAGGAATATGAACACTTAGGGGTATGTAACATTCGTTTGCAAAATTAAACCCGCATGCTCTGACGTATGAAATCAATTGTTTTTTTATGGATTATATAACATACATACATGACTATACTTATTTCAGTTATGAAGCCAGCCAGCCCCCCGTTTTTTGCTAGTCACCATGCATGATTTATCGTTCCCAAATTTATTGTGCAACATATTTTTCGTTCTTGACAGCAACAACTACCGATCACCGAGTCGGAACTTGTCGGAACATTTGATTCTCGTGATACGTCAAGCAAACCTCGAGATACTGGAGTGAAGTCATCCGATAGAAGAAATCTGGATTTCTGTCGCAATGCAGAAAAACCGTTTGTGGACGACGCTCCTGCTTTACGCGAAGGAACGAAACTTCGTTCAAAAGACAACCGTACAGTGGTATCTTCGTCGAACGATAGGACTGGTAAAGTTGGAAAACAGAGAAAGTTCAATTTTCCGACAGGGTGCAAGAGAATTCCTTAGGAAAACGTAGTTACGATGAGCTTCACTCAGTTCCAAAACACTCTCCGACTGAGGCTAAACAAACATGCGATTTACATCAAGAAGATGGAGCAATTGTCGGCGATGATTTCAAATTTGCTGTTTCCGACATTAAACGGGATGACTTCAATGAAGAAATGGTCGAACAGCAAGATAATGTTCCCACTCATTCACCACAAAAGTTCACAGATCATTTGAGAATCGCTTCTCATCTAGTTGATCAACTGCGTGCCGTCCTAGAGATCTCAGGTATACAGTTGAAGTACTGTGGAGTCTCGAAAGTAGCCGCCCAAGTTACTTTCGAAACTATTGAGCGGCTAGTTTCAGAGGGGCGCTTGAGTTCGGAATGCGCTTAATTTCGAGTTGTTATTTTTAGCGTCGGTTAACTCCAAAGGTTAACTATAAGTTCATGCTTTTTAAAAGGTATTTTTGAATGTTTGTGTAAGGTTGACACAAATCTACATGAATGTTTTATTTTGATAATGAAGTATAAATGTTTTAAAGCTTTTAAGTTTTATAAAGAATGCGGTTACTCTTGAGAGTACGTACGGTTACTGTCAGGGGGAGGCTACTGTCAGGGAGAGGTTGCTGTCAGGGGGGCTCCTGTCAGGGGTAAGTTACCGTCAGGGGAAGGCTACTTTCAGGGGAGGCTACTGTTAGGGGTAGGCTACCGTCAGGGGAGGCTACATTCAATACTCTACGGTGTGTTGTGATGTATTTTTGTAACTTATTTCATCTCAACATTTGTCTTCTCGTGGTTGACATACAGATGACGGCGAAGTTCATCGACTGCTGAAGGAGATTGAGCATGAGTTGATGGTGTTGTCCGTGTTGCCCAGTCCCCCTTGCAAGGAAAATTCTTCACCGCGGGAGATAAAGACAACGAAAAAGAAACTACGTGGTGTCGATATCGATTTGGCTTTACAACCGTTACGATCTGAGAACTGTGATCTACGAAGGTACGTAAGTCATTGTGACCAGCGGTTTTCAACAGAGAACGAACAAGAACTGGGGGTTTATGTCAGCCAGTAATGCTAGAGTGGCTTTGTTTTGACTGTGGTATTTTTTTCTCAGCTATTCCTTGATTTTGTGTAGAAAACTACGTCTTGCAAACCAGAAAATGAAAGATCTTCAAGAACAGATTGATAAAACCAATAAATTCACACAAGATGGTGGGTAAATGCCTTAAAAATACAAATATTTTCTTCCTACCGTCATGATTCGTACAAACGTTGAATGTCCATGAATTTGAATTGAAAAATTCATGGCTTGAAAAGTACTTGAAGTTATTTATTAAGTTGTGCTTGTTGAAAGTGCTTCGAATGTTTTTGATCGAATTAATGGAAACATGTCATCGTACTACCTTGCTTTAAAAAATGGTGTTGAAACTGTATATCAATTCTTTATTGCACAAAAAAATAATTTCACTGCTAAAGGGTTGATGTCAGAACTTTGAAGTGACTTACCAAGATGGCAGCTTTCAATTCAAATATGAAAACACATCATTTGCTTGCGATTCATTAGAAAAAGGTTTTTTGTTTAAATTTTGGAAATGTTTTTAATGATTTCTTGCTTTAGTTGCTCTTTGCGTGCAATTCAAAGTCTTCCTCGTCCTTAAATTTTTCAAAATATGTTGTTGAAAGCCCTTGAAAAGTGCTTGAATTCAATTAATCCACCTTTCCGACGGTCGATACACTTGTCTAAAATATGAGATCAAATTACAAAATTCGGACTGACAAATGGTCAGACATAGTATTGTAGAATAGTTGCAATAAAATGGTTAGGAGATGCTTTTGAGTTTTGGGTATTTGTGAACGATTATTTAAAAAGGCAGAGGGCATAACAGTAAATATTTACTATTTTGCAGCTAAAATCGGGCCTGGATATTCTTTGGTTATGTAGTTTCTTGCAATGATACAAACTGCTTGGCTTATTAAATGTTATCTTCGTAAAAACTATTATAAAAAAGTAGATAATCCCTTTTCTTCACGAAGCCCATGGATGCTTTCGTTGATGATGAGAGAGTTATATTGTATAAGGAGGCTCTCGTTCGTCACGAGAGAGTTATGAGAAAGTTTATTATAAAAGGCAAAAAGTAAAAAACGTATAAACATGTTTAGAGTTGTTTTAATATATAAGTCAAAAAAGGCAGATGTTGTTTGAACCATTGCAGTATCCTTGGATGTTCTAGTTTCTTTTATGTAAACAAAAGATAAAATTGGAAAGCAAAAAAAACCCGTTTTCGGTCCATGCTTCCCGATACCTTCTTAAGCGTAAGGCACTAGAACGCCGCATGTTAACGTTTCAGTAGGAGATTTCGGCCCCTCCACGCTATCCTACTTGGGGATGCCAATACGTAGCAAGTTTCCACCCATCAGACCCCGAGATCACCTGCGATATGCTTTGCTCGGGGTACGCAGGGAGAGTGCGGTCTCGACTGAAGTCTGGGCCTCTAAGCCACTGCATACCTAATCGCTCCTAGCTTCTACTGCTAGTTGACATCTACTATATCTAGTATTGGCTTTATATATATATATATATATACATAAATTCAAAGGCTTACAAAAGTTGTGGTATTATTAAAGTCACTACTGCGCGTGCTCAGATGATTTCTTTAATAATTTGCGACTGAGCTAATTGCCACGAAAGTAATGCAAGTGCATCTGGTTAGTCGTTGCCATGACTATGAACAATTAGTCGAGTTGACTGCGCAGATGATTTCTCCATTAAATTGCTAATAAGCATGCTATTTACTTCAAAATCTGTTCTAGTAGATGCAGTTGGTAGTTGCCATGACCATGAACCTGGGCGGCTTGTCAAATACACTGCGCATGCTTAAGCATAATGCGAATGCGCAAATGATTTATCTGAAAATTTGTGACTGAGCAAGCTACTTACTCCATAATCGGTACTAGTACATGCAGTTGGTCCTTGCCATGACCATGAACTCGGAGAGTTGGTGGAGTTAGCGAGCTATACTACGCATGCTCAGATTAATTCTCGATTAATTTGTGACGGAGCGAGCTCTGAAATTGGTGCTTGTAGATGTGCTTAGCAAGTTTTCAATCATTTATTTTTGGCATGCTCTTTGTATTTTTAAGCTTGTTTTTACAAATGCATATAAAACTCATCAACACTTTGTTATGCCAGTCGTAAAATCTGTGACAACGTTAGAAATGTTTTTATTTTTCTCTATAACTTTGTACCTGCATATTGCATGTCATATCCAAGCTTTACTTTGATTTTATGCTAAATGGTTTTTATTTACTCCTATACCCTCTGTCTTTATAATTAGTATTTCTGTATTTCTAAAATAAGTTTTACAAATGCTCCAAGAACATCGTCTTTCTATTTTATTGCCACTATTCTACATATACAATACTATGTCCGACCATAATTTGTAATTTCTTATTTGACCTCGTATTTTTGACACGTATGTCTACCGTCGGAGAGGTGGATTACTTTGGCATTTCACGAAGTCTGTAATGTATCCCGAACGTGTTCGTACAACTACTTTAGGTACAACTACTTTAGGTAAAACTACTTTAGGTGTTCACTTATCTCTCTTCCCTCTTTTTAAATAATCACATTCTAATTTAGCTGCAAGAGACGAAGGAATTTTAGAGAAACTACACCGGGAATTGTTTTTGGAAAAAGAAAACGTCATTGCTGTAAAGCGACAAAAGGAGCATGCTGAAAAGGTGCAAAAATGCACGCGGTTTTCATTTTGTTCGCTTTATCTATCAATCAGTGTCGAGTGTATTTCCGTTTACCTCCGTGATCCTCAGTGCTCCTCTTGTCCTCCGTGTAGTTACAGCATGTTTTTTGTCTGTGTGGTGTTCATTTTGTTTTCTTTGTAGAGTTATGTTTCGCTCATACTGTACCTCTGTGTACCTCTCGTCCTCTGTGTAACTACTATATGTTTTTTGTCTGTGTGGTGCTCATTTTGTTTTCTTTTTACAGTTATGTTTCGCTCATAATGTAGCTCTGTGTACCTCGTCCTCTGTGTAACTACTACATGTTTTTTGTCTGTGTGGTGCTCATTTTGTTTTCTTTGTACAGTTATGTTTCGCTCATAATGTAGCTCTGTGTACCTCTCGTCCTCTGTGTAACTACTACATGTTTTTTGTCTGTGTGGTGCTCATTTTGTTTTCTTTGTACAGTTATGTTTCGCTCATAATGTAGCTCTGCGTACCTCTCGTCCTCTGTGTAACTACTATATGTTTTTTGTCTGTGTGGTGCTCATTTTGTTTTCTTTGTACAGTTATGTTTCGCTCATAATGTAGCTCTGTGTACCAATTATACCAACCATCGAAAACCACCGTTCTTTATGTAGGTTTTATAGAACGGTAAAACCGAGGGAACGGTTGAACGGAAGCGAATTGTGAACAACCTCGATTATTTGTATTTGTTTTGATTTTTGTGTAGCTTATCTTACAAACACAGAATGAAAACTCCAATCTTGAGGAGGAAATTACAAATAAGGTGTGATGACTGAATTACCACTTTCTCTTGTGTTTTTATTATGTTTAGAAGTGATTTTGTCTAGTTTGTTTACTTCTACATTAGCGATATAACGAAATAACGGTAAAAAAACGACAAAACCAAGAAAATAGTAATTTCTCCCTTGTTGCCCCATGCACGTTGCTAGAACGTGATTTTAAGCTTAAGGCAGTGTTACAATAAATTACGTTACAGTTCTACATGACTATTTTCATAAAGCACATGAGAAATATCATTAACCACTTGCTAATTAATAAAATACTTAAAGATATTTCTCGACTGTGATTGGTTGATTGCTCTTTAAATACTGTAACTTGATTTGCTCAAAATCAGTGAAAGCCAAACAAGCTCCTTTTAAGTAAAAAAAGCATGGCGGCGGTTGTAAATTGTTAGATGGGAAACATCATATTTATAATAATCACATTAGCATATTACTAACTTTGTCGTCTAGATGTTCTTAGTTTTCGATAAACCTTTTTTTTGTATGCATTTTTAAAAACGGACTAAAAAATTCAATGGTCTGACCCATTTAAGTATGGCGACGTCAACGGAAATTCTAACAAAGAAAATAGGACAGCCTATTATGCTGAGGTAGAGAAGAATGAAGCAAGAGATGATGATGAAATAGCATTATTTATAAGTGGTAATAGTAAAAGATACAGTTGGATCATAGACTCCGGCGCCACCCAACATATGACATTTGAAGTAAATAATCTATCTGATTATGTTAAACTCAAGCAGCAATGTAAAGTTATTTGGGATATGATCGAGTCATTTTTGCTTTTGGAAAGGGCACATACAGGTTATGCACTAATCTAAAAGGGACAAGCCAAAGAATTGCATTGAAGAATGTTCTCTATTTACCTGATTTAAAAAGGAACTTGTTATCAGTTTAAGCAATGATTAAACTCGGACAACTGTTGTTTTCAAAGATGATGAATGTACAATTTCTAAAGATTGAAGGTTACTAGGAATTGGAGAAATGCAAGGAAAGTTGTATAGCTTAAAGTTATTCCAAGAGAACATGTGCATAAAGTAAATGGTTTGAACCCGGGAAAAACAACAACAAAACAGTCCTTCTCAGGACTATACCAACCTGGACGATCTACATTCACAAACATGTAAGAATATGTGCATGTTGCTGAGAACAATCCCAACATGGAGTTATGGCATTGTCGATTTGGACATTTGGGAAAGAATAATTTGTCTAAACTAGTCAATAATAATATGGTGACAGGAATGGTGAGTTTGAAAGATGAAGATATGTCAGATGCGTGTGAAGCATGTATAATGGGGAAACAGTGCCGTACACCGTTTCCTAAAAGAAGTTTCAATCGTGCAACTGAATTGCTTGAAATAATCCACAGTGACGTTTTTGGCCCAATGAATGTCAAATCGTATGGAAAATCTCAGTATTTTGTGACATTCACAGACGATTATTCACAATACACGCAAGTATATTTTCTTAAAGGTAAAAGTGATGTGTTGGACCAATTTCAACAGTTTGTCAATGAAACAGAAAATCGTGGCAAAAGAATCAAAACTCTTCGTTCGGACTACGGTTGGGAGTACTGTTCAAGAGAATTTGGTGATTATTTGAAGTCGAAAGGAATAACCCACCAAACAACTGTTCCATATTGTCCTGAACAAAATGGCATCGCTGAAAGAATGAATAGAACTTTGGTTGAATGTACACGATCTAGTTTACATCATGCTGGTATGCCAAAAGAATTTTGGGCGGAAGCATTGAATACCGCTGTATACATTCGCAACCGTAGTCCTACATCATCAAATGAAGTTACACCGTTCGAGGTAGTTCATGGCGAAAAGCTAAACGTATCGCATCTAAGAGTTTTTGGATGTATTGCATATATGCATATAACTGATGCTAAAAGAAATAAATTAGATAAGAAATCAGCTAAATGTGTATTCGTTGGATATCTAGAAAACACCAAAGGATATAAACTATACAATCTCGAAAAGAAAGCATTTTCTGGTTTTTAAATTGTAATTGATCTCGTAGTTTGTTAGTTTGAGGGCCACAAGTTTTTCGCACTTGTTGTGTCACGTGTTACCCTCTTTTAATAAAGTTTCATCATCATCAATCCGACTGGTAGCACAAGGCTACACTCAATCACCAGGTATAGATTATAAAGGTTCGCACCTGTTGTAAGATATAGTTCGATAAGATCGTTACTTGCAGTTGCCACCATTTGTGACTGGGAAGTTTACCAAGTCGATGTTAAAACTGCATTTTTACAAGGAAATCTGAAAGAGGAGATTTATATGAAACAACCCGATGGATTTGTTGAAAAAGAACAACCAGATTACGTTTGTAGATTAAAGAAAAGTATATATGGACTTAAGCAAGCGGCGAGATGCTGGAATAACGTGATTAACACTTATCTGTTATCCAATGATTATAAGAAATGCACCGCTGATCCCTGCATCTGCATTAAATCAGTGAAGTCTAAAGATCGTACAATTAAGTTCGTAACTGTAGCGATATATGTTAATGATATGATGTTCTTCTCAAACGATATTAAGATTTTGCAACAAGAAAAGAAAGCGATGGCAAGGAAATTTCAAATTGAAGATTAGGAGAGCTGCACCACATCCTTGGAATGACAATTCTAAGAAATCGAGGATCACGAACAATGTCTATTACTCAAACAAATTATTTAGAAGGTGTGCTCAAGAAGTTTGAGTTGGAGAATTGTAAGTCTGTTTCAACACTCTTGTAAACAGGAAAGAAGTACGAAAAATTGTCAGATGAAAATGAATCATTTGATAGACGAACTTATCAAAAAGCAATTGGTTGTTTAACGTACGCAGCAACAATCAGTAGACCAGATTTGTCCACAGCCGTCAGCATACTATCTACGTTTATGTCTAATTCTAGTATACAGCATTGGAAAGGAGTGAAGCGAGTATTTCGTTACCATAAAGGAACACTGAATTATAGCTTGCTTTATACTGCTGAAAATACAAGCACGATTTTGACAGGATATTCGGATGCAGATTGGGGAGGAGACATTACAAGTCGACGTTCGACAACAGGATACGTTTTTCAAGTACAAGGTAACACAGTAAGTTGGTGTAGTAAACGTCAAGGATGTGTAGCAAGATCGACAACAGAGGTGGAGTACATTGCTCTGAGTACTACTTGTCAGGAAGGGATTTGGTTAAGAAGATTGCTGGAAAATATTTCGAAGAAACAAGATTGCCCTACCATCCTATATGAAGATAATCAAGGAACGATTGAGTTAACTAAGAATCCAAAATTTCACAATAGAACAAAGCATATCGATATATCGTATCATTACGTCGGAGAGCAAGTTGAGAACAAGAACATTACTATCAAGTGTTGTAAAACTGAAGATATGTTAGCGGATGTAATGACTAAAGGATTAACAAAAGGTCGTTTTGAAAAATGTAGAAGCAAACTGGGACTTATGGAAGTTTAAGAACGAAGGACTATATTATCTATGAACACTATTAGTTAAGTTTTGTTAATTATACTGTGATTATTAAGTTGGAGTGTTAGATAAGAAACATATTTATAATAATCACAGTAGCATTTTAAAAGTCCACGTGACTACAGTTACGTAATATTGTTTTGCTCTCTCCACATTTTTGTTATGTTGATGAAACACACAGTTATAGTTATATGAATAAAATCCATCTTAATTCTTAATCACAATTATATGACTGATCATTTAAAAATAAATAAACAAAGATTTCCACAAAATCATGTGAAATTCATAAACAATGCAAAACAACACATAGAATGAAGACACAACACCAAGCACTGTTTTTGTTGTGAATGTTTGTAAAAGTTGGGCCATGCAACGAGGCTTTTCTGAAGCGATAGAGTTTACGAAGCCAGACAGCAGTAGACGGCTCTTTGCAAAATATCTCAAAGTATATTATTAGCACGTTATATTATAGTTTCTCGTACAATTACGGCACAACATGCACTTGTGAGTTTTTTAAAGACTACAATAATATTTCGTTACAATCTTAGAAAAAATTCCCCGGTGAATGTTTATCAGTAACTGTTCTCGAAACCATACTTTTACTTATGTACAAATACAATCTTTTATTTCAAACGCTCATCATATTTTGGAAAAGTTTGTTATGTAATGTTTAGTGTTTACGGGTTGTCTATTATTTTGCGTCGTTATGTCGAGCCTTTTTTGTCCAGTTTGAATCAAAAAAACCTTTACGTTGAATTGTTCAATTTTACGTTTTTGCAATCAGGATGATGAAATTGCGTCACTTCAAAATGAGCTTAGAAATCTAAGAAGTAAAATATCTTCAGGTAAGAAGTTAGAACTTTATTTTTTTTATTAACACTTGTCACTTACATGTCGTAGAGAAATCTTTTCGACGCCATTCAAGCTTTATTTTGTACGTAATAGAAGCTGATGTTCTTGCCAAACAGCAACTGAACTCCTTGGAGATGACGGTGCAAACCAAAAATAAACAAATGGCTTTACTGAATCTTGCCATTAAACAACGAGATGGCGAAATCGAAAGGCTTACGGTGCTCACGAGGTGAGATGTACAAGAGTGGAAACGAAACTTTATACCTGCGTGAGGAAAATATTCTTTCTAAAGCCTGTTTTCCACTAGCCACGTATCGTAACGTATCTTGGCAAAACGTAACATGACGCATGCGTGCTTGTGCCTATTGACCATCAAATTCATAAGCACGCATGCGCCATGTTACGTTTTGCTACGATACATTACGATACGTGGCAAGTTGAAAACAGGCTTAACTTCTACGTTCAACGAGAGTTTAATGAGAAGATTGGTTGTTGTTATTTCATTAGGTTTATAAGAATAACATTGGGCATAAATAATATATAATTATGTTTTATGGACATGACGTCATTTTATATGACGTCATTTTACATGACGTCAAATTTTTAAATTTCAAATTTTCTGTGTTAATAAAATCAGCTTGTCAAAAACAAGTATGGTGAAGCATCGCTTAAAATTAAATCATTTTTACTAACATCACTATTTGCTTCGAATATTTTTACCTAAAATTTCATTTAATTCATTAATTCTTTATTTCATCAAGTTTTAATGTTGACTTTTATCGTTTCATGTTTATTAAAGTCAAAACAATCGCTTTACTTTACATTCTGCTTATGTAACTCACTGTTTAGAAGTGCAATATTAATAACGTAGACGTACGTTTTTGGTCACGTGTCTGTTTTGTTATGTACCCCCATGTTCCTAAACATTGATAATGATAAAGTTTGAACTTCGATATCCTTGTGAGTACATCCATATACAATATGCGTCAATGTCTTGTCGATGTTTTGTCTTTATGTACCCCCATGCTCCTAAACATTGATAATGATAAAGTTTGAACTTCGATATCCTTTTGAGTACATCCATATACAATATGCGTCAATGTCTTGTCGATGTTTTGTCTTTATGTACCCCCATGCTCCTAAACATTGATAATGATAAAGTTTGTACTTCGATATCCTTGTTGGTACATTCATGATCCATATATATAATGCGCCAATGTCTCCTAGAGGTTTACAGCAATCGTTAACAAGAGTTTTGAGCAATGTTCAAGATCTTCGTCCAGATGATATTCTTAGTGATGTCTCAATGTTATCTGCATTTGATTCATGGAAACCTTCGGGGAGAAATCATTTAGCGCCAAGGTTTGTTCCTACTGATACATGTATAGATTACTGGAGTGTCAAATCAATGAATGCTCTGTGTTTGTTTACATTTGATTTCAGAACTCGACGAAAACGTTGTCATTATAAATTTTTTTTCGCGATACGAGTACTTTTCTATTATGGTATTATTTACTGTCATGATTTCTGTGGTTGATTTCATTGAAATTTGATCTAAAGTGTCTCTTAGAAATTTGGTCAAAAAGAAATTGGTTTTTCAATCAAAACATCGTTATATAATTTGAAATAAACTTTATCGCACACAACGGAAACTAATTGCAAATTTCCCCCTAATTTTACGAGAAATGAGGAGAGATATGATTGCTTGAATACAACAAAATGAATTTGTAGTCGGACGACGCTTTCTGAGCTCTGATTGGTTGAAATCTCAACGCAAAATCACCTGCTACCTGTAGAGCTACAAACACTTGACAGTGTAACTAACATACATTTTCATGTTCTTTTCCATACAGTAACGTACCACAGAGTACATCAACGTACCCATTCATCCCTCCATCGAAAAACGTCGCTCAACCAGATGTGAACTTCAACATTCAGGATCTCGGCCTTGCGTGTAACCGTGAGTACACCTCCCCAAGCAGGGTATATCGTAGGATGTCTGTGGATAGTATTGCCAACGATGAAGCAGATACTATTATGTCTGTATCATCAACGGATGAAGCGACTTTCAAACAGGATCTTGCCAATCTTGACTCCATGATTACGCGTCTTCAAAATAGTTTGAAAAGAAAATGAAGATACGTTAAACATATTTCAATGAGAAGCGTTAAGCTATCCTCCCTTACCGTCCGGAAATTACGATCTTTTTTTATTTGAAGCCCTAAACTTTACCCGTCCTGGCATTGCGATGAATTTTATGTGAAGCGTTCAACTATCCCCCCGTCCTTGCATTAAAATATATTTTTATGAGAAACGTTAAAATCTCCCCTCCCCCCTTTCTTGTTGACTTCAAAGCATCTAAAATATTGTAAATTTGTATCTGCAAAGTGTGTCCACACACCCAACTACAATTTGAAACATAAAATATCCGACATTGCAATATTCCATAAGAAGCGTCAAACTCCGCCTTCTCTTCTACCTTACCTTTAGTTACGTGTATGATTTTGTAACTGCAAATTGTATCCACACTCCGCCGATCCGCGTCGCCGCTTGCAGCTAACTTACATGTTCATAAAAATGGCTTAAAACAAAACTACAATAATCTATAAGTGTAAGAAAAATGTAGAAATTATCTTTTTGAGATTTTAACCAAACGGATGGAAGTATTAGTCGAATCTATTTGAAATGATATCGCTGCGAGCATAGCATCAAAGTCTAAATCGAAATAATTGCATAAGCGCTATTGTTTTGCTTTGGATACAAAACGAAACTGAAACTTGAAAGAAAATTTAAAAAATATTCACGCGAAAAACGATGATGACTCATTCTTGGAACGCATACCTCGTAAATAGTCTTCCAAGAAGTAAATGAAAGCGCTAAGATCGTCTTTTCCTGGAAGTTTCCTTCGAGTAAATGGGAGAGCGCAACCCCAGGGTATCGCACGAATTGTTAATTGCTCTTTCGTTTTCGTTATCATGTTAATATTGGCGAACGCGTTCAAGCAAGTCTTCACTGTTTACCTGTTCGCTATCTCGACTTGAGCTTTCATTCCATCAACATGAGTGCGTCAAATTTACAAGTTTTAATGCATGCTGGTGAACTTGAGTATATTGTGGAAAATATCAAGGAATCCAGACGAACATACAAAGTTATTGGTGGATGTCTCTTTGGCTTGTGGCGCAACTCTCTTGTACAGCCAGTCGTTCAGTTTGTAACTGGTCATGTTAAACCTTCCAAAAACTTGGAAGGGCAAGAGATCGATAACATCATCAATGGTGAATTCGTAGAAAAATTCACTTCAACAATGTTGAAAAATCACTCCTTAGTACGACTTGGATTTTGGTTCACATCTTTTGAAGAAAACTTTGATGAATTTCGAGAAAGTGGTAAAGTTTTACTTCGCTTTATCTTGAGTATAATTTTCTCGACTTGCAAAATGTATATTGCTTGCTGTTTTATCCACAGTGCCGTTCTGAATCATTTTGAGGATTGTGTTTTGTAAAATGTATCTGGAAATCACTCAGACAGATGTTTATGTTATTCTTATTTTAGTATTGCAGGAGTTTCAAAACAGAAACAAAGATAAGTTACTGCTTTTTATTAACTACACCGAGGATAGTGGAAGGGGGAATATTATCGGCGAATACGATCTTTCAAACTCGACGATTCCACTGTACAAGGAAGGTACATAATGTGCATTTTATTATCTTGCAGTATTTTGAAATACTTGTCCAATAACAAGGTTGCCAAGACGTTGCATTCACAAAAAGAGACAAAATGAAAGTAAATTGAATTGTGTTATTGTAAGGCACTACAGACCTTGAACTCTTACCTCTAAGGAATGAGTTGAGACATTCGCGTATGTGTGTTGTGTATAGCGGACGGTTATGATAGAAAGTTTTATACAATACGATCCTTTCTATATTTCAGATATACTTGACGGTCATAGCTCTTTTAGAAAATATGACGACCTCACTCAAAAAATTGGAAAGAATCGAGATTTAGTTGTACCCCCTGGTATTTCCGAAGATCAAGATGTTAGACCCGAGGTGAATAACCTGATTGCCATGCTCCCCTCGCGTACACAAACCTCCGAAGCTTCTATAATTCCTACACAGTGGTATTCAACTGACCAAGGAATGGAGCTTCTACAAAAGTTAATGCAATGTTTTAACTCGCAGCATATTACGCCAGAAATGTCCAGAGATGCGACAACTCATAATTTGCAATTCAATCTGAATCGTGACTATGCCCTTGTATTTCCACCTAATTTCCCTAAAAGCTTGCCTGTTTTGCACAATTCGTTTGACGGCAAAATAAATTTTAAAAGAAATGAGATTGATAAGAGCGACGTTTGTGGAAGTGTTGTACGTGCTGTCGTTAGGAAAATACAATCTCACCGAAGATAGTGAAACCATTATGGTGAAATGGAAATGGAAACTTTTAGTTCTATAAAGTAAACAATATTCTTTCAACATGCACATGTAACAAAACTTGCACTTGACTGGCTAATTTACATCTAACATACATGCATATACTGATGTAAAAACATACTTTTATGTAGTTAAATGTATTCTATGTATTCTGGCATAAAATGTATTTCCATAATAAACAATTTGAATGCTTTTACTTTCGTTCTTTTAAAGTGTAATTCGAAACAGTTCAATGATTGTGAAACTATAGGTGCTGCTCTTTCGAAGAAATCATCTCTAATTTCGGTTTCTGTTTTGTTTGCGTCCATAAACATGTAAAGTGTCATCGTTCGTGTTAAATCACTATGTTATGATGGAGAAAGCAGTGAAACAGAAAGACTAGCGTTGGAATTGTTGTAAAAGTACAATGTCGTCGTCCACTCCTCGATTGCTAATCAATAGAGAAGAATTGAACGAAATATGGAGGATAATGCTATCGGCTAAGAAACCAAAACATAAAATGGTTGGTGGACTTTATGGTCTGTGGCGAAACTCTTTACGACAGCCAGTCATTGAACTGATTACTGGCCCTGGTAAATACATCAATCAATCCGACAAAGCAAAGAACCATGATTACAAATTCGACAAAGACTATCATGAATTTATCACAAAGTATTTGAATGAGGAACATGGCTTGATGCAGATTGGATTGTGGTGTTCGGGAAAAGCGAACAGTTATCCATCTTGTAAGTGAAAGTTAAAAAAATACGTTGTTTTCATTACACCAATTCTTTTGAATGAACGAATCACTCGTTGTACATTTCTTGCAACCACACGATCAAATCTCTGCATTGTAATATTTCGAATTAAAGCCTCATGTACCGTGTCATTTTTTGAATTCTTTCCTGTTTGGATCTTTGTTCTTTCCCAAAAACAATGTTTATAAAACTAAGACTTTGCACTGTGTTCAAGTGACTTTTAATCATGATCTTCCCTAATTTATCGTCATCCTTTTTCAGTAAATCCTCAAAACATAAAGGAGTTTCGTGGACTGCCAAAAAATGGACGACCAATATATTTGATGTTTGTCGATAGAAGTAATGAATGTGCAGAAATTGAGTATTGTGTTGTCGACAAGGATAAACGCAATAATAGTCCAATGATCCAATTTACTCACGAAGGTCCGTGGTTGTGTTTTTGATTTGAAAACTGCCCTTATTATTTATAACTATTTCTTTGCTTTTTATTGATATCGTTGATTTCCGTTCATATTATTTAGACATTCTTCCCGATTCAAGTGGTTTCAGGAAGTTAGATGAAGTCGTGAGGAAACTGTCGAATAATTCAAATTTTACTCCTGGTTTTCCAAATGTTAAAATGCCTTTTAGAATAGAAGAAGAAAAAAAAGAAGAAAGAGAAAAACAAAAAATAGAAGGAACGAAAGAACAGTGGTACGACAGTGGTGGCGGACGAGTTCTTTGCCGACATATCAACGATAAGTTGGAAATGATCACCCCTCACATAGTCATTTCCCGCGATACGGTTTCATACAATTTAAGCATTGATATCGATGATAAAGTTTCCCTTCACTTTCCTGCTGATTTTCCCGTATCCCCAATGTCCATATCGTGGACAGGCGATATTTCATCATTCACAAAGAATCCAAATGAAATAGCTGATGTGATTTGCGACAGAATACTCAATATTCTTCATAAGGTAGAAGAAAATAATATCCAAGTCACAAATGTGTAAGCCATCCATAACCAAACATTGTAAGCCTCGCTTCAGTTCCATCTTGTATTTTTATTTATGCGCTGTAAATTATTTTATTAAGTTTCACATTGTTGGAAATTCGTATTTATATGAACTATTTATGAAAGATTTGGTTTGTATCGAGATCGTGTATTGCTCAAAAACTCACATAGATGCATTTAGCCAAATTTATGATGAATGATGTACTTTTGTATTTATTTAATATACATAAAATATCTTACGAAAAACTAACCTTTCCTCTTTTTCTCTCATTCCATGTAGTACAATGTTAAAAATACAAAAATATTCTGGCCGTTTCTATACAATATTCTGGCCGACTCCTACAATACTGAGTCGGTCGATGAACTTGTTCAATATTATTAGTTGGGAGGTTCTGTTGCATTCAATAAAACAGTTCAATGGGTGGAAAATTGAACATGACATTTAATGTATATTGTAACAATCGCAGAGATAGACGCATGCTCTCTTACGATCAGTTCCATTTCATATGTTAAAATCGTGAAATCTATTTGAATTTTTTTGCTTCTGCTGTCAAGTAAGGTAAAGAAATCCGAAATGAAACCGCGATGATTTCACGTTCACAATAATGTAATATTCAATATCTGCCACGGTTAAGTTTCAATTTAATTTAAAACATTAAATACATGAATTCTTTCGTTATCTATATCAGCCAATCTCCGAAATTTTGGATTAAAATTACCTGTTTATATTCTCACGTATCTATTTATACATGACAAAGTCTCGACTATTGAACATACAGCATATATTTTTACTCGCAAATTCAATAACTCATTTGTGAAACATAAGAAATATTCAATCTAGGCTATAGTTCCATATTTAACTGGCTATTTATTTGTCCGTGATTCGTAAGTTTTATATATAATTACCTTTACAAACGTCGGTTACTCAAAAATACATCACATTACACGATTTTTCTTAACAAAGCGAAAGTGAACATTAAGTTTAATAATACCAAGAAACGACAATACCCAGAAATCGACACACAAAAAGAAAGTTTTTTCGTAATCTTTGTTATCTTTCATCGTCTTTGTCTTCGTCGTTTTCAAGTGATTCCTTGACTTGTTCGATCATAGTTGATGCGTAAACCAAACCAAAAAATCCAGAGGCTGCCATTTTGGTCGCGACGACATTGTCAGGATTGGGAGTTCTTGTGACGCGGAGTTTGCCGGTTGTTGGATCAAATTCTAATTTCTCCAACGGTTCGCTACCACCAGCTACTTTAGACAGATGTCCCTGAATATCTCTACTGTTGGTCGACATTATGAAACCTTCGTTCTTTATTTAGTTTTTCCCTCTTCGTCTCTGTAGTAACTCTCAGTAGTCTTCACGACGTCGAAGTAAAACTGACACTCTTTGTTTTTATTTGTCTTTATATATCCATGCACGAAAAATTGGCCAATGACACTCGATTTGCGTATCGAAACTGATGACATCACTGATGTAAACGGGAATTCTTGGTTATGATTCGTTGCATTTTCATTTTCATAGGGGAGTTCCCATAAAGGGGGTTCCCAGCTCATCGTAAGATTAGTCACCAGGCTTTGCGTATTTTTGATGTCACAGATCTTTTCTCGCATTTGCAAAATATAATATTGCAAAATGAATATGGCGACATCTGAGTCGGTGATTTGAAGTTGTGTAAATACTTGATGTTAAATGTATAAGGTGGAGTTGAGATTACGAGTCTTGGCGCTTATATAATTGTTTGACATGCAAGAAGTAATGAAATACATGCTCTTTATAAACTGGATCAGACATAATCCAAAAAATAGATAGAAAAAAAGACAAGAATGTTTTACAACAGTGTAGGTAGTCAGGCTGTATTTTGCCTGTTTTTTATTGTACGCATAATGATCTTGAACGTACAAAAACTTTACACATGTATGCGTTATTTAACAAGCATGCCGTCAATGCAAAATAAAGAATTGAATACTGTTCCAAACTCTACAAGTCAATTGTCCAGTTGTGATTGATAAGCTTTAATATAACTACGTTTTCTTTTGATGATTAGATGCAAGCTATAAAATACATCACAATCTGCGATGGTTCAATTTCACTTCACAATACGAAAGTATGCATTAAATGTATGCTAATATAAGAAACCACGTGACTTAGGAATTGAATAGCAAAGATAGAGTTGTTTTTGAAATATTTTGCCTCGTCATGGACATCGTCATCTTCGTCATTCTTTTCTGGAGGAGGGGGGACTATGGGCAGTCGAAATCTTCAAATGCCTCTTTTGATATCTCAGTGAAGATAGTTGTATCTTGTTTGTAAATTCTTGTAACTCGGAGTCTGCCGGTTGCTGGATCAAATACTAACTTCTCTATCGATGTTACCTCTTGCTGCTCTTGACAAATGTTCCTCAATATCTCTAGCCTCGTTATCAGCATTGTGATTTCTTCTAACTCGGATATAACTAAATTTCGGTGTTTCTTTTTTACGAAAGACTTTATCATAAGCTGTGTGTGTCGTAGCAAGATTAAGGCAAAAACATTTAAAATGTCAAAGATGAAATCATAGGTTTAAACATGCGTGGAAATACCGCTTACTATGCCCATGATCTTATGACTTGTCCATTTGTCCGAAACAATCAAGAGCAATTAAATGGACGAGGATAAATGCTCGCTTGTTTTACAAGAAATAAGTGGATTTTCGTCGCAAATTGTAAAAGAAACTCTATGAATGCAGGTGGGACGTTGGGGGGACAGAATCTTACAAATGGCCTTAACAGTTGCGTCGTTTGTCTTGGCTGGATTCATAATCATCTCATGATTCAAAATTTAATGCCGTGGTGTTGCAAAATGAGTTGATTAGTTTAATGAAGTTTTTTTATCAGTGCTACAAAGGATAGTATTCTCTAGTTGAGTGTGGTTGTTACAATCTTCTTGATCAATCCTTATAATAGGGTATTGGTAAATGTACATATAAATTCAACCATACCGTCACACATACTTTGCATAGTCTTTAAATGAACGCGTGCTCCAACCGATTTTATAGCTGCAGATTACATCGATTGGTATGCATCAAATAGGTAATTCGATGGATAGATGTGTATCAATAGGCATGTATTTAAATGATAAGGTGTGGTCTTTAATATGCAACAAATTTGCATACATGTCGATAGCTATATACATACTCAATCATATACAGTCGCTGCAAAATAAAGAATCGAAATTATGTACCAAACTTTAAATTTATAAATCAATTTTATAATTGATAAGTTTTAACATAAATAACTACATTTTCCTTCGTTCATCATGTGCTATAAAACAATTTCGCAATCTACAGTTGCTGAATTCCACTTCACAAAAACGAAACTGTGCAACTAAATTTATGTTACCAAGAAATCACAGCATGTGCATTGAGAAATTGACAAATATGTGACTTTTACGTGAGCGTTTCATGTTGTGTAGACAAGACCAAAGAATCCATCTTCTGCCATTTTGGTCGCGACGACATTGTCAGGATTGGTAGTGCTTGTGACGCGGAGTTTTCCGGTTGCTGGATCAAATTGTAACTGTTTTGTCGGCTCACCTCCTCTTGCTACCATAGATAAATGTCCCTGAACATAATCAGCATCGTGATTTTTCGTGGTACGGAGTATGCCGGTTTTTGGATCATACACAAATTTCTCCATCGCTTCAGTTCCTATTATTAAGTTTCTTTTCTTTTTTGATTTCTCGTATAAAGTCTTCCAATCTTACGCTGTGTCTGTGTCGTAGCAAGAATAACGATTTCAGTCCTACACTCATCTATACATATATATATATATATATGCACAAAATTTGAACCAATCAGAGACGTTCGCTCATGAAAGATGATGACATCATGGCGGTCAGCATTTATTTTTCGTCCATTTTGTGGGTTGCCGTGGTATATTGTGGAACATTCATCTGATTTTTTCACAATGTAATTTTGTCAATGGAAGATCATTTTGTTTTTTTCTTTACACCATATGAAGTGTTGTGCCAAATCATTTCTGAAAATCACTGTACAGAGAACATGAGATTTTACGTTTAATGCCAAAACAAGCTTGAACAAAACTTGACACTTACGAATTTTACCGAAAGAAACATATTATTATACATAATATCGATTGCAACCATATATTACATAGGAGCTTGCTATGAATATAGATGAAAACCAATTCAATGTTTGTGTAAACGTACTTATATGACAACACAACTATCCTTCTCATAAATTTTGCTTCCATTTTGTTCGAATGCTGAAACATTAAGGTGTTACGTTTTTACCTGACGTGAAGGGTAACGACAGTGGAATGTGGTGAAGGAAAGGGAAAAAGCGCATTTTATGTTCGGTTTTACGTATTTTGATGAACCTTTGTAATTTTACCAACACACATAGTTGCACATTTAAGATATTTATATTTATTAACTATACCAAATTCAATGCTAAGAAATGCGAATGTGCTAACTATGAAATTCTAAATGTTTCTGTTTTTGACAAAGATTACAGCTTTTCATTTATTTTATACCTACGAGCTCCATTGATACAGATGTGCATAAAATAATTAAAAAAATGATCATTTTACATAATGCTTTTGACTATATAAAATATATTTATACGTTTGCGTTACTCAATTGTGCAGTCACAAAAATGAAACCATAAATTATATCGTCATTTTACCAAGAAGTCGCAGTTCTGAGAAGTTACAAACAAAAATATGGCTGTTTCGAAAGCATTCTATCTTCTTCATCGTCTTCGTCATCATCATACCCAAACGATTCTTCAACTTGTTTTATCAACGTAGATGTGTACACAAGACCGAAGAATCCATCTCCTGCCATTTCGGTCGCGACGACATTGTCCGGATTGGGAGTTCTTGTGACGCGGAGTTTGCCGGTTGCTGGATCAAATTCTAACTTATCCAACGGTTCGCTACCACTGGCTACTCTAGACAGATGTCCCTGAACATTATCAGCATCGTGATTTCTTGTCTTATGGAGTTTGCCGGTTGTTGAATCATACACAAATTTCTCCATCGCTTCAGTTCCTATTATTAAGTTTCTTTTCTTCTTTGATTTCTCGTATAAAGTCTTCCAATCTTACGCTGTGGCTGTGTCGTAGCAAGAATAACGATTTCACTCCTACACTCATCTATACATATATATATATATGCACAAAATTTGAACCAATCACAGACGTTCGCTCATCAAAGATGATGACATCATGGTCGTCAACATTTATTTTTCGTCAATTTTGTGGGTTGCCGTGGTATATTGTGGAACATTCATCTGATTTTTTCACAATGTAATTTTGTCAGTGGAAGATCATTTTCTTTTTTTCTTTACACCATATGAAGTGTTGTGCCAAATCATTTCTGAAAATCACTGTACAGAGAACATGAGATTTTACGTATAATACCAAAATAAGCTTGAACAAAACTTGAAACTTACGAATTTTACAGAAAGAAACATATTATTATACATAATATCGATTGCAACCATATATTACATAGGAGCTTGCTATGAATATAGATGAAAACCAATTCAATGTTTGTGTAAACGTACTTATATGACAACACAACTATCCTTCTCATAAATTTTGCTTCCATTTTGTTCGAATGCTGAAACATTAAGGTGTTACGTTTTTACCTGACGTGAAGGGTAACGACAGTGGAATGTGGTGAAGGAAAGGGAAAAAGCGCATTTTATGTTCGGTTTTACGTATTTTGATGAACCTTTGTAATTTTACCAACACACATAGTTGCACATTTAAGATATTTATATTTATTAACTATACCAAATTCAATGCTAAGAAATGCGAATGTGCTAACTATGAAATTCTAAATGTTTCTGTTTTTGACAAAGATTACAGCTTTTCATTTATTTTATACCTATGAGCTCCATTGATACAGATGTGCATAAAAAAATTAAAAAAATGATCATTTTACATAATGCTTTTGACTATATAAAATATATTTATACGTTTGCGTTACTCAATTGTGCAGTCACAAAAATGAAACCATAAATTATATTTTCATTTTACCAAGAAGTCGCAGTTCTGGGAAGTTACAAACAAAAATATGGCTGTTTCGAAAGCATTCTATCTTCTTCATCGTCTTCGTCATCATCATATCCAAATGATTCTTCAACTTGTTTTATCAGCGTAGATGTGTACACAAGACCAAAAAAACCAGAGGCTGCCATTTCGGTCGCGACGACATTGTCAGGATTGGGAGTGCTTGTGACGCGGAGTTTGCCGGTTGCTGGATCAAATTCCAATTTCTGATTTGTTTTTTTTCCCTGGGCAACTGTTGTTAGATGTCCCTGAATATCTCTACTCTGGGACATTATAGCGAAAATATTGTTCTCCTTCTTCGCTTTTTCGTTTAAAGTCTTACTACCGTTCCCTTGTCGTGATAAGAATACGATTTCGTTTCTTGCGTTTATTTATGCACAAGGAATAAACCAATCACAAGCGCTTTTTTCTTCGAAGATAATGACATCATACACGTAGGTAAACATGCACATTTGCATAGTATTAAAATCTTTGCCCATGTAGAGGGTTCTAGCTTCACCATGGAAGCTGTCGCCTCACTTGTTCGTGATTAAAATTTTGTATTTGAAAAATGTTGTTTTGCCTAGCCAATTAAATAGGTACAACATAAATTATACATTACTTTTGAAAAAACAATGCTACAATATCGAAAGAAGTTGCCAGTTCGATAATATTTAAATCATGCCTTTTTGTGTTTGGTTTATATTGCTCACGACAACATGTGATTGGCCAATTGAGCCAATCTGAGATTTTTTCTTGTCTGTACTTTCAAATGGTTCAACTGTAAATCAATAAAATGGCAAAATGTGTTCCTCATCACGAAAGATGTATATGCTTTTGTTGACTTGTATGTCATTATTCTCTTCACTTTTAGTTTATTAAATCTTTCACAAGCTGTAATCGCTAAACAGTTATCAGTGGAGTGTAGATTTAGCTATTAAGATTTGTTGCACATTTCTTCAAAAGATAATTTAACGATGTATGAGGGATTTTAGAAATGTGTACGTGTTTTCATGTAAGCCAGGAGCTTTTTCTGCGAATATATATTATAGAACTAAGTTAAATTTTTATTGCTTTCACTTTCTTTTTCTTTATTGTCTTTAGCGCGTGACGCTTTTTATACTCTGCATGTAAATGCTATTTCTTTCAACAATAAAATCAAAATACTTTTACTTTCAACTGCTATTTCACACTGGTAATATACTCACTGCCTGAGAATTCTTACTGCTTGAAGCCATTTCAGTAATTCAATTATGATATTTTTTTTATTTTTTTTTGTAATTTAACAAATCATTCCAGTATCTTCTTACATACGTATAATTGTGGAAGATACGCTTGTTTAGCATTACAAACTGTTTCCAGGTATCCAATTATTCTTTTCTTGCGATAAAATTAATATGTAAACAATGAATAGTTTCAATTCTTCAATCGCTTGGCTTGTTCACAAAGTATTGTAGCTTCGTATTTTCCGTTTGCGGCCATTTCAGACATTTTTGCTGCAGGAAAATAAAAGAAAAAAAATGTCTAGCCACCCTGAATTCGTTGCCTACATGTATGAAAACGATTATAAGGAGATTCAAAAGTTGGTGAGCTACTATCCAAACATTGAGACAGGAGGAAATCTCTTTGGACTTTGGCGAAATGATAACACTGTCGTTATTCAACGTTTTATCGGACCTGGAAAGAATTGCTCACGTACTAAAACCTCGTTCCATCAAGATGTTCAATATCTGGAAAAAATTGGATCTTTGATCACTTCTAAAGAAGGTCTTTGCAATGTTGGAGAATGGCGCTCTCATCATCAGATTGGAATGCCCAAGCCCAGTGAAGGTGATTGCAGAACAATAAAGTCTAATATGTCACATCTTGGTGTGGAAAGACTTATCTTTTTTATTGCTACCATCGATTTTCATCCTGGCCTGAATAGAACAAACGACATTCCTCCTTTGGACAATATCAAAATACGTCCATACCTCTTCTTGAGCTCAAAACCTAGTTACATTGAAGGTAATTTAACCCTAATAAGTTGTTTTTGTGTTGATCATAAAATCTGCATTCACTGTGCGCATGAACGGCCATACTTAAAATATGTGCTTCTTTTGATTGAAATTATTGTGCTTATATTATTCAATTATTATTATTGAATTCGAGACATGATTACAATACAGGTACTTTGACCCGTTTAGTGCTCCTTTTCAAAAACTTTATTTGAGTTAAATGAAAGCATGTGACTTATTGCTGTAAAATGTATACTTTAGGAAAAATCAAATTTATGTCTGGGACAAAAGAAGATCCTCATTCCACTAACAAGAATAGCCGTATAGCACGTGAAATTGAAGCAGTTCAATTACAGATGTCCGGAAATGGATTTTTCGGAGTGTATAGCGATATAGCACGTGAAATTGAAGAGGGAAAAGAACCTCCACAACATCGCAGAGATAAACGGGTAAATTCTACAATGAGAGATGAGCCAAATAATGAGAACATTCCACCAAACTCAGGGACAGAGAATAGAGATCTCCACTCACGTACTTCTTACAATCAGCAAGCTATTGCCTCACAAGGAGCAAGGAATCCTTCACACAATTCAATGACAGCAAATAAGTTGGGGGAAGTTGTTGATCTATCAAAGATATCCAGTGAGGGATTTTTCTGAGTACTATTTTCAACATAAGAAAGTGCTGTAAACATTACCGATTAGCATTCAGACTAAGGATTATGTGATATTCACGGCACGGGATAAATTCCTGCCATCACCTGAATCTTTGTGCACTTATTAATTTATATGTATGATTGTACATATGTAGCCTGTTTTAATTTTTTGTAATTGACACGTTGTATAGTCTGTTAGTAAAGTACTCTCAAAATCATCCTGTTTAAAATGTGTTTCTAATACTGTTGGACTTTATTCAAAAATACTGAAATTCCGTAAGCGTAACGTGGATTGGAATGATTTTGGTGATCTTATGCAAGAATAGATAATATGTATATACATTGCAATATGAATTGTTATTATTGAGGGGATTGTTATGTGAGGTTAAAGTGATTTATCCTGTCAACATAGCAGTGATGGAAAGCGCCAGATATGATAGACTTCAACATATCCATCTATAGTACGTACACTTTCTAATTTGTTAAGCTGAGACAATTTTTTTTATATCTTCAACTTCTTTATTAATCGCTCACAATGAATAAAATGTTTTGAAACTTCCATGCCAAGTTATTGCTGGATAATTATTCTTGGTACCGTCTTAGTTGGGTATTTAGAGTTATTCTTGTGTTCGAAACAAGAATTTTGCACACAAACACATTTACTGATTAAATATTTACATAATGCAAATATTGTTTGCTAAATGGTTTTGGCGAAACACGATTCGGAAAGTAATTGTTGCTCATTTTATCGTTCTATTGCCGTTTCCATTTTCACGAAACACACGAGATGAAATTTGAAAGTTCTCCATTAATTACAGTGTTTCAATTTTAATTTTGTCTTTGAAATTAGAAACCCTTTCCAAATAAAAAATGGTTGTGAAAGTGAATTAATCTTAGGCTGCGTTTACACAATACCAGATTCGCTCATCACGACATCTTCATTTGCTTTAAAGGGGTAACTATTCGGAGTAAAAGCTTATTAAGCTGATAGATTTAGTCTATTTGATTATGTTTTTGACGTTGAACAATTTCACTGCCCTTTAATACAAAGAATATTCAGCCTGCTACGATAGCAATCCGGTATAGTGTAAACGGGGCTTTAGGTAGCATCTTTGCTTTTGCTTTCTTTTCGCATATTGTGTATTTGTGTATTTTGTGTTTCGTCTACTTTAGATGGATTTTTGTGAAGACTATTTTCAACTAGAGACAGTTGTGTAAACATTACTAATTGCCTTTTTTAAAGAAATTTCAAAGAGAGGGGGGGGAGAGGGCAAAACAGGAAAAATGGCACAACAAAAATGTAGCCTTAAGGTTCAGCAAATTCCTAAATTCTGAAGAGAAATTTTGTAAAACTTTATTTTTTAACTACAACTTTGTTTTACTTTAAGCAATAATTCAAACTCTCTGTTGCTATAATCGTACAGCTAAACTGCATAATATAACTTGAAACTTTTAAGAAAAAAATCTCGTAACAAAATCTCTTTGTTTAAACGTTTCAAGACATGACTTGCACTGCGAATGCGCAAAGATTTATCAGTTGAACGAGCTTAATGGAGCTGAATCTTAAAGTTTGTGGCACGTTCTAATACTTTAGCTTTCTATACTACAATGCCTTGATCACAGAGTCAACGAGAAAGACTAGACATCGAGATAACTTCATTGTGATCCTTCTTTGTCATTGGTTCCTGCACATCTTCCCGCTAGTTGCCATGACGCAATGGTCACTGCCGAAAGTGAATGTCTCCAGTTTCTGCTCGTCTTTCTACCATCGCTGTTCTACATTCTTACAGTTCGTTTATCAGATCCTCGTAAATTTAAATAGTTTCGTTGAAATTGTCGAGTTCCAGGTGATGAAAGTAAGTACGTTGGATAAAATGATCGTTAAAATTTTTTATCTGCACGCAAGCAATTTCATAAGTATGTACATAAAGCGAAACCAAGAACGTTAATTCAGTTGGATAATTTGTGCTGAAATATATTGTTATGCTATGCAGTAGCTTTCATTAAGGTGCTTAACTTCGTGAAATTATTCTCAAGAAGTTGTGCTTTCACTAGTGTTTGTTGATTTTTGTGCGGAAGTTTCAATATAGTTTACTAGGATATTATCGTACTGTCTAACTGTTATGGTTTGTCAGTTTTAGGAGAGTTAAAAAAGTCAAGATCTTCTTCCGATATATTGGGTAGTTCCCTGCAAGCAGCACAATCCTTCTTTCTTTCAAACTCGACCGGATACCATCTCAGTATGGAAGGCTTGTTGAAGCAAGCAAAGCCATCCTCAGGATAAGCAGTGAACTCTTGCTCGCGTCGATTGGCCCAGCGATAATAGGGTGCACTTAGATCTTTCTCTAAAGTGGCCAAAGCGCTGTCCTTACCACGACATAACTCTACCAACGCAACCTTCACTATCATTGTGCCAATTGGTATGATGTCTGACGAAAGTCCAACTTGTATTGTTGTCTCCACGTCTTCGTTGCTGACGTAGGATGGTTGTGCTGCCCTCGCTTGACGATAAGTAGACACCTAGAGTAACATACGTAAGATGATTTCGTCTAAACTTAACTATCCACAACTTAAGCATATAGTGGAAACTAAGAACAAATCAAAGTTTGTTTATGCGGACATAAGCCGTTTGCACTCATTTTCTTCCATTAGCATGGGGAAGCAACAATTGCTACCTCTATTCTTGGATAAAATCATCATTTTTAACTATGGTTTGGAAGGCCTACCTCTTCTCGGCTAGCTTCGAAACTTTGGTTGCTGAACACACAGCTAAAACAAGGTCCGTCATTCGGTCGAACACGGAGTACCTCGCCACCTGCGGCACGCACCGAACACTTTCCGAAGATTGTAGGAATCTTGTACTCAATGGCAATGCTGTTGATATTAAGCCGACTGCGGACGTTGTCAGTCGCGGCGATTACAAGATCGCATTCTTTGAGGATCTTTCTAGCCTCGTGGATGTTGTTGATGTCAGTAGCATGAGTGTCAATGTTGATAAAAGGGTTTTTATTCAATAGCATTTCACGAAGGACATTTGTTTTAAGCCGACCCAGATCCCTAAGACCACATACGTGTCTTGCAATGTTATTCAACTCGATACGATCGAAGTCGATCAATACAAAGTTCCCAACGCCTGCTTTTGCCAATTCTACTGCAATGAACGACCCTCCACTTCCCAAACCGACAATAGCCACTTTACGTTTTTCAAGTAATCGAGATTCAAGGATGCCTTTACTGCGGGAGTAGAGTAACTCCTTTGAAGGTTGTAGTAGGATGTCACACTCCACTGCTTCGCTGTACTCCATGTTACGTAAATATACCTGCGTGAGGAAGATTACGCTGGCTCAGTTGTAAAATGTTTTTTATAGGAACTGAGAAAAATTGCAAAAATTTTTGTCACTACCCGCGAGAGCTTGCTTACCTTTATGCTATTTTCATTTTCCTTTTGGGCGTTCGAAATTTTCCCAATCATCAACAAAAGTTCTGATTTTGAGCTTTTTTCTTCGTCGAAGTACTCCGATACTGCTGATTTTATTTTGTCATTGTCATCTAGGCTATCTTCGTCGGCAAAAATCTTCAAAAGGACTTTCGTTTTGGTGTTGTCGATTTCTGAACTGTATCCATTTGTCTCGCCGTTGTGTGTAGTTGAATGTACACGAATATGAAACACAGTCGCGTCGTCAAATACCGACACTTGAATACAAGGGCTTTCTTGCTTCTTCACTTCTTCAATAAAATTTGGTTGCAAAAAGCAAACTACTGGCTTGTCATCCATCTCTCTCTTTGCTTGACCTTGTTAAAATGTTTGTAATAATCTAAGCTGATTCTTCGAAGGGCTTTTCCTTTAAATTGCCTGCCTTGTAACATCTCATTTCCGGTTTCGCTTTTACTTTGCCAAATACTCGACCAGATACAAATAAATTCACAAACTTCGCTAAATTGTTAAGGAGAAAATGATTACCTACGCAACTATTTCTTGTACGATAATGAAAATGAGCAACTTGAATATTAAAAAAGAAACGCGCTAGAAATTCAAAATTGTCGAGCATTTTTTCTTGAAGGCGCAGTCTTTCAGTTTTACTTAGCTAGTTTGGACTTCGGAACGGGTGTTCCAAGTAGAAAAGGCTTTCGAAAGTGAATTTTAACTTACATATTTTTGTTTTACTTTCTTTTTGTCAAGTAGCCATTAATATATGAATTAATACTTAAAATTAGTTAATATCGTAAGAACACGTTTATTTAACACTCCATGCTTCCAAGAACACAATTGTGCTGTTCTTGGAACAATTAAATCGAAACAGTAAATACTTTCAATTCTTATAACGCTTGGTTTATCTCGAAGTGTTTACATACTTACCAATCGTAGTCGTCGAAGATATTCTTCGTTGCAGGAAAATAAAACAAAAATGTCTAACCGCCCTGAATTCGTTGCCTACATGTATGAAAAAGATTATGAAGGAATTCAGAAGATGGTTCAACGTTATCCAGACATTGAGACTGGAGGAGATCTCTTTGGACTTTGGCAAGATGATAGCACTGTCGTTATTCAACGTTTTATTGGACCTGGAAAGAATTGCTCACGTACTAAAACCTCGTTCCATCAAGATGTTCAATATCTGGAAAAAGTTGGATCGTTGATCACTTCTAAAGAAGGTCTCTGCAATGTCGGAGAATGGCATTCACATCATACGCTTGGCCTGCCCTATCCCAGTGAAGGTGATCGCCAAACAATAAAGTCCAATATGCCTCATCTTGGTGTGCAAAGATTTGTCCTTTTTATTGCCACCATCGATTTTCATCCTGGCCTGAAGAGAACACACGACATTCCTTTGGACAAAATCAAAATACGTCCTTATCTCTTCTTAAGCTCAAAACGTAGTTACATTGAAGGTAATTCAACCTTTTTTTTGTGTTGTTCATAACATCTGCATTCGCTGTGCACATGAACGTTCATACTTAAAATATGTGCTTCTTTTGATTGAAATTGTTGTGTTTATATTATTCACTTATTATTATTGAATTCAAGACATGGTTACAATACAAGTACTTTGACCGTTTAATGCTCCTTTTCAAAAACTTTATTTGTTGTTTTTGAGTCAAATGAAAGCATGTGACTTATTGCTGTAAAATGTATACTTTAGGAAAAATCAAATTTATGTCTGAGACAAAAGAAAATCCTCATTCCACTAACAAGAATAGCCGTATAGCACGTGAAATTGAAGACGGAAAAGAGCCTCCAAAACATTGCGGAGATAAACGGGTAAATTCTACAAAGAGAGATGAGCCAAATGATGAGAATATTCCACCAAACTCAGGGAGTCGAGGATATTCTTCGTTGCAGGAAAATAAAACAAAAATGTCTAGCCGCCCTGAATTCGTGGCCTACATGTATGAAAAAGATTATGAAGGAATTCAGAAGATGGTTCAACGTTATCCAAACATTGAGACTGGAGGAGATCTCTTTGGACTTTGGCGAAGTGATAACACTGTCGTTATTCAACGTTTTATTGGACCTGGAAAGAATTGCTCACGTACTGAAACCTCGTTCCATCAAAATGTTCAATATCTGGAAAAAGTTGGATCTTTGATCACTTCTAAAGAAGGTCTCTGCAATGTTGGAGAATGGCATTCACATCATCAGATGAGAATGCCCAAGCCAAGTGAAGGTGATTGCAGAACAATAAAATCCAATATGCCTCATCTTGGTGTGGAAAGATTTGTCCTTTTTATTGCCACCATCGAGTTTAGTTCTGGCCTGAAGAGAGCACACGACATTCCTTTGGACAATATTAAAATACATCCTTATCTCTTCTTGAGCTCAAAACGTAGTTACATTGAAGGTAATTTAACCTTTTTTTTGTGTTGTTCATAACATCTGCATTCGCTGTGCGCATGAACGGTCATATTTAAAATATGTGCTTCTTTTGATTGAAATTGTTGTGTTTATATTATTCACTTATTATTATTGAATTCAAGACATGATTACAATACAGGTACTTTGACCCGTTTAATGCTCCTTTTCAAAAACTTTATTTGTTGTTTTTGAGTCAAATGAAAGCATGTGACTTATTGCTGTAAAATGTATACTTTAGGAAAAATCAAATTTATGTCTGAGACAAAAGAAAATCCTCATTCCACTAACAAGAATAGCCGTATAGCACGTGAAATTGAAGACGGAAAAGAGCCTCCAAAACATTGCGGAGATAAACGGGTAAATTCTACAAAGAGAGATGAGCCAAATGATGAGAATATTCCACCAAACTCAGAGTCGAGGATATTCTTCGTTGCAGGAAAATAAAACAAAATGTCTAGCCGCCCTGAATTCGTGGCCTACATGTATGAAAAAGATTATGAAGGAATTCAGAAGATGGTTCAACGTTATCCAAACATTGAGACTGGAGGAGATCTCTTTGGACTTTGGCGAAGTGATAACACTGTCGTTATTCAACGTTTTATTGGACCTGGAAAGAATTGCTTACGTACTGAAACCTCGTTCCATCAAGATGTTCAATATCTGGAAAAAATTGGATCTTTGATCACTTCTAAAGAAGGTCTCTGCAATGTTGGAGAATGGCATTCACATCATCAGATGAGAATGCCCAAGCCAAGTGAAGGTGATTGCAGAACAATAAAATCCAATATGCCTCATCTTGGTGTGGAAAGATTTGTCCTTTTTATTGCCACCATCGAGTTTAGTTCTGGCCTGAAGAGAGCACACGACATTCCTTTGGACAATATTAAAATACATCCTTATCTCTTCTTGAGCTCAAAACGTAGTTACATTGAAGGTAATTTAACCTTTTTGTGTTGTTCATAACATCTGCATTCGCTGTGCGCATGAACGGTCATATTTAAAATATGTGCTTCTTTTGATTGAAATTGTTGTGTTTATATTATTCAATTATTATTATTGAATTCAAGACATGATTACAATACAGGTACTTTGACACGTTTAATGCTCCTTTTCAAAAACTTTATTTGTTGTTCTTGAGTCAAATGAAAGCATGTGACTTATTGCTGTAAAATGTATACTTTAGGAAAAATAGAATTTATGTCTGGGACAAAAGAAAATTTTCCCTCTACTAACGTGTATAGTGAAATTGAACATGAAATTGAAGAGGGAAAAGAACCTCCAAAACATCACGGAGATAAACGGGTAAATTCTACAACGAGAGATGAACCTAATCGTGAGAATATTCCACCAAACTCAGGGACAGAGAGTAGAGATCTCCACTCACGTACTTCTAACAATCAGCAAGCTATTGCCTCACAAGGAGCAGGGAATCCTTCACACAGTTTAATGACAGCAAAGAAGTTGGGGGAAGTTGTTGATCTATCAAAGTTGTCCGGTGAGGGATTGATGTGATAACTATTTTCAACATAAGAAAGTGCTGTAAACATTACCAATTACCATTCAAACTAAGGATTATGTGATATTCACAGGATAAATTCCTATCATCACCTGAATGAATGAATGAATGAATTATTATTATTATTATTCTTAGAATTTATATGTATGATTGTACATATGTAGCCTGTTTTAATTTTTTGTAATTGATACGTGGTATAGTCTGTTAGTAAAGTACTCTCAAAATCATCCTGTTTAAAATGTGTTTCTAATACTGTTGGACTTTATTAAAAAATACTGAAATTCCGTAAGCGTAACGTGGATTGGAATGATTTTGGAGATCTTATGCAAGAATAGATAACATGTATAAACATTGTAATATGGATTGTTATTATTGAGGGGATTGTTATGTGAACTTAAAGTGATTTATCCTTTCTACATAGCCGTGATGGAAAGCGCCAGATATGATAGACTTCAATATATTAACTATTTAAAGTATGTTCACTTTCTGACTTGCTAAACTGAGACAATCTTTTTATATCTTCAACTCCTTTATTAAACGCTCAATGAATAAAATGTTCTAAACTTCCATGCCATAAAGTTAGTACTGGATGATTATTGTTGGTACCGTCTTAGTTGGTTATCTAGAGTTATTCTTGTGTTCGTAACAAAAAGTTTGCATACAAAAACATTTACTGATTAAATATTTACATAATGCAAATATTGTTTGCTAAATAGTTTTGGCGAAACACGATTTCGAAAAGAATTGTTGCTCATTTTATCGTGCTATTGCCGTTTCCATTCTCACGAAATACACGGGTTGAATTTTGAAAGTTCTCCATTAATTACAGTGTTTCAATTTTAATTTTTTTCTTAGAAATTAGAAACCCTTTCCAATAAAAAATGGTTGTGAAAGTGAATTAATTTTAGGCTGCGTTTACACTATACCGGATTCGCTCATCACTACATCTTCATTTGCTTTAAAGGGGTAACTGTTCGGAATAAAAGCTTATTAAGCTGATAGATTTAGTCTATTTGATTGTGTTTCTGACGTTGAACAATTTCACTGTCTTTTAATACAAAGAATATTCAACCTGCTACGATAGCAATCCGGTATAGTGTAAACGAGGCCTTAGGTAGCATCTTTGCTTTTGCTTTCTTTTCGCGTATTGTGTATTCGTGTATTTCGTGTTTCGTGTACTGGAGAAGGGAATTGTGAGGACTATTTTCAACTAGAGACAGTTGTATAAACATTGCCAATTGCCCAGTGCCTTTTTAAAGAAATTTTACTGGGGGGGCGGGGGCAAAACAGGATATATGTGCAACAAAAATGTGGGCTTAAAGGTTTAGCAAATGCCTAAATTCCGAAGAGAAATTTGTAAAACTTTATTTTTTAACTACAACTTTGTTTTACTTTAAGCAATAATTCAAACTCTTTGTTGCTATAATCGTACAGCTAAACCTCATAATATAACTTGATACTTTTAAGAAAATAAAATCTCTTTGTTTAAATGTTCAGGACATGGACTTGCACTGCGCATGCGCAAAGATATATCAGTTGAACAAGCTTAATGAAGCTGATTCTTAAAGTTTGTGGCACGTTCTAATACTTTAGCTTTCTATACTACAATGCCTTGGTCACAGAGTCAACAAAATAGACTAGCCGTCGAGAAGGATATACTGGACAAATATTTCAGGGACAAAGTAAATTGGGTTGATCCGACGGGCAACACTAAAGTTGATGTGACAATGACAACAAACAATAATAAAGTTTATTGCCTTCGTGTATATTTACCCAGTGATTTCCCAAACAGTCTACCCGTGATGGTAGTGAAAAGTTCGCCTTCACCAATGCCTAACTGGGGATCAAGTGGAACCACACACACTTTGGGACGAAATGACGAAGGGTATTTGAAGATATGTTTCTATCGCTCAGAACGCTGGGACAACGCGCATACGTTATACGAAATTTTCATGAAAGGCAGAGTTTGGCTCGAAGCTTACGAAGGGCATCTGTCAACTAGGAATTCCATGGAACATTATCTAGGCCATATGCAATGAAGATAAGTGTTCAACAACCTCAATGTATCAAATTAATGGATTTTACTTATGTAAAACTACTGCTATACTTGTAATTTAATCAATGAGCGATTATGGCCATATGCAATAAACATTTCAATAAGTTAAAATCTGCTGCATTATGGCGAAGTACGGGGACATATTAGTGAATTATTTGCATGATTAAAGTGAATAGTTGTCTGTAGCAGTCTGCTTGCTGCATGTAAATTTTAAGAGCAACCTGTTAATGAAATTTGTACATTTTTGCTTTCTTTTTAGTCAAATAGGTGTATTTATCATTTTCAAAATCATTTTCTTGGAAGATCAAAAACTGAGAAATTGCTTTATTTTCGAAGAAGATACTTCGGCACATTACTTTCAATTTTAATTGTCGCTTAATTTAACCTCTCTTTCACTTTCATGTTTCTTTTTCTTTGTGTCTTTGTGAGTTGTGGGGGATTTCCCCGATTTACGATTGTGACGTCTCCGTTAAACTTGCGACATTTTTGGCAATTATTTAGAGTTGTCTGGTTTTGCGACTCAGGTGTTATTCAAATAAATGTACTTTCCTGTCGAAACTCTAAACTTTTAAATCATCGTCGAAACTTCGTTGAACTTTTTCTGAATTTATGTACGCTACCATGAGAATCACCACACACTTATCTCTCTTCAACAACTTTAAATTTTTCCTTTTCTTTTCTAGCATTTCGACATTACTGCTTCCATTTAAGGCGAGAGTTAACTTAACGGAGCTAATTTTGAAAGTTGTGGAAACTTATCGAAGTATTTTTATTATCAATATATTTTGGTGAATTCTTTGAAAAGTTTTGGCCAATACTATGAAAGATTGAACGCAACACAACGTGGGGTTTGTACTTTTGTACCTTTGTATTGATAAAAGTCATAAAACTACTCATAGAGCTCACGTCATATGTCATAAGGATGTTGAAGATGTCATTTTCAAGTTTGATAAAGTTCATTTCGAATCTCAAATACCATGCAAGAAATCTACCCCAAGTCCTTAAATTGATGTTGCATGTTTGGCTATTTCAGCGTTGTCCCAGGGGCTAACGAACTGATGGACGTTACTGTATGAAACGCTAGAATACTCTTCAACTCTTAGACTGGCTGTATCTTGGTTTTAAGAGTGTTTTTATGAGACTAGATTGTATCGAAGAGAGGTGAAACTAAGAAAGTTAGTAAGAGGACCGGTGTAAGTTTTCTTTTAAAAAACCGAGGTTGACTATTTTTTAGTCCATTAATTGATAAGAATATCAAAGATAGGAATTTGGTTGTTTTGTTCTGTCTCAAAAGTGAATTTAATGTTATGATGGCGACTTTTCCCTATTTAATGCTCTATAATTCCCGGCTTTTGCCGTTTGGAAGAAAAATGGCGGACGCTAGGCAATTTTACTTCCGGTGTCCTAACTCCAACCACTGACTCTAACAAGTTCCTGGGTTCCTTGTATTGCAAAGGAACTCAAACCAGTGACTCAAACTGGAACTGCCTCTGATTTTTAGCTTGTGGCACGTTCTCTCTAATATTTTAGCTTGCTATACTACAATGCCTTGGTCACAGAGTCAACGAAAAAGACTTGCCATCGAGAAGAGTATACTGGACAAATATTTCAGGGACGAAGTAAATTGGGTTAATCCAACGGACAACACTAAAGTTGATGTGACAATGACGACAAACAATAATAAAGTTTATTGCATGTATATATACCCAATGATTTCCCAAGAAGTCTAGCTTGGACAACATAACACACGTTCTGCGAAATATTCACGTTAGACAGAGCTTGGGATTTACGCTTACGATTCGAAGGACATCTATCAACTGCGAATCCAATGGAATATTATCTGGGGCATATGCAATCAAAATGTTCAACAATCTCAATGTATCAAATTAATGGATCATACTTATGTGAAACTATTTTTAAGGTTTGTTATCAAAACAAAGAAACGAATTTGAAAATAGCCACTTTTGTATGAATGTATATCACGTGCAATTTTACACTTTATGAAATAATCGAGCCTTGAATAAATCATCATTTAATTGTTGAGGCATTTACAAAAAGTTCATATTCTCTGACAATGCCTTGGACTGCGTTACAGCGGCAAAGACTTGTTGTTGAAAAGGAAATATTAGAACGGTATTTCGCTGGGAAGATCAGATGGATTGATCCAACTGTATTAGGAGCGACTAAAGTCGAAATAGAAATGACAACAAACAATAATAAAAAGTACACCCTTCGTCTTTATGTTCCATCTGATTTTCCGAACAGTTTGCCCAACTTAGTGGTTGCTTCTTCACCCAAACCGATGCCAAAGGAATGGAATATAAGCGCTGCTAATCATACGATTGGACGACGAGATGGAATGTTAAAGATATGTCATTTTTATGCTCCGAGATGGAACCCAGAGCATACATTTTACGAGATTTTCATAAAAGGTCGTGTTTGGCTGGAAGCGTATGAAGGATACCTAGGCAGTGGCAAAAATTTGGACTATTATCTTGGCCATATGAAATAAACATTTCAATAAGTTAAAATCTGCCGCATTTTGGCGAAGTACCGGACATATTAGTGAATTATTTGCATGATTAAAGTGAATAGTTGTCTGTAGCAGTCTGTTTGCTGCATGTAAATTTTAAAGGCAACCTGTTAATGAAATTTGTACACTTTTGCTTTCTTTTTAGTCAAATACGTGTATTTATCATTTTCGAAATCACTTTCTTGGAAGATCAGAAACTGAGAAATTGCTTTATTTTCGATGAAGTTACGTCGGCGCATTACTTTCAATTTTACTTTTGCATTTTAATCTTTGAACAAGATACTTGCCGCTTAATTTAACTTCTCTTTCACTTTCATATTTCTTTTTCTTTGTGTCTTTGTGAGTTGTGGGGGATTTCCCCGATCTACGATTGTGACGTCTCCGTTAAACTTACGACATTTTTGGCAATCATTTCGAGTTGTCTGGTTTAGCGACTCGGGTGTCAAATAAATGTACTTTCTTGTCAAAACTCTAAACTTTTAAATCATGGTCGAAACTTTGTTGAGTTTTTTGTAAATTTATTCGCGCTACTATCATGAGAATCACCACACACTTATCTCACTTCAGAAAGTTCAAACTTTTCCTTTTGTTCACTTGTATTTTAATATTTTACATCGAAAACATCACTGCTTCCATTTCAGGTAAGAGTTTACATAGCAAATTTTAAAAATTGCAGAAGTTATCGTAGTATTTTTTATGATATATATATTTTGTTGAATTCTTTAGAATGTGTTGGCCGATACTGTGGAAGATTAAATGGAACAAATGGAACACAATGTGGGGTTTGTATTGATACAACATACAACTATTTTACTCATAGAGCTGACTTTATAAGTCAATAAAGTCATAAAGATGTTCAAGATGTCATTTTCAAGTTTGACAGTTCATTTTTAAATCTCGAATGCCATGCAAGTCTATCCCCATTTCCTTAAATTGACGTTGCATCTTTGGCTATTTCAGCGTTGTCCCAGGGGCTACCGAACTAATGGACGTTACTGCAGGAAGTGTCTAAATAGCCTTCAACTTTTTGACTGGCTGTACCTTGGTTTTATGGCTCTTGTTACCACTGTAATGCATTCTTCATCCATTTACTACTATAGCAGGCATCAAAAAAGGTTTGTATAGTAGTGGTATTAAACTGTTTGTAAATGTAGATCGTCCAGGTTAGTATAGTCCTGAGAAGGACTGTTTGTGTTGTTGTTGATGTAAGAACCAGATAAAAAATACAGCTAACCTGACGTTTACTCCTCATTTGACTGTGAAGATGACCATCGCTAAGGTTGTTGAAACTTCAGTCAACAACAACAAAAACAGTCCTTGTCAGGACTATACCAACCTGGATGATCTACATTTACAAACATGTAACGATACTCCCGGGTTCAAACCATTTACTTGGTATTAAACTGGCCATTAAACTTGTGCTCAGTTTAATAATGCATGTGCACACTAAAAGTTGAAACTATAGACATTTTAAAAAGACGACAATATTTTCTACTTTTACATTTTTAATCACAGACATGTTTCAATAACAGTTCAAAATGTGATATTGTGTTCTTGCGCATTTTAGCACTGCACTTGTAAAATCTGTGTAGGTAAAGTTGAGGGTAGTTTTGAATGTATTTAAATTTTTTTGCAATAGAATGTCAAGACAAGTTTTTCCTAATAGCAGGGGTGTTTGAAGAATACTAAAACTGGGCAAGATTTTGTTTAGGATGCATTTGCTCTCTTGTCTCACATGTTAGGTCTTGCTCCCTCCCACCCCACCCCCCCACCCCCCATAGTCACTTCATGTTCTTCCCAACATTTGATGGTTATGTCTCCTGCACCACCAAAAGCTTTTGGCCAAAGTGTAGCTCAGTAATATGCTCTAGCTCAAGGGATTACTTTTGATACCGGTATTAATGTTTCATTTTATCTTTTTTAGTAACATTATCATGCAGATCTCGGCATTCATCGAATCTTTCCTTGCTGCAACATTAACACTTCTTTTAACTGAACCAAAAGGTATAAAAAATTTGTTACTTGTGTAATGGCAACGAGTTTACTTTTAATGTATTATCTTTCTATGTGATGTATTTTTCAAGGATCCTTTTCAGTTCACACTTGTGGAGTAAAAGATATTGCAGATTGGTACACGGTGTTTTTTAATCCTAAACCCGATCATGTTAACTGGGTTCACTGTACGCAAGAAGCTGTTTATCCTCTGTAAGTTTTCTGCAATGAAATCTCAAAAATGGATAAAGTGTCGGATGATTCGGATGATTCGGAACTGCCTTTACCAATTTGGAAGGTGTAGAAATGAATATGAGGCATCAAAGTTTGAATTTGAGTCGACACAGTTTCATCCTATTTTATCCCTAAAGCCCGGGAATGGCATTTTAGAGCTTCTTAATTTAAAAATTTTCTGGGTGCATGCCGGAAGACTCCCCCATTATGATTCACAACTGTAGTGCCTGTCTTTGGCCTATGGCCTTCGTTTCAAAAGTGTTATAGTTATTGGGAATATTTTCGGTTCGAAGCAACAGGCTTTCCAGAAATATTCTTCCCAGCATGCCACTCTTACTGTACCAATGCAGCTATTGGTTACTCCTAAATCAATCTCAGTAGCAAAGCCAGACCGCAAGTTTTAGTGCTGCTATGTAAAATTTCAGATCATTCGCATTATTCATTTCTTGCGAAATCTATTGTTTTTACAATGATTGAACACAGAAAAATTTACATAGCACGACTAAATTTGCTGGCTGTCCACCTCAGCAATCAATCTTTATGTAATTTACAGCTATTTGCAATTGACCGTGCGGCGTGCATAAATTAAACGTTTGTTACAGTTTCAAAACTTGACGTTACTAACGGCTAACCGCTAACTTGACGTTACTATACAGCTAACCACTAACTTGACGTTACTATACAGCTATATGATTGTTTCTAAGGCTTAACCCTGAGATGGCATTGGTTAATAACAAAGTGTCGCTCTCCGAGTCTACGACAAAGACACATTTTGTCTCACCAATACTAATTTAAAGTCTTATATCTAACGATAGAGTTTGAAGTTTTGAAACGTCTTTCCATACTTGGCAATTTTCAACCTGTCACGATTGTTTATTAAATAAAAACAACATTTTCCATAAATTAACGCGTACGCTTAGCAACAATGAATTAGCCGTTAGAAACGTCAAGTTTTGAAAATATAACAAACGTTTGATTTATGCACGCTGGTCAATTGCAAATGGCTGTATGTATTTTCGTCACTCTAGCTATACCATGGTACTGTACTACTATGCCTTTTGCGTCCTTCTTCTTTTGATGGTTCGACCCATCGTGTCTGTAAAGCTCTGTGGCTCGGAAGGAAGACGGTCCATATATGCTGCATTGTATTTTCTACCAATCACTGCTATGGTTCATGCCACGTGTGCAGGACTCCTATGTAAGAGTTAAATATACTTTCCCCTTGAGTTAAAGAAAGAGTTTCACCGTAATGCTTTGCGCGCTTGTGTTTACTTTTGTGGTTTTTAAGCTTCCGATATCAAAACTTGCAAAGAAAACGTTTGTCTTTAAATGAACTCGCATTATTTCTTCTTCTTTTCTTAGCATACCGCACTTTCACGTTGATAGACCAAACTTTGTATTAGAAGTAGACATATTGCTGCACCAACAACCTGCCTTCGTTTTTTGGTCCATCGAAAATCGCTATCTATGGCTTGCCAAGCACGCAAAGCATTACTGTGGGACTCATGCTTTAAGATCAGGGGCCGTCTGCACGAAGACACGATAGCGCTATCCACCGGATAGCAAATTTTTTTGAACGCTTACAAAATTCCTTATAAGGAGAAAATACATGATTTGAACTGAGCAATCGCTGAAATAAAGCATTGCTTCTAAGATTACAAAATTTCTTTGTCATGCGGGAAAATGTACACCTTTTTGTGCTAGTTTGAAAATTTTACTATTCAATGGTTAGCACTATCCAGGCTTCGTGAACCGGTCCCTGCCGTTTTTCGGTTAATCATTTAGTCGTTTCTTACTTCTAGATTACTCCTATCCCTACTTGATGTTGATTGGGTCCGTTTTGAGTACAGCCATTATCCTGGCGAATAAAAACGTCAAAGTAAGTACATATGTATGACTGCATGGTTTCTACTTCTGCCTTCTGCCACTTAATGAACGACGTTGATACCACTGATCTCGAAATAAGACTGGATCAAGCATCTAGCACAAAAGTTAAAGACAAAAAAATAAGGAGCGCCGCCATTACTAAGGGACCAACTTTCGAAAATAAGGAGCAAATATATTGTGGATTTATACAAGAATAATCACCAATTTTCAACGTGTAATTACATGAACATAACTAAGAGATAAATTGGTTTATAGAAGAGCTAAAAATACAATGAAATATGATGAAATATGATCAAAATGCAGCGATTTTTGTCATCGGTAACTCTACTGTTGTATGGAAAAACTATGGAAAGTCTTTTTTCGAGATCAGTAGTTGATACCAAATTCAGTGACGTCGCTACAATTTTGTTGCCAGGCAGGGAGGGGGGGGGGCTCAAGGAATTTTTGCGTGGAGGGTGTGTGGGGAAAACCAAAATTTTTCCCTGACTACGCAAGATAATTTCCTTCAGCACTGTGAACGTTTTGGTGTAATTAAGAATTTCAATTCCACATGTTTGATTTACCAACTTACCAGCGGATTATGAAAACGTGTTTGTTTGTAAAACCGATTTCTTGCAGATTTGTGTGCACTAACAGACTCGTCGTTTTCAATATAATAAAAAGCAACTTTTTTATCAGAGTGACTCCATTTAAGGTGTTTTGTTCTTTGGGAGATCTTTTAAAAATTTATTCGGGGCGGCGCTCCTTAAATTTTCTATGTATAATTTGATATTTTATTTTCGTGCTTTTACTCTACACACTTCAAAAATCTTGCAAGAAGGCTGCTGCTCGACTTAGACTTTTATCAATAATCAGACAATAAAGTAAATGGTTTGAACCAGATGACTAGCGCTAAGGTTGTCGAAACGTCAGTCAACAACAACAAAAACAGTCCTTCTCAGGACTATACCAACATGGACGATCTACATTTACAAACATGTAATAATCAGACAGTCACTGACATTAACTGCAGTCATGAAAATTTATGGAGCCCTCATACATACTCTGACTTACTGTTCCCTGAAAATCTTTGGCAAACTATCTACTAATCGTGATAATAGACTTCGAGAACAAAGCTAAAAATATCTTAATTGGCAACAAACAAGTGGACATTATTATATACCTTCACTTTTAAATAGACATGAGAAGAAGATCCGCTGTCTCAGTTTTAAATTACTGTAAAATCAATTGTAAAATTTTCAGGATTATTTTAACATTATTGAAAGCAATTAGCTACGAAACACGTAGCAATAAATATTTGATTAGATATCCTAAAGCTCGTTTTAAATGGACAAAACGCTGTTTTCATTTACTTTCATTTACAAACTGCATGATACGTCTAGTCGAGGATTTTACTGTTTTTTATCAATTATGGCCAAGAAACTTTTTCGCTAAATATTCTATATAAGAACAACGTATATGTACTTTTTATTATTTTATTAATGTTTACTTGTATTTCTTAAGTATGTTTTTAATTTTAGCTTAAGTACGGGACCCTTATTGATTATAGCATTTATTATTTAGGCTATCCTTTTTCTCTTTAATGTTATTATTATTATTTGTAAATGTAGATCATCCAGGTTAGTAGAGTCCTTAGAAGGACTGTTGGTGTTGGTGTTGACTGACGTTTCGTCAACCTTAGCGGTAGTCATCTTCAGAGTCAAATGAGGACAAATGACGTTTCGACAACCTTAGCGTTACGACAACCTTACCGCTAAGGTGATCGTAACGTCAGTCGACATCAGCAACAACAGTCCTTCTCAGGATTATACTAACCTGGACGATCTACATCTACAAACATATAACGATACTCCCGGGTTCAAACCATTTACTTTATTATTATTATTATTATTGTTGTTGTTGTTTGTTGTTGTTGTTGTTGTTGTTGTTGTTGTTGTTCTTGTTGTTCTTGTTGTTCTTGATCTTGTTGTTGCTCCCTTTTCTGTTGAATCCACCTCTCCCTAGCGACGACACTAGCGTTAGCATTTCATAGCTACTGCCATCACCTGCATGAAAATGACTCCACAATTTTAATAAAAGTTTCGATAATGCTCATCCTGGTGATAATATTCCTCTTCTACCGTAATGACCGTTTAGAGTTTCAAAGATTTACTCATAAACAAAGACGTCATTGTGATCCTTCTTTGTCATTGGTTCCTGCACATCTTCTCGCTGATTGCCATGACGCAATGGTCACAACCGAAAGTGGATGGTCTCCTGTTTCTGCTCGTCTTTCTACCATCGCTGTTCTACATTCTTACTGTTCGTTTATCAGATCCCCGTAAATTCAAATAATTTTGTTGAAATTGTCGAGTTCCAGGTGATGAAAGTAAGTAAGTACGTTGGATAAAAATCGTTTGAATTTTTTATTGTAAAACAGTCTCACACCCGGCATTCCTTTTCATTCACTTTCCTATTGTGATTTGTGACTTTTGCAATTAGTGAAGATCGTTTTAGAGATCTATGATTCATTTAGGAAATAAGATATGCTTACTGTGCACAGACCTATGCAAAATGAGGGGATCTTTGGGAAAACTTGGGAGCTGATCAGTGCAAGCCCGAGACCGAAGATCGAGGGTTGCATCCGCTCGCGAGAGAAAATGAAATAACAATATTGCACAAAAAGACAAATTGAAAACAAACGTTGTAATTTTCCGTCTGAAATGTTTTCATGATTGATTTGCAAATTCTCTTAAATTGATTGATTAATTGCTTGAGCTCAGATGGGTTTGCACAGGCTAGTGGGAACACAACTCTAAACCAATCAGCTCTCGCGTTTTATTGTGTTTGATGTATAAAGTAAAATGATATGGCTCTTGTAGGTGCTTGAAAACCTCTTGAAATGTCCTTAAATAAAAAAGCAACTTTAAGGGCACTTGGAAAGTTCTTAAAAAATCAAAATGAATGAAAGTACTCGAAAAATGCTCAACAATCACACGAAATTGACATGATATATTAACTCCGTAATGTCGAAACATAATTGAACAGGATGTATGTTTTGTGTTTCTAAATTTGTCGAAGCTATTTCTGTATAGTTAACAATATGTCTTGGAAGCCTGAGAAACCCCAATCCCGACAGAAGCAGAAACGATTGTCTAAACATAATAAATATCCTTAAACTCACTGTGAAAACTTTTGACAGATCACAGCAAAATATAAGAGGAAATCTAACGTTGTAAATTGTTTTTCAAAATTTGATTGTCTTCCAAAAAGACCTTAAAAATCTTAATCTTTTTCTCGACCACATCAGGAACTCTGTACCCCATTCATATTTATCCCAGAATGTAGCTATTGCATTCTATTATATGCGTTGCTATGCAATGACGTGGTGGGAACTATATTTTGCGGGGGCATGCATCCCTGTCAAATTTACAACCTCTAAAATGCAATTTCTTGGACTTTAGGGAAGGAAATGATACCAACTGTACTTATTGAGATGCATTTTTGAAAAAATTCAACAGCTGGGGGAAGAGCGACGGCCTTAAACAATCCTTATGCCCCCCCCCCCCCGCAAATATGACACCGTTGCTATGATAAATTAAATACGAAACTGATTGGTTAACCTGGAGTTATACGCGGGATGTTATAATACCCATAATTGCTATTCAATTTTACGTATTAGCAATTATCCTGCCTATCGACTGATTTCGTATTCATTGCTTATATGCTTTGGATGAATTAAATCAAAGAACTCGATGAGTTTACAATTGACATAATAGTTTTTCAAGTGCATAGGTTAAAGAGCCAATTACATTTGAATACGATGTAGTGTTGTAATTGCACAACAACATGATCATTATGTGTATTATATTGACATCATGCGGTTTGGATAATGTCGTAATATTATCCATTTTTCAATTTTTATTTTAAGTAATTATCTTTCCTGCGAAATAGTTTCGTGAATCTTCCTTCGTTGCGTCCGTAAGACCATCCATCGCAGTGTTTGCGGTCATTTTTGTAGAAAGTGCGTTGATCTATAAAAGTGTATGTAATATTCAGTATGGAACCTAGTCTCTCTTTCCGTGCACAACTTTGCATCGTTTTATTACAGTTTTATTAAACTGGGACATGTTCTTCCTAATTTAAAATTGCGTAAGAAACCAGACAAGAGCATTGATCAAATCTTAATGTCTGATGATCACAAACACATTTGGCACGTTGAAAGTTTAAGCGAGAGCTTCGTCTTGTAATTTTAATACCTCATTTTGGGAATTCGTCGCGTTTGCATAGTGTGACGTTCGAACCATGGACTCTCTTGTTTTTCTTGTTTATCATTTGACCATGGTATATGCCTTTTACCATTAGCTTTCTTTCTGTTTTTGCACATTGTTTTTCCTAGACACAAGTGACTGTTCACTCGTGTCATCCACAGCATCACCAATAACAGAACGATAAACCTTTTCATTCTAGAGATGTGATGAAACGTCCTGGATTATGAAATACATAGAATATGTTTAACAAGATTTCACCATGAGAGAGTGAGTTGAAACGAAAATGGCGCATTAGTAACTATACGAAATGCTGGAGGCGCAGGTGCTTGCAATCTAAGCTACGAGCAGCAGTGTTTGCTGTTCTTGTTGCAGGTATTATTTGTATAAATCAGAGTATAAACAGCATTAGAAAATTGCTTAGAAAATTGAGCTTTGCGTAAAAGCGATCAGAGCACATGAGGACAAAGTTTGACAATACCTTTCAGCTGTTTTCCTTATTGTTTGTCTTGCTTTTGTGTGCTTGTCGTGCGGCCAGACTGTATTTAACTGAAACCATTGTACATATTGTGCTTTTTATAGGGAATCACAGCAGTCGTGAATTATTAATAACGAATTATAGTCCTTGTAGAAACAGGCTTTTTCAAGAGTTAAAAAAACGATTAATCTTGTCGTTTTGGCAATTCTGTAGGACGCCTTCGAACACAAATGAATGCTCATCGGCGAAAGGCGTCTCATTCAAAACTCTCACACGTTGCGCAATTTCGAAAATCTTTTTTGTTTGAGGGCAGGTGTACAAAATCACACTTGTTTACTCGTATTATGCCCTCGAAAAGAAAAATAGTAGAAAGAAATTAGTGTTTTCAAGCGCAGTCCAGGGCGAAGGCGCCATTATCGCCTGGTCCAACATGTGATTACCAGGCGTTTTTTTAGCATCCGTTGACGCAAATATACTCGGATAGCCACATAGGCTTAGGGATTGCTTATGTAAAAGCGCTTTCCTAAAGGCTGGTTTTTATGTACTTGTCCGAAACGTTTCAGTCGTCTCAGTTCAGTCATTTCAATCATCTAGATAGAACTCAGCTTGCGTATTAGGAACGACTAAAACTACTCGAACGACTATCTGAGAACTCGGGAGTATCTTTACATATATTTGTAGATGTCGATCTTCCAGGTTAGTGGAGTCCTTAGAAGGACTGTTGGTGTTGTTGTTGGCGTTTCGACAACCTCACCGGTAGTCATCTTCAGAGTCAAGTGAGGAGTGAACTCAGAAGATGACTACCGCTAAGTTTGTCGAAACTATGGAAAGCCATAGTGGACAAAAGTAGTCGAGGATTTTTTTTTGTTCGAGAATTTCTTTGTTTGGTTGAGATGGGTTTTTTCTATCGAGACTACCTTTTACTGTTGAGAATACATGTTTTATAGTCCAGATAACTATTTTACAGTCGAGAATTTTTTTGGAGTCGAGAATTTTTTTACAGTCGACAATTTTTTTGGAGTCGAGAATTTTTTTACAGTCGACAATTTTTTTACAGTCGAGAATTTTGTTGGAGTCGAGAATTTTTTTGGAGTCAAGAGTTTTTATGGCAGTCGAAATTTTTTTCGCACCAATTTTTTCCGCGTTTATAGGCGCATTAAAAACAATATGGCCACAGAATAGATACATAACAGAAACGGCACTCGATGTCGGAACCTGATCATAATACTCGCGTATTGATACTCGGGAGTATCTTACATATATTTGTAGATGTCGATCTTCCAGGTTAGTGGAGTCCTTAGAAGGACTGTTGGTGTTGGTGTTGGATGACGTTTCCACCACATTAGCGGTAGTCATCTTCAGAGTCAAGTGAGGAGTGAACTCAGAAGATGACTACCGCTAAGGTTGTCGAAACATCAGTCAACATCAACAACAACAGTGTCAGGACTCCACCAACATGGACAGAGGCGCAACTAAAAAGTTAACAGGGGGGTGGAGTAAATATTCACACATGATTTCTTTTGAATACCAATTCACTTTCGAAAGAAATCAACTGAACACAAATGAATGTATGAATGTACACGTGGACATTTTACATTAACTTATTCTACATAAACATGTTATTCAACTTGTGTATTTAATCATTTTAACAATCTCGACAGCTCTTTTTACGAAGATTACGCAATTGTTTTCTCATCAACAAATGTTCTTGTAGGGATTGCATTTGCACAAGTGCTTTTCTTAACTTACGTGCGTCACCGTGTTAGGAGTTCCATAGAAAAACAAAAATATGAACAACTTACCAAAACCTGTAGATCATTATGATGGTTTCAACACCTCGTTTTGCGTAGTTTGTGCAAGTGTTTGCCAACAAGCGTTCTCTTATTCATGTGAAAAACAGAAATTAACTTTGCGCATTTATTATAGTTTACTACTTTACAACTTCATTCATTAATTAATGCTTAAATTATTCGACGCAAACTTTGATAGATAACTACTGTCACCATCCACGTGGAGTATTACTTGCCCGAGTTAATTAAAAATGTTCAATTTACACTTTAGTGCAATGCTTCGAAAACCCACACATGCCAGCTCGTGTGTTAGTAGTTCTTAAAAACAAATATGTTCCATAATTGATTTTCATACATAATTTCAACCGTATAGAAATCATTAGAAGGCGGTGCAAATGATAAGTAATTATTCTCAATCGATGATTTAGTTTTGACTTTTGAGTAATCTTTCCATTTCATTCTTCTTACGTTTGTCGAATTTCTTGTAAAAACTCCATGTATATATATATAAATTGTATGTATCAAGAGATAAGTTGATCATGTATCAACTTGTCTCTTGATTGTCTGGACTGCTAATGTATACTGTCACATCTTCCTTCGTGTTGCTATTTTGACTATCTTGACCTTTCGAAGTGCCATTTTCTACGTTCACAAGTTCATAATGCCCCAAGTTTTCTTCCTCAAATTTCTCCATGATGTTGTCTCTGTATTTTGTAAAGAAGTAGAAGTCCGCCAAACGTATTCAGTACTATCCCACACAATGTATACGTATTCACAGCAACTCCGCCGAATGTGAAAAATCCGATCAACGTAGTTATCAGTCCCTTGATAACCCCCACAAGGCTAAAAAAAGAATTACTTATCGTAAATATTGGTGTTAAGGTATTCACCGTGTATGGAATTGAATTTAAAAGGAAGTTCTAATACAAAACCTTGTGGTTAATGCTGTATTCATGGTAGCACAAAGGAATAAGGAGTAGTTTAAAACACATCCCATCAAAACATCGACCATGAACACTGGCTGTAATAAAAAATTGTAAACTAATGTCAGAAACATGACAAATTCTTATTATATGCTAGTTTTCCACGCAAATTTATATTCACATTCATCTGAGCTGGGCTGGCTGCCTGAAATGTTGCGCATAATTTCTACGAAAAAAATGTCGTATTTTGTGGGAAAATTCAAATATGTTTAGACTCATACGTTACAGCAATTTAATTTTTCAAAATGGGAGTTATGTTGCTATGGACAATTGCAGTGGCATTAGACGGAATTTTTAAACTTTTTTCAAATGTATATTGTTGTCCTGTATTAGCTGCCATAGTGAAATAAACATATGAGACAAAAGCATGCTCAGTCTCATCACTTCTAAACCTGTTCAGCTGAGCTGTCTTCCAGAGCAGCTCAGCGAGATCTTGCTTCCTTCAAGCAGGATCTTGCCATACTGGGCTGGTACTTCAAAACATAGTGAAATAATTCATGAGATAAGATCTCGCAAGGCTAACTGACTTGGCTTTAAAGCAGGATGTTCCATCTCATGCAAACCAACACTAAATAATTACTCACAAAGAATCCTTTCGCTGTAACACTTATGCTGTGAAATGAATCGATCAAGCGGTTGCTATATAAAGTGTATGCAGCCAACAGTGGTATGCAGTTGATGCTGTTCAGATGCAAGACATCCAAAGTTGATAGGCCATTCTCAACTCCTGTTTTCTGTACATACACAAGGTAAGTAGACTGACTGCACACACTCAATATGGCGTAACCACCAAGATGAAGCGATAGATCACGAAACCTATGGGTTTGAACAAAGTCGAAATCAGAAGTTTACACCTGTAGGTATCTGATATCTTTGGGTGAGAAACATTTAAGCACAACAAAAAAAACTCGCCTGCAATAATGCAACCTAAAACCACCAAGATAATTGAGCAAGTGAGTTGAAAAGATGGCTTCTTGCTTAGAATACATGCTCCAAGGAGGAGAGTTGTCAAAGGAATCAGCCTTCTTAATACATTGTACCTGAAAAAGAGAAAGAATTTGTCGTATTCTCACTTCAGGGACAATTTATAATCATCACATGTAGTTTGCTTACATTGGAATAGAAAGGTCACTAAGTGCATTCAATGCCAGAACTGTATTAAATGCAAAACAGACGGATGGAAGCAAAACTTCTTGCCTCTAAAAATGTAATAACCATAGGCTCAACGTTACTGCATTAAGACTAAGTTGAAGTACCTGTATGAAGATCAGGAAAATAACTTCTTTGGATTGTTGTTATATTGTAAGAACATTTGCAAACTATTTGATGGGTCATAAATTTTATCTTAACATGCTTCTCAGCCCTAGAAGATGACTGAGTGTTGGAAGTGACTCACATAGGAGAACATGCTTGGTTTGTAAGTATGAACACCATATAATATCATAGAATTTTGGTGGGAAATAGCGTCTGAACAGTTTTAACTTTTAAACATTTATTGTTTACATTAAGTCTTTATCATGAAAGCTAACATCTTCAATGCATGGATTTTCTTATTTACGTCACTTCCAGCACTGAGTCATATTTACACTAGGCACATGAAGATAACATTTTTATCTTCTTAAAATTGATCAAGCATTCGATGAATTTATTTTCCTGACCAAGACGTAGGAACTTTAAGCATATAGTACATGTTACCTGTGCAATGTGTATGGTGTAATATTGACTAAATTTTGTCTCCTACAGATTTCTAATACTATAGCAGTCGATATGACTTGTGCTAACATCAATACTTCTGGGTAACGATAGTCGAAAGTCGTCAGGACAATCTAAAAAGAATGGCAGGTGTCTGGTAATATTACTTTATACTGATGTCATGGTGGTATTTTTATGGATAACCGAGTACATTAAACCACATAATTATCAGCAGTTGTGAAAATCTCCATGTTCCCATGTTTTATGCTTTGCATGCTTAATTTTCACGTTGTTTAGAATTATCATCAACCTGTATGTGAATATTGTGCGTCTGGGTGTGTTTTGTAATATTTTTTGCATGATTTGCATTAATGTGTCCAGACATGACAACACCTTTGCAAGTTGCAACAAGTTGCTTTGAAACGATGCAGTTTTCGAACAGAGTTTATGGAAACATGGACTGTGAAATCAAGCTCCGGTTCAAACAACTCAATAAAACAACTTACTTTGTTCATAAAGGACATCAATCCAGACATTAGTCCATAGAAAATCGCCGCTGCAATGCCGGGATACCAATTGATATATTGAACATGGTAGTGATTATCTGTCGAATCCACAAAGGTCATCCTTAAAACAGGAAAAATAATCGCTAGTAGAAATTGTTCGATACAAGAGAGTTATCATAACTTACAGCATTATACAAATATACTTTTAATACATTTGCTTTGTTGAATTTCTTTATTCACGGTAAGTTCACGATAGCAATGCTTTAGTAAACAACAACCGTGATGAACTGATTATCGGTATGTTTTCAATGTTATATGGGGTAAATTTGCTTGACATTGCCGACCGTGAATCGGGGCCGGCAACAACAACGAGACTTTGTCAATTGAAATATTTACATAAACTTTCAAAAGTTTCGAAACAAACATACAAATAATACCTTTTCAATTTTTACAATGTAGCCTGCCGGCAGAGCAACAATCAAATTTGTACGTTTATGATTGTGAACTCTTAAAATACTGAACTCTGTCCTGTTTAAATTACTTTTTTCCAGGAAAAATCCATGATATTTTTCTATCAGGTTTGTATCTTTGACATTTCTCCATTTCTGCCGGTGTATGTGACGGATATGCCACGTTTCAGCATAATATGAACGTGTGATGACGTCTTGATGACATCTTGATGACGTCGTGATGACGTCGTGATGACGTCGTGATCGGCCGAAGTTAAAAATTTGCCCGAAGGCCAGGCTTTACTACACTGTCGAGATAAAAATTTTAAAAAATATCAATGGCAAAGAAAAACGGCATGTTTTCAAACTAAATATTATTAAATAAACCACTTTCTTTATTGCAGTGTAAATTGTGATATAAGCCGGAGAGTGAGTTGTCAAGTCGCGGGATGCGTCATTGTTGAATACACGTGATATTTTAGTACATGGATATTGGATGATGTGCACCTAGTGATCTCTAAAGCCTGTTTTCCACTAGCCACGTATCGTAACGTATCATGACGTAACATTGCGCATGAGTGCTTATGCATTAATCATTATCAAAAATAGCCAAGGCCCCAATTTCGTACCTGCAGGTGTTCCGCAGGGCACAAAATTGGGGCCTTAGCTATTTTTGATAATGATTAACGATCTCAAGTTACCAAATAATGAAATGTGGAAATTCGTGGACGATACCACTGTTAGTGAAGCAATTGAGAAAGATCAAACAAGTAACTTACAAAACCAAATGGACACATTAGCGAACAGCATCTCGTGTGATAAGTTCCAGTTAAATGAAACCAAATGTAAAGAGATGCGAATTTGTTTTGGATCTAATACCAATGACCTTCAACCAATTACCATCAATAACATTACACTGAATATTGTCCAACACGCGAAAGTTTTGGGATTGTTTATAGCCAGTAACCTTAAGTGGAACATCCACGTAAATGAAATAATTAAGAAATGCCGTAAACGCCTCTATTATCTTATTCAACTAAAACGAGCAAATATCGAAGTCAAGGAATTGCTCCAATTTTACAAAACGTGTATAAGACCTGTCTTGGAGAATGCTTGCCCAGTGTTCCACAATAGTCTGACATTGTAATTGTCAGATGAGCTAGAATCAGTCCAAAAGCGAGCATTCAAAATAATCCTGCCTCATCAAGAATATGAAAACGCTCTGCAGTTTACTAATTTGCAACGCCTTAGCGAAAAGAGGAATGATATAACAACAGCGTTGTTTCAGAGGATAGTAGCAGATTCCTCACATAAGCTTCATGACCTTTTGCCTCCTCGTTTAGAATGTTCAACTATGGAACTTAGGACTCAATCTTCATTTAATACTAATTTTAATACCAAACGTTTTAGAAATAGTTTTATAACTTATAACTCATTGAAGATGTAATTTAGTTAATTTATTTATGTATGTATTATATGTAATCTTAAACGTATTTCAGCAATATGGCTGCCAGTTTTAAGAAATAAATCATCTATCTATCTATCTATCTATCTATCTATGCATTAGAATCTAATGATAAGATGGTCAATAGGCGCAAGCACGCATGCGCCATGTTACGTTTTGCTACGATACGTTACGATGCGAGGCTAGTGGAAAGGAGGCTTAAACAAGTGCGCTTGCATCTTCGATCTTTGGATCCAGTGTCTTCGATCAATTTTAAATATGTGTGTATCAACAAGGAACATTTTTGGATAAGATATTGATCGCTGGTGATTATACTGGAAGCATTGAGGTATATATGGAGTATATACGAAACATGTAGGTATATATGGAATATATTGTGTACATTAATGAACATAACGACTTGGCAATGTTGTAGGATTCGGCGGGAAATCTTTCTCGGCAATTGTTAGCAGCATTCAGCAGTTTCTTCACGAAATTTCAAGTTTGAATTTTGCCGGTTGTTGTTGCATAGCTCAAGCGAACGAAGACAGAGCGCATTGTCATTGAAATCCAACATGGAACTGCCTACGATACTAGAGGCTACCATTTCGCAAGGTAAAATTAGAAATTTTTGTAATTGTGAATATGGTGACAAACCATTAAAGAACAACATGGGAAGACGAAGGAAGATGAACATTCGCCGTTTGTCTTTCAGATAAAACTAAACTTGATCAGGCAGAGAAATTTCTGCAAGAAGCGGCGAAAAATAATTTGGTACGTACAGAAAATACCTTACTTGATGTATTATTTCAAATATATCGTAGGGATAAACAGGTTATTTGTAGCGGTATAAAGTTTGCTCAATTTTGTAGCCCGAATTCTTGGTGGCTTTGGCTAATGAACTTGCGAATACCAGTCGAAGTCAAGTATGTCGAATGGCAGCGGCTTTACAGCTAAAAAATCAACTGACTTCGAAGGACGTTGTAGTAAAGTTAGATTACCAACGAAGATGGTTATCGTTGGACGAAAACGTGCGGTTCAGTGTGAAAGCTCAGGCAAGTGGTTTGTTTGAAGGGATCCTGTATTTTAAATTTTATACAGTAGGGCAAATTTGCTGCATGTACAAACTCTAAAAGCTTTATACTTATAACATTTCTATGAAAGAGACATCACTTACATACTTGTGATGAATCTGATGATTATAATGGGTCATTTATACCTTTTGGAGCGACCTTCAACTTGCAGAAACAATCAGGATGTGCAATAGAGGATAGACTATTAATGGACTAACCCCAAATATATGCTTTTTACAATAGCTAGCTGTTTAACATTTCACTGGTTGTAGTCAAGTCCAGTGTTCAGCTTCTCCTCCCCCCCAAAAAAAACAACAAACTCTACATGTTTATATGTATTACTGGTAAGTTTCTGAGCCAGTTGCATTGGAAGTTACAATGAGTGAATGTGGAAATATTTGCTAGAAGCATGTCAAAATATTTGCCAAAGCGCACAAACAAAGGCACTGGAATTTAATGTATTTGGCTAGACAAAACATGTCGATATTTATGAAAAATGATGTAGAAAGTTATTTGAACTTCTGGTGCAACTTGCTTTTTGCATTTAAGTGATCAGGATTTTGATGGTTATTGTGGTATTGCAGATTTAGAGGGAACAGGGCATTAAAGGTGTGGGTGTAAAAGCTAAATTCTCTTGTGATTTGGCACCAAAAATATAGTCACACTCTTAACCATTATATGTGATAAAAAACTTTTAGTGAAAGAATGATAGAGTGCTGGATTTAGAGGAGCAACCGGTCCATAGCAATTTGCATTTTTTCTTATAATTCAGGTTCTTGCTACTTTGGGAACAGAAAGCACACGGCCAGCAATTGGCCCGCAAGTAAGCTTATTCAGATGAAATATCTTATTTTATCTTCGTTTAACGTTTCAATTGATTTCATGTTTGATTAAAAGTGTATTGCTGCCATTGCCTGTGCCGAGCTACCTGTTGAGCAGTGGCCAGATTTGATCGGATTGCTTGTTCAGAATATTACAAACGTATCTGCGACAGAGACCTTGAAAGAACAAACCCTAGAGTCTATTGGATACATCTGTCAAGACATTGTATGTTTTAGCAATGACTTTTATTTTGAAAGAAATTGTTGTGTCTGTTTTACTTTGAAAATTTGATTGAATTTCAACTCATTTTTCATCATCTCCAGGATCCTCAATATCTCGCGAGGGAGGCTAACAATATTTTGACAGCTATTGTACAAGGAATGAGAAAAGAAGAACCAAGGTTCAACTACACTAAGAATGCATGTAGGAAAATTTGTAGGAACATATTAATAGGTCTTTATTCTCTCACAGCAACAATGTGAGGCTCGCAGCCACTACTGCTTTGTATAATTCACTGGAATTTACCAAGGGAAACTTTGATAAAGAGGTACATTTAATCTCTTATTGATCTTCACAATATAGCTTGATTTTCATTCAAACAATAGTATTATTTAAGACTTCGTTCGTGCCCAAGTTGATGTTGGTTAACATTACTTTCAAGATATCCTAAGAGCAGTTTGACCTGTTGTCTTAGTTACCAAGGGTGACATTCGAAATCTGTCATTTAATGAAGTGAAAATTTGAGCCAGTTACTATCGCTTGTTTGAAAGCAGCAGAATGCTTAACTGACCATATCTTCATTGTTCTTTTAGAATGAGAGACATTTTATCATGCAGGTTGTGTGTGAAGCTACACAAAGTCAAGTTACCCAAGTATGTTTGATCACAATCTTTTATAGTTCACAGTTGTATGACATTTTTGCTGTCAACCCCACCAAAATGTTTGTTTGACCCTCCTATATTGCACCAAAAAATACCTATTGGAGGCAAATAGCTCCAGTGTGGTCATTCGCACATGCAAATATTTTACCAAATCTGGTCTGATGAGCTTAGAGTCTTCCACTTGCTTTAAATAGTTCCAAAGTTTAGAATAGGGGGGGGGTGTTAAAGGTCAGCCAACTGAATGGGGTAAAACATTTTTGCATACTTGGTCATACTGATTGGCTCATATGGTGGGTTTGTCCATTCCCCTCCTGGACGGATTTTCATATTTTTTACAAGGCTGGGGCAAAGAATTTTAGGGGGGGGATTGCTAGTAAGAAAGTGATGCGAGACAAAGTAAGAGAGTAAGGATTTTAAGGTTGGTCAAGTATTGTAGCCACTAAAGGCAATGTAGAGAGTTGAAACCTTTTTCCAGCAAAACTCGGTTTAGCTGTACTACTGAACAATTCATAAAGGGAAATTTTTCTTGGAGGAATGAACAATTTATTAAGGAGGGTGAAATCACATATTTGGAGGGTGGCATTGCTATGCACACCCCCAAAGAAAATTCTTCCATGATTCCCACTAGTTTAGAACTCGAGAAGTTCATCCTTTTCTCATATATTGTTTCAACTTCCATTGTTTCCAGGTGAAAATAGCTGCTCTTCAAAACCTGGTGAAAATCATGTCCTTGTATTATGACCACATGGTCACCTACATGGCACCAGCATTGTTTGCGGTAAGCCTAAAAACCTTCATGATTTGTCTAGTTGTTGTCGAGATCGCTTTTCATTTAACATCCTGTTGATAAAATCTCGCATTTTGATGCTAGATAAGCCTTGAGGCCATCAAAAGTGATGTTCCCGAAGTTTCACTACAGGGCATAGAATTTTGGTCAACCGTCTGCGACGAGGAAATTGATCTTGATCTTGAAGCTGAAGAGGTGAGGATGAACACTTTCATTGAAAGCAAATCTCTCAGGGGATTTATGATGGTTGTCGGGAAAATTCGTCGCGACACATGCGCAGTAAGAACTAAAATTCCTAACGAAATGGGTGTTGACCTTGGGGTTGACGATGTTTTCTACTGCGCATGTGTTTTTCCACGAATATTTCATATAGTCGTTGTAAATGTTGTCCAGTACATCCACATTGAAGGTTCATACAACGACTATCTTTAGAGAGCGTATTTTTTACAAGTGCATTAGCTGATGCTCTGATAAAGCTATGTAAAATTATCAGGGCAGTATTTATAGACTGTGCTGTATCATCTTCTAAACAATGACGTCACTTATCGTCACACGAGAGAAGTACATGTTTGTAGATGTAGATCGTCCAGGTTAGTATAGTCCTGAGAAGGACTGTTTTTGTTGTTGACTGACTCATTTGACTCTGAAGATGACTACCGCTAAGGCTGTCGAAACGTCAGTCAACAACAAAAAACAGTCCTTCTCAGTACTATACTAACCTGGACGACCTACATCTACAAACATGTAACGATACTCCCGTGTTCAAACCATTTATTTTATTACGAGAGAAGTACTTTATTAATATTTACTGTTCTTAACGAGCTTTCCATTTGAACCCCGCTGGCAGGGATTCAGTGATGCACGGAAGGAATTTAGAAATTGAAAGGCTCCAATGGCCAATTCACTTTTGTAATATTACTGTATCTGCACTTCATAAATATTTAGAATACACGAAACGACAATATTTAGGTCACTCGCGTCAATTTTAATATCTGGAATGAATTATTTCATTTGAGAATGTACATGTTATGAATTTAAATAGTTTAAATAGAAAGCGGCTCCTTTCAACACTTCGTGATCTTATCGCGTACCTTAATTAACTCCTGCTGGCTCGGCTCTTATTAATACAATGGTTCGGCGTTTAATAAATACAAATTTTTTTTAAAACAGACATGTCTCAACATCTCATAATGGCAACTTCTGCATAACTAAGAACATTATGTACAATATTTGTAGTAGTAATATGATACCGTAATATTTTATACAAATATGAGTATTTACAATGAAATATTGCCTTGAATTAATGATGGGTGCATTTACACACTGAATACAATGTTGAAACGTAAAACTTGAACGCTGAGTTCAAGGTTAGGATAGTTAATGTGAAGTGCTTCTTTAGCTTTAAGTGAGACTGTAGAGTGTGCAGTGTCAATACATTCAAAACAAGAGGAAGAATAGTTAGTTTTGCATAGAAGTGATTTTGAAAGAAGTCGATAGATATGTGAGTTTTTATCAGTTGTCGTGTGTTCCCTGATTCTGGTGGACAAATGACAGGAAGTTCAGTCAATGTATCGGGAATTACATCCTACACAATCAATTTGTACACCACCTATTCAACAGAATCAAGGATAGGATTTTGAATGAAAAGTATTACTGAGTTATCCGATCTTCATTAAAACATCATTGATAGCTACAACAATTGTGTTAAAACTACAGGCTGCTCAAGTTGGTCATCCACCTGAACGCAGCAGTAAGAAATACGCTAAAGGAGCTTTGCAATATCTTGTGCCGCTGTTATTGGAGACACTATCTAAACAGGTGCTATAATTTTATACGACCCTTGATTTGTTCTTCTTTACGCGTGCTTTGCTACGAAATGCTATCTATGTGGTGTGTTGCTGTAGGAGGAATTTGACGATGAAGATGACTGGAATCCTTCAAAAGCAGCTGGTGTATGCCTTATGTTGCTGGCTCAATGTTGTGAAAATGATGTTGTTCCGTACGTCTTGCCGTTTGTTGAAGCAAACATTCAAAATGAAATATGGCAGAAACGAGATGCTGCAGTTATGGCCTTCGGTGAGTCTATCTTACTTTTTATCTCCCTGCACAAGATATCGCCTTCGGTGTGTCTCTAAAATGAATAATTTGAACTCGGGAATATTTTTACATAAGGCTAGTTCTCATGTACTCGTCCGTTCAGTCGTCTCAGTTCAGTCATTTCAATCATCTGGATACAACTCGGCTTGCGTTTTAGGAACGACTAAAACTACTCGAACGACTATCTAAGAACCCGGGAGTATCTTTACATATATTTGTAGATGTCGATCTTCGAGGTTAGTGGAGTCCTTAGAAGGACTGTTGGTGTTGTTGTTGGATGACGTTTCGACCACATTAGCGGTAGTCGTCTTCAGAGTCACTTGAAAACTAACCTTGACAATCAACATCTACAAAACTTTGAGATGAGAAAACGATAGAAAAAAAACTTCAAAATCCTTAAAGGCAAAAAGTTGCGTACACTTAGAAAATATAGTCTCCTTTTCATACTTTTCAAAAGTCGCTATCTAGAACCTGAGCAATGCAGTTGGTGAAACTGGACATAAGACAAAGCTTTGTATTTCAATTTGCACTCCCTACCTAACCTCTTCCTAGAGGAGTTACATATAAGGCAGTATCGTAGAGTCTGGAAAGTAGCCGCTTTCGAAATAGTGGCTAACCCACCAACGGTTTTTTCAATGCGTTTAAAGTTGTGTAAGGTTGTGATTTTTAATGCAATTATACATGAACGTTTTATTAGGATAATGAAGGGTGAATATTGTAAAGTTCTTAAAGTTCTATTAAGAGAGCGGTTACTTTTGATGGAGCGATTACTTTGAGGGCGAGGAAAGCTACATCCGAGACTCTACGGTTTTCAAGAAACCTACCTGAGGTGTTATTGTCGCGCCTTTTCTCCATTTTCTCCGTATGCCATGGACAGATTTTCATATTTTTTTCAGGGGTGATGCAAAAATTTTAGGGAAGGGGGTTAGCTGTTTAGGAAGTGACGTAGACAAAGTAAGGGTCTACATTCTAAGTTGGTATAGTAGTGTAGCCATCAAAGGTTGTGTAGAAATTTGAAATTTTGTCCTGAAAAACTCAATTCAACTGTACTACTGGTTTGTTTTACTAAAAATTGGAGGGCCGTTAAGATCTTTTCTGGGAGTGAGCAATTTATTTTTGGGAGGCGAAGTCTGATGTTTGATGGGTAGCACCACCACCCACCCCATGATAAATCTGTCCATGGCATATGTTGTATACCATACATGTATCTTACGGCATTTTAAGAGCACTGGGTGAAACTACAAAATTTTCAGTCAAAATTTTGTGTTAAATTGGAATACAAATGGTTATCGTCGATTTTTGTGGTCTTTCATAATTTCATTGTTGTCTTGTGTTTATGTTAGGATCTGTTCTTGGTGGCCCGGATCCGGAGGCTTTGAAACATGTTGTGATCAGTGTAAGTAACTCATTACGTATACACGCCTGCTTCTTTTCACATAATCTCAAAAACCACACAGATATATATCTTGCCAAACCTTGCAGTCTAAGAATATATTCAACGGCATTTTTATTCACAATTCCGATTTGCGACGACTAACATTTACCTTTGATGAAATGTACGTTTAAATTATGAAAATTTACATTTCGAGGGCTACTTTTTGCCGTACCATGCTAGACTATTTTTGTTAAATTCTTTGACCTTTTTTATGATTGGAAAATTTTTGGAGTTACGCTCTATTAAACACTAATGGCAATTGCTTTGGCTTCATTATTTTGTATATTAGTATTGTGAAGAGAAATCTATACCACCTGTAGTCAAGGCTTTCGGGGTGCGCACCTCCATGCACACCTCTCTTCAATCCATTCTCGCTCTTGTTGATCCTTGTCCTTAATGATCTACAGGCAATGCCAATGATTATTCAATTGATGCAAGATAGCAGTATGATAGTGCGCGACTCGGCTGCATGGACTGTCGGTCGTGTTTGTGAGCTCCTTCCGGACGAAGCCATCAATCCAGCGTATCTACATCTTTTGTTGACGCAGATGATGTCATGTCTAAGTGCAGAGCCACGTGTTGCCGCTAACAGTTGCTGGGTAGGTACCATAGAAACACAACTGTTACTTTTATTGAACTGAATATGTAACTGGACTACTGCCCTTTGGTGAGCATGCCCGTACTTGCGTGAAACAAATTTTACCTCCCAGATGTCATCAATGAACTTTCTTTGGGCCGCGCGAGGGAAGATTGGGCCTAGTTAAATTGGTGCGACCGGTTACCCGAAGTTCGAGTAGCGTCATCCAGCAGAAAGCTAATTTTTTTGAACGTTCAAAGGAAAAATATAGCACTTGAACTGAGCACCCCTTGCTTCTGAGATTATAAAATATCTTTGTCGTAACGAAAATTTAAACACATTTTACAAGTTTAAAACTTTTACCATCCAATGGATGCTAACGCTATCCAGGCTTCATGCATTTTAAGAACACTGGGTGAAACTACAGAATTTTCAGTCAAAATTTTGTGTTAAATTGGAATACCAATGGTTATCGTCGATTTTTGTTGTCTTTCATAATTTCATTGTTGTCTTGCCCCCTGGCTTCGAACTTGCCTCCTGGCTTCGAATTTTGGCGTGGGTAGCGCTCCAGTTGTATTAAGTTCAATGGTTACATATGGAATGGGCATTCTATGTTAACCGCATTGATCTTCAATGGGAAACTTTTAAAAAATTATCTGGTCTGTGGCTTTTTAATGATCGTTTTTTTGCAATGAACCATATTATGAAAACATTTCCTATAACGTGCTGAGCTCGAAATAACCGCGGGTCGTATTTTCAAAACTTCCACATGAATTATTTGACGGTTTTTTTTTTCAGTGCTCTCTTTAACGCTAATTTATATATACGTAAAAACACGTGTTTGCTCTTGAAATAGCGTAGCTTGCATCAAAGGTTTCGATTCTGTTTTCATAAAATTTCGTGATTAGATTGCTTTGCAATTACCAACTCAGCTAAATTTTATTTGCGTTTAACGAATTTCGACAAATGAGGATTTTTTTAAGAATAGCTACTCCATTCACTATGATAGGGTGATGAATGAGAGCGTCTTCAGCGCTGTATAGTCTTCTCTAAACATATCATTTTTTCACGTTATTTGTTGTAATTTGTTTGAGTGAGCGACCGACGAAAAAGTCGAAATCGACCGACCTGAAAGATAGTTGGCAGAACGGATTTTGAGCGTTATTTTTAGCCCTAACAAGCGTCCATCATTTTTGTCTTCAGGCGTTTTCGTCGCTCGCTGAAGCTGCGTTAGAAAATGCCAAGAATAAGTTTGGCACCGACGAACCACCCACGTTTGCCCTATCAGAAAGTTTCTCGAAAATTGTAGAAGAATTACTGAAAGTGACCAACAGGTATCTTATAATGGAGAGAAACTAGTTTTATCATCGAAATGAATAAATCAATCAATGAGAATTAATTGTCTGATCCTTTTTTGGGTTGTTTTTTTTTCTAAAGATCAGACGGCAATCAAGCGAATCTTCGAAGTGCCGCTTACGAAGCTGTAATGGAAATGATAAAAAATTCCCCTCAGGTTGTTGTTGACGCTTTGACGTGTTTCAATATTTCATTTTTATTAAAGCTCACTGTTCTTCATGATTCTGACCATGTATGACATCTAGAACAGATAGTTTTATTAATTAGCAGCTCCGATATCCACAACTTATAGTTCGTTAAATGGCAACTTCTAAAAAATGATTGCTTTATTAACTGATGACTACTGTCTGCTATAGCTGATAGCTTTATTGACTGACAGCTGTAACGTCGATAACAGATAGTTTCATCTACAGAAAGATTGCTTCTTTTGCTGACAACTGATATCTTCTGTAAGAACTAGTTTCTTTGACTGACAACTGTATGTCTATAACAGATAGTTTTATCTACAGAAAGATTGTTTCTTTGACTGACAACTGTATGTCTATAACAGATAGTTTCATCTACAGAAAGATTGCTTCTTTTGCTGACAACTGATATCTTTTGTAAGAGCTAGTTTCTTTGACTGACAGCTGTAACGTGTATAACAGATAGTTTCAGCTACGGAAAGATTTCTTCTTTTACTGACAACTGATATCTTCTGTAAGAGCTAATTTTATATACTGACAACTGTAACGTGTATAACAGATAGTTTCATCTAATAACAACTGATAACTTATACGAATGATTGCTTGATAAACGGATAACATCCATAAGGCAACGTGCAAACACTCTCAACATGTTGACTGAACATTCGTTTGACATTATAGCTACATTCAACATATTGAGAGCATTTATTTCCACTCCCTATTGAGCGCTGTTGAGGGAAGTTTGGACTTTCTCAAACTTTCCATTCAACATCGCTTAACATTTTCTTTGTTCCACAGTCACCAAAGTGTACTTCAAAATAATTCGGTGCGTTTGAACAGCGCACTCGACAATGTTGAGACAAAGCATGCGCGTCTATAGCAGACAGTTTTATCTCCTGACAACAGAGTACTTCTATTGGTGATTTGCTTCATTGACTGAAAACTTCCAACTAACTAACTAAATTTATCAACCGGTAACTTCTATAACGGATGTTTTAGTGACCATCAGCATGATGAGGTTCTTCCCTTTCTTTATCTAGGATTGCTATACATGTGTTCAATCCACGACACTGGTTGTACTCGATAGACTACAGCAAGTTTTACAACTCGAGGTATGTTATGCATTTAACGATTTGCGTGCATTCTTGCCTGCTAGTATAATAAAATCGTCGGAATTTCTTGTAGGGTCAGATAACCTCCACCGATGATCGCTCGCAGTACCTGGATTTACAAGCTTTAATTTGCGCTACACTGCAGGTATGCTCGAGGTCTAAACTCGTGCGGCGTGCTCCCAATATTGAATAACTTTTAAGGATCGTGACACTGACTGACACTTTGTGTATTACTGTGGTAACTCGTGCCTAAGACACGAGAATTCCTAGGACATCCTACCCGGAACAAAGTAGGCAGGAAGGTTTAATGCGTACGCTGGGACATGTACAGCTCATAGGTCTATTGAATAGTCATTGTTTATTTTACAGATATGTTAAGTAAGTGTGAATTGTCGTATATAGTGCTAAATTTTTAGTCTCTCACAATTACTTTGAGGGGAGGGGCGCTTTGGATCAAACACCATCCCACCCCCACCCCCCAATCCCAGTGTCCACAAACTTTAATTTTATAAACACGTTACTGCGGTTCGTCTCTAATTTGTAATATCTTCTATGCAGAGTGTTTTACGTAAAGTTCAACCGGAAGATGCATTGAAGATCTCTGACACTGTGATGAGTGCCTTGTTACAGCTGTTGATAACACAAAGTGGTCAGGGGGGTGGAACAAAGGAAGATGCTCTTTTGGCCGTTGCCATTCTCGTTGAAGGTTGCTGTTATTTCGTTGGATTTATTTCAACAGATGCCACATTTTGCCTGCTAGCGATACTACCCCATACTCGCTCGTCTTAATAGTTTTCTATTGCTAACATAGAGCGTTCATATTTTCTTAGTAATTGGAATCAATTTTATGAAGTACATGGAGGCATTTAAACCAATGCTCACTTTGGCTTTAAAAAACACCGAAGAATATCAGGTATAATGTTAGATTGCATTTAGGTAATTAGCCTTCTTTTATCATACGATTTACGTCTGTTCTACTGAGCAGATTCTACAAATTGAACTATTGATAAATCCAAACTTATCATGGAACGTAAAAAATGAGTTTATCAACTTCTGTCTTGACGTGTATTTTCAATAGCCGTCAAATGTAATTAGATCTTAGCTTTCTCTAATTAACCTTAGCATGTATATATAATGTGAAAATATGTCCAATAATGAAAAGTTTATCTTGTACATTCTTGCCTTTCTCAATGATAAGTCATGCGACTTAGAGCATTTTTTTACTATTTTCCTGTGTATAATAGGCATGTATCGCTGCCGTTGGTCTTGTCGGTGATCTCTGTCGTGCGTTAGGAGAACAAATCGCACCGTTTTGCGACGAATTCATGAACTTGCTCATGGCGAATCTAGCTGTAAGTGCAGGCCTTCTGTCTTGTGTATTCTACGCATGTTAACATTAAACCATCGAGTGACAGACGCTTTCTTGAAGCTGATGCATCTACTTCATGTAAAGTTGTTTTTTATGTCTTGGCATTTGGCCAGCTCAAATACCGTAATTAATAGTTATCTTCAGGGACAGATTTGTGATTTTTTGTACGGTATCAATTCTGTTGCTTTTTTATTATAAATGAAAGATTTTTAAAAGTGTGCTCCATTAAGCACTTATCACAATTGCTTTTGCCTAATTGTTTGGTACATTAGTATTTTATATGAAAATTATTACCCCACCTGCACCCTCTCTATCCAAGGTGCGCACCCCACCGCACCCTTCCCTAAATCCATTCCTGGTTACCTTAAAAAATCAGGTTTGGATATCTCATTTCAGTATTCTAAAGTTGATTCATGAGGCTGTACTCCATATTTTTTTCCCTTTATTTTAAATTCAGAACCAAACTGTCCATCGGTCGGTCAAACCTCAAGTAATCTCGGCTCTTGGTGATATTGCGCTAGCAATTGGCGCGAACTTTAAAACTTATTTACAGCCTGTTTTGATGACTTTGGAACAAGCCGCGTCCTTAAAAATAGAAACCGTAAGTGAGAAAATTTCGTGGTTTTTATGCAGCTCTTCACCAATATTGTTGTAAAAATACTTGTTTATCGCAGGATGATTACGACACAATTGAATATTTGAACGAACTTCGTGAAGCATGCCTCGAGGCATACACTGGTATCATTCAAGGACTTAAAGGCGATGGAAAAGAGCCCAGTCGTAAGTAGACTAGTAGTTTGCTTTTGCGCACATTAATAGTGGAAAAATAGCACTGTTCCATTTCGGTACGGCTGGCGAATTTATTGTAATCACTGCACACGATTGGATTACATCAGATCCTAGTACATTCATTTTGATGTAGAATAGAGTTACGAGAAATCATTTGCGTGTCGTTTGAGAGCCTTTTTATTCTTTTCTAGCTGAAGTTCAAAACGTATGGGGAGCCGTTCCGAGTATTGTTGCATTCTTAGAATTAATATCAACAGATAAGGACCATTCAGAGGCGGTTGTTATTGCAGCTTGTGGTCTCATAGGGTATGTGCTGGTTTAAAATTCATTCCTTTTCATTTTTGTTGCAATTGAACATGGCGCTTCATAGTCGTGGTTTTTTAACGGAAATTTATGTTGGTGCTTTGTGTTTTTTAGAGATATATGTTCAGCTTATGGCAATATTGTGCAGCCACATCTTGAAAAGACGACAATATTGGAACTGCTGCAAGAGGGGCGCAGGTCAAAAGGTGGCAAGACAAAGAATATAGCGACATGGGCCACCAAGGAATTGAGAAAATTGAAGCAAACATAGGTACGTGGGAGGTCAAATCTTATGAAGATGTTTTACTGTGTATTACAAGTATTTAATTTGTGATAAACGCCGTCTGCTTATGAAGGCCCTAAGATTTAAGAATGCCAGAATTCAAATTTCACCATCAGATCACTCGTGATGAAAATACTTGACTATAGACTAGTTTATATCGGACTCGAGTTTAAATGTACATCGCTCTTCGTGAAAGCACTAAACCTCTGTATATAAGAAGCAAGTTTCACTCTAAGATATCTCATGATCAAAACACCTGGTTTTAGTTTGACGAACTCGTGCTTTAACCTAGTTACAAGCATAGACTATTCTTGATGAAGGCAGTAAACTTAGTAAAGTGGGGCCGGTTGCACGAAGCCTAGATAGCGTTATCCACTGGAGATAGCAAATTTTTCTTAACGTTCGTAAAATCGCTTGGAGAAGAAAAATATGCGATTTCAACTGTGCAATCACGGAAATAAAACATTGTTTCGAAGATTACAAAATTTCTTTGTCATAAGAAAAATATAAAACACCTTTTTTACAAGTTTGAAAATTTTTGCTGTCCCATGGACATCTCTATCCAGGTTTCGAGCAACTGGCCCCTGGAGTATATAAGGATCAAATTTAAGCAGAAGATCTCTCTGGTGAAAACACTGGAACGGCATATATAAAAACTCAAGCTAGATCTCACCAGATTAAAACATGCTTTACTGTAGTTATGTAATAACTCAAGATGCTATTGAGTACACTAGACGTATTTTATAGTGTGAACAGGGGTTATTTTGTGATCAGATTACTCCCAATGGAGATGTCATTCATACGGAGAAATCCTTTAACTATCATAAATTTTTCTTTAGAACCATCACGAGGAGAGTTTGTCTACGAAAGTTGAATGCAACGAAATTTGTGAGTACTGAGTTCAGTGAGAAGAGAAAAGTCCTGAATGTGAGTAGAATAAAATGCACACCGCCGATGACGGTGGTGCGCCGCCGCGCATGCGCAATGGTTGCGCAAAAACTATGCTAATATTGTGCGCAGTGGAAAAATGAACGCGAATTGAGAGTGTTCCAGAATGAAGAATGAAATCGTGAGAGGACAAGAGCGTTTGCTTCGATGAAGAAAAAAAGTAGGATGGCAATGACAATGTATTGGTTAGAGATTTGAACAATTGAACTGAAAATTGCACGGCTGCAAAGTTGATCTTGTCCAGTCGTCAAGCCATTAAAGATTATCGCATGCAATTGATATTTTGATGATTGATTGATAAATTATTAATAGAATTGCATGTAAGATAAAACCGTACAGGTGTCTTTCGATGTTAGTTGGAAACTGTACGTTACTAACACATTCGAGAGAAACGCCATTTTGGATAACACTTTGATCTAGCCATATACAGAGAGAATGTAGAATATGAGAGATGGAATGTTTCTGTCAGTGAGAATAACCGCTTCAAAGAAAATATTCAATTGAAAACAATATACAAATCAAATGCTCCTTCTTTCGTGTAGATGTATTTGAACCCTAGCCTGAGATTTGATAAAATATGGTTTAATTTGGCCTTGAAAAAGATGGCCATTTTTCAATGGTTAGCGATTTTCTAAGATTTTGAAAAGTTCCTCAAACTTTATTTTGATGTGTCTTATTTACTGATGGAATTCCTACTGTAATTAAGCAGTAATTCATTATTCATTGGTATGTCTGTTTATGCAATAGCTTTCTGAATATTTCTCTTGGACGTAGAGAGCATGGTAAATTTTAGTATAAGCTCCTTTATCTCCTTATCAAATTATTCGATAATACACTTGTTTTCATGTCTGTTTCAGCACTTCACAAATCGGCAGTGCTTGAAGTCGTTTTCATAAATATTTCACAAACTTTATATTGTTGATACAGCTTTTGTGTGATTGTGGCAGTCCATTGAAATGAAGCATTTTTTCTTTGCTTGTATGGAAAATTCCAAAATCAGCATGATGGAGTCAGCAGGTTAAATGTAGTGTAATTATCTCGCAAGTGCTCGGAATTCCCAGCCAATGAAGAACATCACAACTATCTTCGAATTTGCGATCAGCAATTTAAAATGCTAACGTTGTATGAAAAACACAACGTTAATCTCATTTTCTCCCATTTATTTTAACTCGTCTATTCAATTACTTAATGATTTAGTTAATATACTTTACGCGTCGATAGTGTTGAAAAGAAGGCATTATGCGTTCCGATGAGACTTAGGTAAACAATGTTTTTGTATGGTTATTCCTGTGTCTCCTAAAATAATTAAGGTTTCATTATATAATATTCCAAAACTTATGCTCGCATTAGCATAAGACCTGCAGTGTCATGTTATAACCTGCAACGACAATATGAGCAATTCCATATAAATAACTTGTTTTGTTTGACAATCCTGTTGTTGTCTTCATTTTCTGTGAGATATTAAGCGCACGACGCTATTGGTTGAACCTAATCAAATATTTGCAATTTATATTTTGATCTGAACTCGAGCGCCATTGGCTCGATGTGGCTTTCCGCGCGCTCTAGGCCAATCACAACGAAGCTCATTGAGAGGCAATCGTATTTAGAAACACATGTAAGTCATATGAATTAAAATCATCGCTGCAATATGCATCGAAGATCGTTGAGTTATAAGTTTTGCATAAACTGTTTACGGTAATCCTTAGGTACACAACGGCTTATATTTCAATCTCAGAAAGCGTTGGCGCCTTTTTTCAGAACAACTCATCTTGTGTACGATTTTGCTGCGAGAATGGATATGCACACGATGCTTCCTTCCGTCAGTATTTTCAACGAACTCCAAACGGTTCACGAGAAAGGATATTTTTACGTATTACCCTCTCTTGAAGAAGACTGGCAGCAGGTTCGTTGGTATATTTAAATTGAAAATTGTACATAATAATCCAAGGCAAATCGCTACTCGGTCATCGACTTTGTTTTTAAAATTTATATTACATTGTCTACTATACTAGTCACTGTCGTACATCTTCCAACTTTTTCACTATTACTTACATCGCCTTTGATCTTGTCCTTCATGTTGTAGTTGTGTGGAGAGGTGCACACGAACGAGAGGATTTTATAACTGTAGTAATATGATATTGTTTTCAACAGTATAGTAAAATTTCTCAAGCGTGCTATGTTGTGAAGTAGGCAGAATTGCAATCATGCTTTTTCATAACTAAAACTCGCCAACTGTTCGAAACTTTATAAACAGCATTTTCTGCATTCTAGTCAAATTATCAATGTTTTCCTTCATATGTAATGCGAAGAATTCAGGAGAAAGGCCCTCTCAAATATTTTGACATGGTTCACTAAAGAAAGTACGACAAAAATTCTTTTTTGAGGGGGCAATGTACAACAAATATGTACATTTTTTACTCACTAATCATACACTATCACACGTGTAAGTTCCTACCGTAATGTTGGATTTTACTGAGGAATATCGATGTTGGAGTTTGAAAAGTAAAAGTTTTATCAATAAGATGTTAAGATTAGACAGCGTGCATTCATAAACGTAACCAAATAATATGTTTCATTATTCATATCAGCATATGTTTTCGTTTCTTTGTCTTTCAGACTCGACTGGAAATGGATCGTTATTTGTGCCCAGAGACGCGAGACAGTGGCCCTGATCTCTATAATAATGCTCCATGGAATGATATACCTTTGACATTTGATGTTGAGAATCTGAATCTTCTCGATTTGAACACGTGTGGAAACTCTACGGAGAATTTATGCTCTTCCACGGCCTTTGTGTTCCACGAACTACCTGTAAATATACCTGCAATTTCATATGAGCAAAATGGCAACCAGCCTCTGTGTATTGACTTTAAACTTAAACCATTGTCAGTGAAAATAGCTGGCGTGGAAGAAACTGACTCTAAAGTCAAGCATGAAACGGTGCAGTTACCGTTGACGCCACCGAGCTCACCCGAGTTGAGCAATAGTACAACGAAACGAGAAGGCAACGGATTAAAACAGAAAGCACCCGGACTTAAAGAGATCTGCGCTGTCAACAAAGACGTGAACGAGGCAAAACGTCGAATACACAGATGCCCGTTTACTGGCTGTAGAAAAGTTTACACAAAAAGCTCACATCTTAAAGCACATCAACGAACACATACGGGAGAGAAGCCATACAGTTGTTCTTGGGAAGGATGTCACTGGCGGTTTGCTCGCTCAGACGAGTTGACTAGACACTTCAGAAAGCATACCGGAGCGAAACCTTTCAAATGTACTCATTGCGATAGATGTTTTGCGCGTTCTGATCATCTTGCTTTGCATATGAAACGGCACGTTTAACCTGAAGTTGCGCTGCGCTCGATAAGTGTTTTTGTTCAGTCGTTCTTTCTGAAAGATTGAAGAAGCTCTGTTCCTTCCGGAGAAGCAAAGTTGTTGGAAACTTCAAGACGTCAAATGTCTTTTACGAGTTGTGCATGTTTGGGGATAAGGTGCATGGGTTATTTAGTAAATTCTTGAGCCTCTATGGCTCATTTTGTGTACGTGTAGTTTTTGAACGGAGAAAATTCGACTTTACGAACGTCACAGATAGCGCAAATAGCGAAAACGATTTCTGGAACGCATCCTCATCAAATATTGTTTTATTAGCTTATGCGATGAAATATTGGATTCTGTACGCTGAATAAAAATGTTTGATTAAAAGTATTTTCACAACCGCAGCCTTATTGTGTCTACATTTTTTGGATTGCTTTTTGAATTATCTTGATGTCCAGGTCACGCGAGATCAGTGGAACATAAGATGTTGTCTTGGAAACCGCGTCTCGCAAGAAAGGATTTGTAAATATTTACTGTATTGATAAATTGTTCATTCGTTCAAAACGTTTGTGAAAATTTAGATTTAGGCGGATTGCAGCTATCTTATTTTCCTTCACTCTGAATCTCAACAAAATATGGCGACAAATGCGGGTAAATTTATCGACAGAAATCCAGATATACTCGCGGTAATGCCTGTGTGTAGTTACATGCATATCCTTCATTTCTTCTTTTCTGTTTTACATTTATTCATCACATTGTATTGCCTCTTCCGAAGGCGGGAAAGACGAGAACCAGTGGTGATTCTGCTAGTGATTGCTTGGATGTGAAGAGCGAGGTATGCCACGGATTTTCATCTTCGAAGTGAATGCATGAATTTTTAACAGCACAGTTTCATGAATATTTCAATGTGCTTATATGTACAGCAAGCCTCAATATCGCCCTCAATCAAGAAGTTCCAAGAGACAACACAGCCTGGACCTGGCAAAGAAAGAATACATTATGGCAAGGCTCAAGATAGCAAAATAGCCTACGAACTTACACATGGGATAAAAACGAGACCGTCTTTAGTGGTATGTGCACTTTACTCTGCGTCGTATTACTTGATTTTGTGTCCTAGGTGTCGCAGATGACAATCAATTTAGATTATAGGTCATTATGAATTGTGCATCTGGAAAGTTTTGATCCAATTGACCATTTTAAAGTCTTGTGATTAAACTGCTCTATTATGCTGTCCGTCCTAAATGTTGATCTTTGTGAACTGTGTTTTTCTCTCTACCTGTAGGTGGGAGATCTGGTTAATCCTTTTCCGAAAACATTGTTCAAGCAAAGATTGCAAGATCGTAAAGAGAGTCAATATGCTAGCAAAAAGAAAGCTCCTCTTGGTAAAAGCATCTCAGATTATTGAAAACATGTCTACGAGGGTCTCGTTTATGCCAACTTCAACAATCATACACCGAATAAGAAATATTGTATACCATGACTGTATTGAGTTACCCCGTTGGGATCGGTCGGCGTAAGCTGATCCCACGTGCTTTAGTCTAATTTTCATGTGCTTTAATTTCAAGGAAAATCACATGACCAAAGACTAGGTCTTCCCGAAGGCGTCGGTCTCTACGAGGTGACCTATGGTATCCCAATATCGAGGGATGGTAAGGCCGGCGACATGATCAATCCTCTCAAGTCTCGAAGACAGGTTGACGAAGAGGCGAATGATAGAAAAGAATTGTATAAAATCAGCCATCATGCTTATGATGTCGGCGAAACGTACGATAGGAATTACAACTGGCAGAGGGTTAAGAAGTCAAGTGCATTTGGTATCGAAACACCACACGAAAATGATGGAAGACATGTGAAAAAGAGTTTGAAGTGGCTCTTTGATACTCAAACGTAAGTATCCTCTCCACTCCCTCCCTGGGACTGTACTAAACTAACGTATGTAACCAACCCCCCTCCCAAGACTATGCTGGACCTGCATCAAACCAACGTAAGTAACCCACCCTCTCAGGATTGTACAAGAACCATATCAAACCAACATAAGTACCACCCCTCTCAGGACTGTACAAGAACCATATCAAACCAACATAAGTACCACCCCTCTCAGGACTGTACAAGAACCATATCAAACCAACATAAGTACCACCCCCTCTCAGGACTGTACAAGAACCATATCAAACCAAGATAAGTACCACCCCTCTCAGGACTGTACAAGAACCATATCAAACCAAGATAAGTACCATCCACTTCCAGGATTGTACAAGAACCATATCGGACAAGAAGAACAACTATGTCGAGCAGTAGTTTTTTGTGAAACGTTTCGTCTACATTTGTTATTGCATGTTTGTTTTTCATAAATCTGTTCATAAAACCAGTTTGTAGCAAGCAAATGAATCGCCATTACATATATAAAATATCGAGAAAAATTTTATCAAAGTTTCGTGCTACACTTATCCTGGTGTGAATATCTCTGTAAACAATGGCATTGTTGCAGTAAAATGTTTTCGACCACCATATAGAGGCCCGTTTATGAAATCTGCCCGACTAAAATTCCAAGCACATTCTGTGACATTCCCCAAAGAAACTAAACGCCATTTTTTGCGTATTTCTTCAGTGAGAATGCCGCTCACATCGTTTCGAAACGTTTAGAGGCGTTTCGCGAGCGAACACAACCTCAACTTGGAAAAGTCCACGATCCTTTAAAGGAGACAATGAACGTGCCCCCAGACCATACCTTCGGTGTTCTCTTTAAACCAGACGAGTTTGGAGCGGGGGACCTGGTTCACGGGCGTACACTTGATCATTGTTTAAAAGGTCGCGAGCACCAGAGAGCTGTCTTGGCTTCTATAAGACAAAATCTGAAAAAACTCAACTATCATGCTTTTAAGGACTTGAAATCTGCTTTCAAATACTACGATAAGGTAAATATATATGGCTAGGAGGTCCGTACGGAAAAAATATTTCATGAGATTCCAAAAGCGGCCCTGGGCACTTTTGAGGCCGTGTGAAATATTTTTAACCTAAACTGTAAACAACATTTTTTAAATTTTCATTATGAAGAAATCCGCGTTGTAAAATGACCGATGCGGCTTGATGTTGTGACTAAAATGGATTGTTTTCTACAAATTTCTCTTCGTCTGGATAGTATAATTCACTCTTGCTGTGATAACTACCATCTGAATGCACTTTGCTTTCTCGTTGACAGTCGCTTTAAATCAATTTTAAAAATTTATATTTCACTTTGTAAAAAATATCACTTTTGGGCCACGGTCAAGATATCGTAAGATAGCTGCCCGCTGCTGTTTTCAGTCAGATGGCGGGAAATCAAAAAATATCGTTTCGCATGCGTAAATAAAAAAATAAAATTGAATTGTTCTTTTCAGAACAGATAATTTCTTACTGGATTAACTCTCTCTAACGCGGTCTCTTCAAAACGGAGATCTCTCTTATGCAGACATCTTTCCTACACATTCTGTATGCACTGTCATCACAAGTTCTTCAACAGTATTGTTTACTCAATTTTAGGATGGTTCTGGAAAAATAAGCGAAGACGAACTCCGTGCAGTATTGGAGCACTTTAAACTTCCTGATGAGTTTCTTGACTCTCTCATATCTTACTGCGATATCGATGGTGACAGACAAATAGATTACGACGAATTTTGCAATTTCCTGAACTGGCAGAACGTATTTAAAGACGAATTGGTCTATCATCAACAAACAGCCAAAGAGGTAAAGTTATACCTTAAACATATTTACAGAATGCTGGCATGGCTGATGCGAAAAATACAAAGGAAGTTGTCTTTGACACGTCCGCGATGTTTATCGTGTTTGAGGCCTCGAGCATCAGCTGATGGCAGACCAGAATGGCGACTGTATCAACTCGCTTTGGAACTCTGTTTTGTCGACTCTCGCAGATTGCACCTAAATGTGTTTGTTTCGTTTTTTGTTGGGTTTTTTTTGTGACATCAGGCTTCGTTTAAGACGCATCAACAAAAAGAAAATCAATGTAAATTTATCGTACTTTTGAATCTGAAGATGGATAATAAAAACCTTTCATATTCATCTTTTAACACAGTCTACTGTATCTCGAATTTATGAGATTATTTGCGCATTAGATCATTACATATCGATCGAAAATTTTGAAATCGCATATTTATCTCCTTCACCTCCGTAAGGGGGGCCGTTTGTGAAATTTTTTATTAGATTTGCTTTGACCCTCCCACCTGCTTTATATATAGTTGCAAAGTTTACAACTGGGGGGTGTTTCAGCTCTTTCGACTAAATATAGTCACGCTGTATGAAACTTATCATAACTGGAAAGCTACCTATACTGTTTTACAAAAGTTTGTAAAGAGCAATCAACTAGTCTTAATCTTTCCCTAAGTTGAACACAACTCAACCATTGAAATGAATATAGCTTGAAGGCTACCTGCCTCAATAATATTTAACCAGTAATTAAATTCGTCCCAGTGTTTTATTTGCACAGTAAAAAGAGAGTTTATCACCAACTGCCTTGCAACAGAATGTTTCACTTTTAGATACAAAGGATGGAGAAGTTGAAGGAGGAAAATCTTGAACTGCCAGACATCAGTAAAACTTCGCGACAAATCGACGAGGCCATCGGTGGATGGAAAACATCTTCTTCGACTGTCGATTCGACGGTGGGTCGTCACGACACCAAAGGTACGAGCATTAAATAAAAGTTTAATCCTTGTTGGTGGCGCTGGGTGCTGCGCAACAGTTTTGCTAAGAACCTGGGATCTTGTTACTATTTATGAGAAATTTCAAGTTTGATAAGAAAGTCATTTCTTTCCCAAATCCACTAATGTTGACCAATCTATTTTTACGGACACCCATAAGCATCAGCAGTACTTTTTAAACTGTCCCCCTGTCTTTAATTTGCTTCGAGCTTCAAATCAATCAGTCTCGTAGAATTTATTCCACGTCAATAAAATACCTTAGTGTTATATTATATAGTTTATGTATGTCTCTAATCAGGTTGAAAGGTCTTCTAAACAAGATTATTGGTACTTATTTATTTCTTTGGTGGTCGCCATTTCATTTTTTAATATTTTGCTCCTGCTTTAATATTTTGCTTTTGTCGAAGCCAATGGCTGCGCCGTCTAAAGAAGGTCGAGGTGTTCTCGAACCAGTTTTAACATAAGAATTTTTTAGCTTGGAGATCGTATGGTGTGCCCACAATACGCAGTGATCTTCCCGCACCTCGAATTCGAAGAATATCAGACAGAACTGTGAGTATTATAGAAGTTAATATTAGATAGAAATGTGAGTATATTGCGGGGTAATATTTCATAGAAATGTGAGTACATTGGGAGGTAGTATCCAATGGAAATATAAGTACATTGGGGGGTAGTATTTCATAGAAATGTTAGTACATTGGGGGGTAGTATCCAATGGAAGTATGAGTATATTATTGAGAAATTTAGATAGAACTGTGAGTTTAATAAGAGGTAATATTCGATAGAACTGTGAGTATATTTAGCGGGTAACATTAGGTAGAACTGCGAGTATATTAGGGTATAATATTGGATAGCACTGTGAGTATGCTAAGGAGCAGTTTCAGATGGAAATTTGAGAGCACGAAAGAGTGATATCATGAGAGAGGTCTTTGTGTCTAAAAGGTCATCATCATATAAAACTATACACAACTTATTATTTGTTTTTCTAGAACTACGGTGATGAATCTGATGCATATGGTCTGGTTAATCCTTCGCTGTACACCACTCTGGGAGTTCACGAGAAAGATTTCTTCATGGCTAGAACACCTAACGAGGTACATATTGCCATGGTCTATTGCTGTAATGCAATAATTTTAAATCGACTAAATCATACAAATAGAAATCGAATGTTATACAGGTCTAGCTTGATTCAAGAAAAAATTTATATTCTAAAAAAACCTACAATGGTTTGTCATGTTGGTTTACCTTCTCGTTAAACATTCACATCATCTAATCCATAGAATACATTCTCTATCTAGTACTCGGGCCCCAGGCATTTCCGGCCGCAGTTTAAATACGATGTTAATGCCACCAATAGTTGATACATTCTTTTACTTTTGTGCAGGTACATCGGGTCATAGATAGTGTCGGTATGCGAATGTCGGCAGATACATTCGATAAATATTGGAAAAAGGCGGCCTCTCTTCACCCGCAAGGAGAGGTACGTCATTTATTAAACATAGGTACGCATAACGTACACACATCAACGGTTGCTTGAACCAATAACGAGGATAAAACTGGAACTCTTTACAATCGTCGACAACGAGTTAAAATCAACAAAACATTTCTTAATTTATTGCCGTGTTGATTGTTTTTATGAATTTCGTACGTCAAGTTTGATCAATGTGTTTCAGCGCAGCATTGCGTATGTAAAATCCGTACATAACCGAACTCCGATCGGTTTCCGCTCGGATACTTCCGACTTATAAACGTAAACACGTCAATTTTAAGCAACAGCCGTTTGACAATGGTGGTCGACCGAAGTTCTACACACAGCATGTCCGTCTTTCTTTTTTTGACAGCGATGTTTTTAGAGATTACTCGACTAAAAGGCACTGCAAATTGAAGAAACACAATTTTATCTCGAGGTATTTCAATATTTTTACTTCGTCCGTGCGGTTTCGGCTAACTATTTCGTTAATGTTTTCGTCTGTTTTGCGAAAAACAACTTTTACCCGGCAAAACTTAAGTACACTCACATCGCGTTCTTTCAACTTCAAAAAAGTGTCAAAAAAATTGATCGAATCACAAAACAATTTGTGCCATTCCTTTTTCTCTTTCAGGTGAGCATACAGTCGTTCAAAAACGTTCTGGATATGGAACAATCAAAACAAAATAAACTGGTAAAAGCTTAAAGTGTATTTCAATTACGAATATGTCAAACTCTTAGAGTTGTATTACTTATTGTGAATTATAGTACAAGGTGCGCTTTATTTTGTATTCTATATATGCTATATGTACAACTACAAAAATAAACTAGTGCATTTTATAAGATTTATATATCACAGTACACAAACTGACATTTACAGGCCAAGAGCAAAAAGACTTTCTAAAGTAATAAATCATACTGAGCACATTCCATATACTGCCACTGTAATATTTCTGAGGTTCATGACAGACTGGTTTTTCGGTAAGTATTGAACAGAAAAACCATTTGAAATTTCCGTTTTCACACCAATTGCTGTGAGAAATTTTGAGGCGACAGGGTCTGGTTCCACATGCTTTTCATCCAATCCATCTGTCAGCTTCATCGCAATTTTTATCTAAATTAAGTTGTTTTAATACAAAAAAAAATAATACATGAAGAGTTTTCATAGCATAATCTATGCCTAAGTTTATTGGGAAAGGTTTCAACACCTTAAAGGTTTCCATAGCATACAACTCAAACATTGAAGTACGTCAGTGCTATATACTGGGTGTATAAACAAAATGCTATCCTTTCAAATCACAAAACATTTATAATTTGCAAGATTAAGCAGTAATTGATTCCATTAGAGGCATAAACACAATGGAATTTGTAATTATGCATGCTTCACAATTTTATTGTGGTTATCATTCTTTGGGGATGAATACTGAGTGACTTCGGGTGACTTCAAAGAGCTGCAGTTTCTTGATACACCCCATATCTACACAATAACCAACATTGGCATGTACTCACAATTGTTATGATGGCTTGTCTGTGAGTGATGTCACAATCCACCAGGGCAAGAATCTGATATTTACTCATTTCTGTAAGGTAAGAACAAAATACAAGTTTAATGTTTATGTTCACACACTATGCACAAGAAAGGATACATACTAGAAAGGCACTCCAACAGGGCACATAAGCTTTTCAAAAGCTCCTCTTTTCCTGAAAAAATGACTTCATTTCTCTCTTTGTAAGTGCCGAAACCCACTTTTTCTAACAAAGCACAGCAATCCTCATACACTTGGTCAGAAAATAATTTCTCCAAATGTTGCACTGTGATCTTGCACAACACATCTTCTCCTTCCAAATGATCAAGGAAATTTTCAATCTGTGAACAAATCTTTGTGAACAATTGTGCTCTAGATCATCGACAAATTATATAATTTGTAACATTTCATACCACAAAATTCAGTTTAGATGCACACGAAGGATCATTTTTTAGGATTTTTCTCAACATCAATATAACATCATTGCTAACATCGCTAAAAAGTAGATGATGCAAGGCACTTTGGACTGCTTTCTCTACAAGAGAATGATTTTGAATATTGAGAAGACATTCTGAAAATTGGCAAAACAAAACAGTTTGTAGTGTCAGGCCGCAAAACTATTCGATTTATATGAGCATCTCCTTCAGCATCATGATTTGAGCCATAAACCAAATGCTTTCTACATACAAGTGGCATGTAGTATATTTAGGTATATCTATTCAACAGTATTCCTAAACTTGTGTTCTATGTTCTATATTGTATATTCCCTATACTGAAGAGTGTTGTGAGTCAGGACCTGCACATAATAGTGGGATGACTTGAGTTTCTTCTCGGAATGATGTAGTGCTATCACATTTTGTGATTGGCTTGTAGCATGTTGCTCTATAGCTTGTATCCATTGATGTGCAATAGCAATGACTAAGGCTAATTGACAAATTAACACAGTTTGTTCACACATTACAAAGTAAATTTATTCTTACCGCTGAACATTCTGCTTTCATGCTGTGGTGGAGGAGCATCAGTGACGTCTTCCGCAAGTTGTAAACGCAGCAGATTTTTATCAAGTTTGATTTTGTAACACATATATGCGAGGGTCGTACCACGTGGTATAGTATATTGCTTGTATTGCTTCAAATCCGATGAAACAGAGCTGTTTAAATTTAAGGAGAGTTGTGCGGTGCCAACATCTAGTTCACCTGAAAATTTGAAAATGTGTATTTTTGGTGGGCGTTTCCATGTTGAACATTGTCAATTCACTTGTACACATACCACTGACCATGGTATTGACATTATCTTGAGGAACAACTCCAGATGTCACAATCAAACCAATCAAGAACAAGCTTTTTGTTGGATGTTTTCTTATAGATTTCACTAGTGGATGGTCCGGCTTAACCGGTTTACCATTTGTGGCATTATACAGTTTTTGCCAGACAACCTCCTGCTTGGTAACATTACTTAGCTTCAGAGAGATGTCCATGGTTTCAACTATGCTCAAATCAACACCAAACTCCTCGGCAATCTTTCCACCAATTTTCCCGGACTTATGATATCTACGTGAGCTGTGGTAATTTTGCAGTAGTACCGATGACTTTTTAAGATCTTCTACATTTACAACCTGCTGTGTGAAAGAGAAAATAACTTTTTACCAAACCTTGGTGAAATGGGTGTGGCCATGCCTATCGTTTTAGAGTTCGTCCTCCCTTAGCCTGCCTAATATCCTCCTCAAACCCACAATGAAAAAGAAAAAGAGAAAATAACTTTGTACCAAACCTTGGTGAAATGGGTGTGTCTGTGCCTATCATTTTAGAGTTCTTGCTCCCTTAGCCTCCCTAATATCCTCCTCAAACCCACAGTGAAAAAGAAAAAGAGAAAATAACTTTGTACCAAACCTTGGTGAAATGGGTGTGTCTGTGCCTATCATTTTAGAGTTCTTGCTCCCTTAGCCTCCCTAATATCCTCCTCAAACCCACAGTGAAAAGAAAAAGAAAATAACTTTGTACCAAACCTTGGTGAAATGGGTGTGTCTGTGCCTATCATTTTAGAGTTCTTGCTCCTTAGCCTCCTAACATCCCCTCAAACCCACAGTGAAAAAGAAAAAGAGAAAATAACTTTGTACCAAACCTTGATGAAATGGGTGTGTCTGTGCCTATCATTTTAGAGTTCTTGCTCCCTTAGCCTCCCTAATATCCCCCTCAAACCCACAGTGAAAAAGAAAGAGAAAAGAACTTAGTACCAAACCTTGGTGAAATGGGCGTGACTGTGCCTATCATTTTAGAGTTCTTGCTCCCTTAGCCTCCCTAATATCCCCTCAAACCCACAGTGAAAAAGAAAAAGAGAAAATAACTTTGTACCAAACCTTGGTGAAACGGCGTGACTCTGCCTATCATTTTAGAGTTCTTGCTCCCTTAGCCTCCCTAATATCCCCCTCAAACCCACAGTGAAAAAATTAATGAACACACCTCAAGCATAATATCATTGAGTGTCAGTTCCTTGGGAACGTATTTGTATGCCGATTTCCAAGGTAAGTGCCATTTTCGAGTCTTGCGCTCGACAAGCGATAGGATCTTACAGCAATCTGACGAGGCACGACTCCGAACCGGAAGTAAAGTATGATCAGAAATGTCTTTAACGACTTGCTTCACAGTTGCATCAAATAGCGACATTGATTCGAAATTCGTTCTTATCTTTACAGTGTTAAATTCAAGTTCCAAAATTCAATAAAATCAGAAGAAAGTCAATTGTCAAAAGCGAAGAAAGGTTTCAGTCAGAGCCCTCTATTTGTAAGCGTTGGGACATCCATTGTTATCCGTTCAGCTTACGTTGATTGGGCAATATTGATCACCTGATCAATTTCCGCCATTTTGGTTCCTAGTTTGAAATTTGATCTAGTGTTTATATAGCAATTACTGCTAGTATTACAGTATTTTGAGAAAATATTGCGCTTCTTTATGGATAAGTGTGTAATAACTGATTGTTGACGGCTACTAATTGTCATTATATATCGCCAGAACCGAGGATTACGAAAAAAATGAAAGAAATGCCTTTACGTCGAACTTACGAAATTTGATTACGTATGGTGATTGTTGTGCTGAACTGCTTTTGATATAAGGTTCAATTAACTGACTCAAGTAGAGAACCATTTTTGGGCCAAATAACATTGCAAAGTTCGTGCTAATGCAGTTTCAATAGTTTCTTACTCCAAAGCTTGTTTTTTGATCGAAGATGATTTCTCATTATGTTCTGAAATTGGTCAATCTACAAACCTCTCAATTCTCGGCCACTTCCACACTATAACAAACAACTACACCAAATCACAGAAACTCTTATGATTTTCCATGTTGTATTTTGTATTTTTAGTTCATCATTTAAAAATGAAGTAATTATACTTAGGATATTCACTGAAACAGCTGAGTACAATATATTTTTGGTAAACTAATGAATTGTACAAATGTACCCTACTTCTGTAGCTCATAGTAGAACATTACTTCTCTTCTAGACTTGTCGATGATATTTTAATTGTAGGTTTTGGTTTATAAGATCACAGAGGCGTATCTCCAAAGAGCTATTTGGGCTCTTTAACGTATATTACAACTGTTGCTGGCTTTCTGATGTATATTTAGGTGCTGCTAGCTTTTTGATATATATATTTCACTGGCAATAAAAGGCATAGAATTTGAACAAAACGGGACTGAGCCCCCTCCAACACACCCTTGTATGATCAATAAACACACAAAGATGTTGTGTCATTCCTCAACCAATAAATTTAACTCTTTGCTAAATTAAAGATTGGATCAGACTCATATGCTGTATAAAAGACTACAAACAGTAGCACTTATAGCGAACAGACTGTTCTTCAACAACAGAAATGTTTCATGTTATAGAAATAATATATTCATTTTAAAATGCTTCACCAAAATTTTCAGCAGAATCCTTAACAAACTTCATTAGAAATAAACTTTAATACTTTATAAAGTGTTAAAGGCGAAATAACTTCATATAAAGGAATAAAACGTTTAAGGCCAAATGCATCTTGGGCAAATCATTGCATATTTCAATAACTAAAAAGTAAAAAAGTCTGTCATTTTCTGCTGAGCAAGAAAATTTTGTGATCTTTTAGAATAAAAAATGTCATGCTTGCATCAAATTGGAGGGCATAAACAACTCACTAGCATTAAATTATAACAAATCTTGAACACAAATCTCTCAGGATCAAAACTGCATGTTTACTATGATTCGAAGTTTCGAACAAAGTCTTGTCCAAATATTTGATAACACTGATGCCAATATAGCATTGCCGCTCTCCACCAAGCTTAAAGA